GCGGTCCCTTGATAAGTTTAAAATTTGAATCACTCTCAAGCGAAAGTGATTCAAATGGTGCGGCGCTCCTTCCTTGGGGTGCGCTGCGGTAGTATGTTACGGACTTTAGAGTCAGCAAAACAATTAAAATAGATTGTAATAGTCTAAGAAAAACACGTACTCAAAATACGATAACATTTAGCATGCTAGAAATGGGCAGATTGCACTGTACTGCGCGATATCTTTATGTTTTGCGACAAACGACAACTTTATAAAATCAGTGTAGCAACTTTTAAAAATAATTATATCGTTTACTTGGCAAATTCGAAGGACGAACTTGTCTTAGATTTCACCCATCTAAATCATATCATATTTGCACATAACAATATACCTACTTACTTCCCATTAAGGTATAAATTCTACAAATAAATAATACTCAACAATATTTAAAATAAAATGAGCCAAGAACGTTTATCGATAAAACCTGATAACATTGAAATCTTTTGTACAGCACTAAAGCCGCCATGTTTTGTGGCCAGATGACGTCACAGTGGCACGAAATTTTGGTTGACGTTTCATTTCCATAGGTTTCCTACTTCATTGGGTGTTTATTGATGCCTAATATCTCGAATATATTAAGTGTATAATCTATGGCCTAATAGGTATAACATTGTTCCAATTTTTTATGTTTGCTAATCACTTGCAAAATTTTGTTTAAAATTCGATTCTCTAAACAGAAAGAGACTATTATTTAAAGTTATTTCAGCCATGTTAAATATATAAAATATATGAATACACACAGACGCTTGTTGTATATCATTGAACAGCAAACACCCTATTAACGTCTGTATTGTCCAAAAACGAAAAACGCGTTAAAACTACTGTTTATATTGGAGTTAATAGTATAGAAACTCCTTATCAAAAGAAAACATATACATAGAAAGAAGTGACAAGAGGTGTCATTAGAAAAAATTAAAAAAATGTCTGTCACTTCGTGAAGTAAAAATAAAATTCGTTCACGAAGCCCGCTATAGAAAGCAGAGTGTTAAATACACTTGACATTGGCGAAATCTAAAAGAAAACGCCATAAACCTAAGAGATAGATAGAAGTAAAAATAAAATAAGAAAACTGTGATTTCGATAATAAATTCTAAAACATCGACGTAACTAATACATAAAGGTGTGTTAGTATATTATTTCGTAACTGCCTGCACTCTGCGATTTAAAGATTGGACTCTGTGCTACCAAGAATTTTAAATTATATCAGTTTATAGATATTAGCATGAATCAATTCAATTCAGTTTGATTGACAATCATTTCGTTCCATTCCAAACTTAGTAGGTAGATAAATTATGGCTTCGACCCATAGAGTTAGTATTTAACTCCATGNGTAGATAAATTATGGCTTCGACCCATAGAGTTAGTATTTAACTCCATGCTTCGACCAGAGGCTTCGACCTCTATTTACAAAAGAGTTGGCAGTATGGACTACGTTTGCCTATCCAATAGATAAATAATAAAAAAAGCACGCTATGTATCAAAAATTATGTGCAAAATGGACTTATGAAATAAAATCAATCAAATAATATTCTCTATTAAAAAAAACTTTTAAACTATGTCCGGACCTACCTACCTAGTGATTTCTAAATGACAATTCATTCAAAGATAAGGCGGCCACCACTATGGCAATAACATAGTGATTAACAAATACGTTCTGTGTGTTCTGACTCCGTCAAGACCACTGAAGAAAGTCAAAAAGGATCATATTGCCATTTTTATCTAACTTATTATTTGTAAAAAATATATTTATTCCCTTGACAAAAATTTTATAGTATGTATAGTATGAAAACGATGTACCTATTCATTGATACAATACAATAGTTAGTACTAAAATGACAGTGCTTAAAAGTTTTCGTCAATGTTGTTAACAAATATTCAAACATACCCACATATATTTACTAAAATAGCGGAATACCAATATCATATGGCTATGCTGTAAAAATAGAAGTAATAGAATTAAATTAGATGGAAGGATCGTATAATTTGTGGATTTGTGTTACATCTAGGAATTCCAATGTCGATCAATATTTTGCAGTTGCCTATACATATTTTAGCTAATATCTTAAGAAATTTAAAACTAGGAGATATCAGAAATGTGATATTAACATGTAAAACTTTCAAGAATTTAATAGTTAACGATAATGGAGTATGGAGAGCGATTTGTGAAGATAGATTAATTTTGCATAATAACTCTGAAAGGTAAAATATTTGAAACTACACAAACATAAATTAGCACATTAGTATTATCACATGGTCTAGACTTAAAATATATATTTATTGCCACTTGAACAATAATTAACGAAAATGAAATGAATGAAATTAAATGAAAACCGAAATTACCTTTTATTCAACAGAAATGACACAAGTACATGGTACAACAAATGTCGTATTTCAAAGAACTGGTGGAATGGCATTTATAAGAGAAAGGTAAAAAACTAAATTTAAGCAGTTCTTAACCAATGCGTTGTTTTTCATATTTTATCAAATAATAAAATCAAATTTAAGTATCAAAATATACACTTTTGCCTGTTGATCTGGTGCTAAGGTGTCATGCCTGCTCAGATAGGAACTGTTCTATGCCTATTTCTTCTCTGATGCAGTAATGCATTTTGATTTGAGGGGTGGGGCAGGCATTTTACTGTAAAAACTAAGACTTAGAACTCATGTCTCAAGATGGGTGGCAGCATTGACGTGGTTTATTTCTATAGGCTCTGCTAACAACTTAAAATCAGGGGGCAGAGAGCTCGTCCACCAATCTAAGCAAAAAAAAAACAGTCAATTATCAGTGTTCACATTATCATCATCATTCATCATTCTCCTGCCCTTCTCCCAGTTACCTGGGTTCAGCACAACATGTTTTCTCCTTCCATACTCTTTATCATATACTGTTCTATTCACAAGAATCACTATATAAAAGCTACTGCAACTACTACAATGATATAAACATAGTCACAGTAAATGTGAATAAGACTAAAAGTAGAGAGTAGTGTAAGCATTCTTGTGACACTTGGTTAAGAGACAAGTAAGGATCATGATGATGCTAATTGCTATAGCCCATTATGAGAAACCTTTGATGCTATTATAAATAACAGTTTTTGTACTTTACCTACCTGGCTTTGTTTGTGGAAAAATAAACAATACCTTAGTAGCAATCAGTGCAGGCTTGAAACACTAATGCTCATAATTGGAAACTGTTTGACTGCAAGACTAGAAAAATGAAGACGATTTCTTCAACAACAACAACAAGAGAGAGAAAGTGAATATTATTAAAGTTTTTAAATTTTAGAAATATTTTTGGCATGTAATATCAAAGCCTTCTGATGTTTAGTCATCATTGCAGTTTCAATTTAAATGTTAGGCTACTTAATTGGTGTCTTGTTTTTTGTATGACTATTTTAGCCCGTACATGATTTCCTGGGTTCCACTGCTGATTATCAATAATTTCAGGTAGGCAGCGGCTTGGCTCTGCCCCTGGCATTGCTGAAGTCCATGGGCGACGGTAACCACTCACCATCAGGTGGGCCGTATGCCCGTCTGCCTACAAAGGCAATAAAAAAAAAAAAAAAAAAATTTCAAACAAATTATTTTCAGGTAATTTTACAAACCTCATCAAACTACATGCCATGGCTGAAATACCACAATTCAGAATTCTTGATCTTCTCGCTTGGCTCAGAACTTTTCTGCCATGCTTCGGACCAAAAAGGATTCCCAAACAGTAGAGCAAACTGGAAAATTAACGTTCCCACAGTGAAGAGAAGTGATGTGAGGACCAATGATATATCTCGATTTGTTGTTAGTGACAATATGATAGCCTGCGGAAATAGGTGAGAAAATTAATTAAAATGTAGAATTTTCTAAAATTGTACAACATATTTACCAAGGGTATGAGACTTATAAAAAAAATGAAATTTTTCAGAGATGGTAGCTTGTCAATATATAAAGTGAAAAAAATGAAAAAAAGGCCTCGATTAATCCAGCATATTAAAGACTGTCATGAGGAAGGTCAAGTAGAAGTATCAGCTGTAGAAATTATAGAAAGTGTAGATGGTTACTTCATAGTGACTGCATCTGGGAAAAGTCCTAGTGTTGTACTTTGGCAGTCAAATGAACGTTGCTTATTTCAAAGTAAGTATTAATAAAATTATACACTTTTATCTATGTCAGTTTAACTCATCACAATAAATATTTTCAATAACAAGTAATTAATTCAGCTGCTTACCATATAATTTGTAAATGCTAGCGACTTAGACATGAATTTATTGGAACCGGTTTGATTCAATTTAGTTAGATTTTAAACATTCTCAATTAATTTTCCAGGTGAAATAGATATAGCTATACCCAATGGTAATGCAGTTAAATCTCTAGCTGTCTCTAACACAAAGGATATGCTTGCTGTTGGTCTTGATGGAAACAGTTGGCCCATTTTGCTTGACGTCAATACGTAGGTTGATTTCAATATTAAAACAACTAACTTGATGAAATAATGGTTTTATATATGAAACTGCTTTCGTTTCGTTTGAAATACATCAGTTTTTGTCGTCATGATGACCACAGTGCCACCAGATTGGACAGTATAAGTAGTTTTGTATGCAGAACACAAGCGATCTAAAGAATGCACTGACTGCTTTGTAGGGCCACTATATTGATGACAGCTGAAAGAACTGTGAATGTAAGGCAAGTAGTGCGAGATATTCAGTGGCGTAATGAAAACACTATTATATATGTGACACATTCAGGAATGCTAAATCAGATAGACACAAGAATCCAAAAAATTGTGAGTTATAATATTTATCTTCCTTATTGCCTTTCGTTTATCAATAAGTTACTTGTACAAAACATAATATTATCTTAATTGACTTGTATCTTAATCTCAACCATTTCAAATAATAGATATTTAATTCCATTTTTTCACTGGTAACCAAGCTATCCTGAATATAAAATTTTCACTGTCGCATGTAAATACTGTACTCCAACAGGTACCAAAAAGGCTAAGGATCACTCGATCTTAAAAAAATCCATCTATAAAACCTTACGACTGTATCATTTTATAACTAATTCCTTGGAGTTTACCAATATCGATTTCTTTTTGTATCCTTATAAGTTTATAAAGTTATATTATAAGTTTATAAAGTTTATAAAGTTATAAACGTTTTTTTTTTCTAAACTGCAGAAAAACTATTCTATTCTCTAAGGCTTGCATTGACAATGGCACCTTCGGCATGTACTTTATGACTGAGCTAACAGAGCTTTAAACGCCACTGCCTAACTTAAGATGTTTCAATCTCATATGTATTTGAATACCTAGCTCACTCTTCTAGGCCCTTCTTATTATACAATGAAAATATAATCAAAATCCATACAATAGTAAATAGTAAAAAAAGCACAAAAACTGCCAACTTCACGCTAAAAACGATTTCTTTCAGACGATTATTTAATTGCAGTAGTTAGCTAATAGAGCTAACAATCCTTTCCAGATTATCTTTGCCATAAAATATGTTTAAGCGAAACTGATGATTTAAAAAAAAAACTTTAATGATATTTTGTCAGCCTTCATAATTAAAAAGCAGTTGGTGCATTAATACCATCACATACGGTAAACAAATACAGACCACTATGTTACATGTTACAGGTTTATGACGCCAAAGATCCTTTTCTATCGCGATTGTACTGTGTAAAAACTGACCACAACAATGCAATATTGGTTGGGTCATCAGAGTATTCGCGCTGCGTACTCTTTGACGCAAGAAATCGTTCTAGTCATGTACAGGTATGTATAGGATTTGTTCAGATTTTTAATATCATAACCAATTTAAAGATTTGTTGATTGAAACCCTGCCATAAGTACCGTATTTATTGATCTCCATGCTCTAGTTTATCGTAATAATTAACAGAACACACGGTTACTCTGAATGGCCTGTATAAGATTAGCTCAAGACAGTAATGAATGGCATACTTAGTGACATACTTATGCTCGCGTTACCGCTCATTCACACCCCAAAAATCCTAGATCCAAAGATCCTGGTCTGCATGAGAGATCGTTATAAGAATAATATATGGATACACAGATATCTCTAACAGAAATTTGACACTTAATAGAAAATTATCTTGTAACAATATTTTTTGTGTTTATTCGTAATACATTGCGCGTCCATATGGTTTATCCGATTGATTTTAAACTTGGTTCAATTGTTATCTGCACTTTAGAAGTTTTGGCTAAAGTAACATCGTCATAGAACAACAGGTGGTACGCGAATTATTTCAACCTGTGATGCATTTCCCATTATTAGAGAAAATAAGATACGCTCCCTGTGAGTATCCGAAAGCAAAAACAATAGTTATTCATATATATAAAATCGCTAAATAGTTTAAATCTTATGATGCTATATCTCTGGATCTATTTTTCTATCTAACATTTTTCTCGTGGATTCATTAGGAGTTGGTTGATGTTCTGATCGAGGCGTAGATTCTTTTAGGTCATTCCAAAATATCGTTAGAATGATTATAGTTATTTTTTTGAATATTTTATCACCTAACACTTAACGGAATAATAATATTATTGTTAAAAAAGTAAACGAACTCTTGCACCTCGCCCGGCGAATCTAGTATAACTCTTCAAGGTTACTAGTACAGGTAGACAGTATAGATAAGGCGTCCGGTGCATTCGTGTTGAGCGATACACCGGTGTTCGAATCTCAGGCGGGTACCAATTTTTCTAACGAAATACGTACTCAACAAATGTTCACGATTGATTTCCACGGTGAAGGAATAACATCGTGTAATAAAAATGAAACCCGCAAAATTCTAATTTGCGTAATTACTGGTGGAAGGACCTCTTGTGAGTCCGCGCGGGTGGGTACCATCACCCTGTCTATTTCTGCCGTGAAGCAGTAATGCGTTTCGGTTTGAAGGGTGGGGCAGCCATTGTAACTATACTTGAGACCTTAGACCCTATATCTCAAGGTGGGTGGCGCATTTACGTTGTAGATGTCTATGGGCTCCAGTAACCACTTAACACCAGGTGGGCTGTGAGCTCGTCCACCCATCTAAGCAATAAAAAAAAAGTTAGGGGGAAAAAACTTGTACAAAATCGAAACTAAAGTCGGTTACAAAGCCGCATTTGGAGCCGATGTGTGGATACTGTAGTATCATGCACCCAACCAAATAGATTTTCCGTTGATTTCTTACAGTATTTATACATTTATCGATATTCAAAAAGAAGCGTGCTCACTTTTTGTCCTGTGCGCTTAGTGCGAGTTTTTTAACGTTCTCGATAGCGTAAAAGTTAACCCAATTTTGTATACAGTAGGAACAGCGCCCCTAGCGGCAAACTTAGGCAAACGATCCCATTCCATACAAATATGAGCTAACTTTTACGCTAACGCGAACGTCAAAACACTCGCACTAAGCACACTGTGTGGTAAAATGTTTTTAAGTGTTAGGAGCAGGGCCCACTGCTCTTAATGTTTTTTTTTTTTTTGTAAAAAGTAGTCATTTATGTACAATGTTGATTAATAATAATTTAATTAATAAACCTAATTTCAAGCAAGATTGTATAAAATAATTTCAGATGTATTTCACCCAACGACGACCATCTCCTGTTTATAGTCTTGACTTCGATTCTACAAAATTAATTGCTGCCGCCGATCGTGGACTGACTGTGCTGAATTTTAACATCAATGGAAAAGCAATACGGCAACGTGACTATTCGCATGTTTTTCACTCGATGTAAACTTTAAAAAAAAAAAACATATGAGCAACTATTATGTATCAAATAAATTATATTGATCAGAAATGGTACGTACTTATTGTGCGTTTATCTTATTGTCATCGTTCTCGTCGAGCCCTTCGTCGCAAGCGAAGGGTACGACGAGAACCGGTGCTTGATGTACCTAAAGGCACCGTTAGTGGATCTGGAGGATCCGAAATGACGTGTTTTGGGTGACGTCGACTGCTTTCCATTCTATCCGCAGGATCGGGAATGAAAAAACCGCGTGTGGCACTCTGGGACTGGCACGGTAAAGCTATTGCATAGTATTTTTCATCAACTTATGCAATTATAATTAGATAATCATAATTTAATATTAAAACAATAATAACATAAGACCCCGCTATATTTATAAACATTAATAAAAGCAAAACATTAGCTGTCCCCTTCACTCTCATAAGCTAGACCGCGCGCGCATAAACACTACATAAGCGCAACGTGTGAATGTGTTGAACGCGAGCTACATAGTAGGCGGAGTGGGGGTGTTAGGTTTTATTTTCGTTACGGAATTTCTTGAATCGGTCGCCGCGCTCAAAGCCAGCGATAAAAACTATGCATTAGCTTAAAAATCTAGCAATTTTCAGGTGAATTTGGATCCTTTGCGATCACTCGCAGTATTTTAATCTATACTGATTTAAAGATCTACAGTGGTTTTTACGGATGTTCCGTTATAACTACTGGACCATGTATCCGATTGACTCGAAACTTGGCATCCACGTAGAAAATACACGTACTTAATGGATAGGCTAATATTTATATTATTATGAGTGTTGGACTCCCTAATAATAATGACAATAAATAATAATGTTAATTTTAAATGCCCAGCCAAGGGGCGAGTACGGCTAGTATACATATAAGTTTACATTATAAGCATCGCATACTATAATATTTAAAATCACATTTGCTTTTACGATCAAAGGACAGGGACATAAATAACGCTTTTCATGTTAACGTCAATGGCGGATCCAGGGGGAGGGTCATGGGGGTCATGACCACCCCCTGAGCTGGGTCCAGGACTTAAGTGGACCACTAATTGAATATAATGATTTTATTTATATATTTTGTCACCATACAGATTTTATGTAACTACATACCTTCAATATTTAATTAATTTAATATAATATAATAACTTTGTATAATGGCAAACGTTTGGGAACGAACGCATCTAAATTTGACTATGTGACCCCCTCCTGGCGCCAAAGCTGGATCCGCCCTTGGTTAACGTTACCTGAGGATTAATAATAGGACAGAAAATCTTTTTAAAAAACTAAGGATTTTTTCCAGTATATTTTGCCAGGTTTTTTAATTAGTACCTCTTTTTTTTCTACCAACAGCATTTTGAATATCCTTTCAAAAATTTAAAAGCAGTCATTGAATATTGGTTCAGAGACAAAATCTTTGCAGTAATTTATAGCACTCTAGTAAGAGTGAACCTACTTTTAATATCTACTTCGCTAAATCTACCATCGGATCAGAATCATGATTCATGACTCACCAAGAAGCTCCGACGAGAAACTCAGTTTGTGTCTATGTCTATGGGCTAGGTTGCACGTGGAAATTATATATTCAAATAGAGCGGTGACGCGGACGGGTGCTTAAATAGCTTAGAGAACATCGTCAGTGGGTTCGGTGGTACTGACAAGCTATGTTATCCCTCTGTTAAGGAAAGTATAATAACGGTGGCTTATTAACTATTTAAAATCTGTGAAAACGCTTAAATGTGGGAAATGTGGGGAATGAAACATAGCCGCTGAACATAGTTTCTCGGAATCAGCCAAAAAGTCCACTGAAAAAGTATCAGTCAATAACTGCTATGTTACTGAGAATATATTTCATCCCTTAACATCTCATCTCATTTCATTTCACTTCACTTCAAATGATTATTTTTCATAAATAAAATATAAAAGACTGGGCTGTATGGTATGATACTTTTGTCTTACCAGTTAGAAAAATAGAACTACCACTAATGTTAAAAAATTTCGTGCTCCTCTCCCTTGTGACTCCTACACTATACTTTCCTTTGTTGATTTCAAATATACTAAAGCTCTTATTTCTTTTCTAACCTTCCATCATATTTTATTATAATATCTTTTCTTCTTTACATTACTATATTTTACTATATGTATATATTGCCCTAGTTCCTCCTATACCGCCTATTTCTAAAGTCCCTGCTCCTATCCCTCTACACTGGAATATCATGGCAACTCGACACTTCAAGATGAAGTTACTATGTCACCTTTGGCTGACTCGACTCTGGCTAAAATAAGCTTCCGAATGAAGTTTGATCGCCATATTGAAGAAAAAAAAAAAAAAACTGTCAAATCTTGTCAACAAATTCATAACCTCAATCTTTTCCTTAATTCCCTTCCATAAAAACAACATATTTTGGTAATTTATGTACTAGCTGAATACAAAAACTTGTTAAAAATGTGCTTACTACAAATGGCAAAATCTACTGTCACGCACTAAAATGGTCAAAATATCATGTCACTTATTAAAAAATCATATTGAATTGAACAACACAAAAACCAAATAATTTAGTATTCTTTTCTGATCAATAATCATTATCATTTTGCCCAACGAAATGCTAAGCCGCAGAATTTTCAATTTTATCAGATACATCACCCGAACCCATGTAACGCTCGCAGGACGTGGTACGAGAAACTTTAGAATTCCAATTGCATTAGGAATATTTAGTGCTGCAAAATGCGACAACATTTTTGACGATTCATCGAGTGCCGATACGTTAGAACACGAGTTTTTGATTAAGCAGGCGACAACAGTGAATGTTAATGCGGCCACACAGTTACTGACCGTAACTCTAGTAGCTATACAAGATACAAGTGAACGGTGAGGTTATTTTCTCAATAAAAAACTGTACACTAAAATAATTTTTGTTTTTTAAAGCTGCCAACAGTATAATAAAAATGAAACATTTTCTTTATATGCAGATTACGTGATGCACTATCAAAAGAAATATGCTTAGTACAACAAGCACTTGAATGGGGGGAAGAAGGAACACCTCCTCATCATTGGGATCAACTTGTTGCAATTCGAGGATCTTTGAGTGACCTTAAGCACAATCTTCGTACTTTGATAAGTAAGCAGATTGATTTATTTTGCAAGACTATCTTAAGTGCAATATTTTGTTGTACTTGTCGCCACGTAAGTTTACAAGGTTTTGGAGTAGTGGAGGTAAGGTCGCGCATATTGCACTTAATGCAACAAAAAAAAGGGTGCGTGTACTTATGTACGTGCGTAAGAAGTTATACTTTATTTTTATAAAATTTATTTCTTTTTTTTATTAAACTGATTAAACTCAGTTTGAAAAAAAATCGATTAAACAACATCCTCAAACACGCATATTTCCCTTTTCTTGACATCGTATTAATTCGGTAATTCTCAGTATGGTTCGGAAAGTTCACCTGCGGCTATATTCAGACTCGCCAAGTTACGTCGGTCGTATTGTAATGAGCAATTTAGTGGGCAACTTCATTTCTGTTAATTTTGTGTCACGATGCGCGCGCATCTTAAAATTTCACTCTCATCAACTTTTCATAACGTGCCTAAAGAAGTATAACTTAAAAAATTTTCACTTTTATTGCCCGCATTATTCTATGGTTATTGAAATAATTTTGTTTTAATCATGTCCGCTTAGAAGAAAATTAAAGAAAAGAGAGAAATTCGTGAAGTGTATTAGGTGTTATAAATAAACGTTAAGACGCTTATTTAAAAAAATATACTTGATATTAAATTTATGGTAGCACCTGAACTGGTGGAAGGTCTTGGCTCACTATCTATATGGTATGACGACTATATGGTCACTTTGGATGTAGTCAGCCTTAATTTTTTTACCTTCCCGCATAATTGCGACCATAAACATACACATCATAAACCATTTTTTGGCATGTCTGCGTAAAATGGTATTTGGTTCTGGCATTGCAGTAAAATTTAAAACAAATAAAAACTAAATTTGATAAAACAATAACAACTCGTAATAAAAGCTCAACATAAAAAAAGGGTGCAACTTTAGTACACGCAAGTGTGATCGGGAGCGAACGGAACGTAGACGCGGTGCGGGGGGCAAGGGTCGACTGACGCACCAATCATGCGCTCGGAACGGTGCTACGTCATTCCCCGCGTCCCGCTTGACAACCAAAAAGACCTAAAAAACGACTCTTGCCAAGTAACGTGCCGGGGACGTAATCTATCGAATTCTGGTCTATCTAATTTAGTGTAATTTTAATTATCAAATATAGTTTAATATTCAAGCATGGGCTTTAACAAAGTCATTTATGTAACTTTTAGAATGTTCTTTACTTCTTACTTTTTAGGTTATATGGATTATGCTGAAAAGCTGGCCACAGTTGCAGCAGAAATATCATATTTATCTGGGAATGTTATTGCTTCAGATGCTATTTGTGAAAGGATAGAGCATGCTAACAGGTAAATAAAAACCAGAATAGACATTAAAAAGATTTATTAAAGCATTATACAATTTTTAACTAAGTAAATNAGAATGTTCTTTACTTCTTACTTTTTAGGTTATATGGATTATGCTGAAAAGCTGGCCACAGTTGCAGCAGAAATATCATATTTATCTGGGAATGTTATTGCTTCAGATGCTATTTGTGAAAGGATAGAGCATGCTAACAGGTAAATAAAAACCAGAATAGACATTAAAAAGATTTATTAAAGCATTATACAATTTTTAACTAAGTAAATCATTTTGAAAATGAAATGATAACTTTAAGTTGTTTTTGCAAATTGTCATTCTACAAATAGACACTTTGCTAGTTATTACACAATAATATTTCACATTTAAGAACAATAATAGCCACATCTTTTGACCTCTAACATTGTAATAATTGATAATATCATAAAATAACAAAATATAAAATAAACAAATGCAGTAATACTTAATTTTATGTGTTTATTTACAGTGTAATTATAATAATTAATGTATGAATTTTAGGACATGCAACATTCAGAAACAGTTGAACCATGATCTTCAGCAAGAAAGTCTTGAACTTCAACAAAGAGCTATCATCACATCTCCACAGCTCGAAGAGAAACTGAAACAAGATTCAGCAAAGGATAAGTCTAATGCCAAGACTTGAGGATTATTATTTATCTAAAATTTGGTCACGAAAATGTAAATAGATTAGAAACAGGAGACAGTTCAATAAACAGTATGTGTTTTCATTTCCAATGGTTGTCAAATTTATGCTTAATTTCCTGAGCTTTATTATTTAAACATGCATAGAGTGAACTTAGATCCCATGACCACAAAGTTACTTTTACAGCTAAGAAATAATTTTTCAAGATTTGTATTTTTCTATCTACTATTAGAAAATTGTTTTTAATAACATTCACTCTTTTAATTAAATATACCTTATAAATAACGGTTGTTAGGAAATGCTTTTCAGTTTTTCAAACCAGTGTGACCATGTTTTTGGGTCTACTACTACTACTCATTAAGATCCCAATTGCATGAACATGTGTAGAATAACTTGAACATCAGGTTTTTATTTCTATAGGTGCCAGTAACTTGATTTTTCCAAGCAGTTTTCATAATTACAATGGTATGTCATTCTGTACATATCATACTTAGTTACTGGGTATCCAATACTAAACAAAACTGTACAAAGAAAAAATTGACTAGTTTAACTTTGTTACGTCATCTCTTTCGTACAAAGCACTTACAATTTATGTACTAAGAGCTATGAAATCAAATTTGATATTGATCGAGAAATGCACATTTTCTTACTCTACCTTTACTGAGTATATTTAGTTGATCAATAAACTGAAATAATATTTGAAATAACTAAAAATAGCAACATACTTTGAAATTTAGAATGTAGCGTCTTTGCTGAGATGGGTCTCGATATCGACACGGCATATTGGGCAGTGTTTGTTGGTGCTGAGCCACTGGTCCACGCACTCCATGTGGAACAAGTGCATACATGGCAGTCGCCTGGAATTAATAAGCAATCATAATACAATCAACTCAATGTTAATTTAAAGTAGATGATAGTATGTGATTTCTGAAATTTTGGTTAAAAAAAAAGTTAATTTTTTAATAGTCGTATTATTTTTTTATAAGAAGTTACGCACAAGATGTTTCCTGTTTGATTTTGTAAATTATTTTATTTTAGTAGAAAAAAATATTTTTTTCATGATAAACTATATCGAAGTATTCTTAAGTAACCTAGCTATTCAAATTCTAATTAAATCAAGCGAGAGCGAGTGGGCCGCTCTTTTAACATTTTTTTCACGTCTTTAATGGCAGTGACACTAGATACCTTAACATATTTCTAATGCTCTTGTTATTTGACGCTCAACAAAATATCTTCTTTTTTTTGACTAACAAATTTAGTCAGCACTCCTGATCTGTTGAATTACTGACCTGCAGTCGGAATCGACTTCGAAGATCGAGAGACAGATGGTGCACTTCTCGTCCTGGTGGTGCGGCGCGGGCCGTGCGTACGCGTGTCGGTACGTGTTGCGGTCGATGACGGCCCGCGACGCGCCGCGCGCCGCCCGCCACGCGCCCCGCCGCGCCTCCGCCGCGCGCACCATGGCCGCCGCGAACGAGCTGCTGCTCTGTATCTAATAGGCATCGAACATTTCACAAGACACTTTTATGGCGGGAACGCGAGGAGTGAAGTTGTGTAATTTGTTTTATTTAATACTAGCTGACCCGGCAGACTTCGTAGTGCCTCAATCGATAAATAACAGACCTAAGCTTTTGTATAAAATAAACTTAAAACAAACAAAAGGAATCCGCCCGACGGGGGACACATCATAGAAAAAACAAAATTGTTATTTTTATTTAATTCCGAGCATTTTCATATTTATCTACCTTTTAAACCTTCCCTGGACTTCCACAAGTAATTTAAGACTAAAATTAGCCAAATCGGTCCAGCCGTTCTCGAGTTTTAGCGAGACTAACGAACAGCAATTCATTTTTATATATATAGATAGATTAAATTATTATTAATTTCCAAACATTTACACAAAATATTATTTTAATAACCTAAAAGTACATATTATTATCCGCGACATGCTTCGTCTTTGTTTTATTTTGTCTATTTAGTGTTTCTTCAAGTTTAAATCTGTAATAACGGTGATTTATTAACTATTTTATATTTGTGAAAATGCAAAAATGTGGGATAATGAAACAAAGTCGCTAGACTAAAAGTCGTCGTGGCCTAAAGGATAAGACGTCCGGTGCATTCGTAGCTAGCGATGCACCGGGTACCAATTTTGCTAATGAAATACGTACTTAACAAATGTTCACGATTGACTTCCACGGTGAAGGAATAACATCGTGTAATAAAAACCAAACCAGCAAAATTATAATTTGCGTAATCACTGGTGGTAGGACCTCTTGTGAGTCCGCACGGGTAGGTACCACCGTCCCGCCTATTTCTGCCGTGAAGCAGTAATGCGTTTCGGTTTGAAGGGTGGGGCTGCCGTTGTATCGTTAAAAGTGAGACTCTAGAACTTATGTCTCACGGTGGGTGGCGACATTTACGTTGTAGATGTCTAGGGGCTCCGGTAACCAACCATTACCATCAGGTGGGCCGTGAGCTCGTCCACGATACAAGCAATAAAAAAAAACAGATGCGGCTTTGGGTGTGTTGCCATAATATTTAATGTGCCATATTACATTCACATTAAAACAAACACATGCCGGTTTCGATGTGTTGCTATATTAAATAATGTGCCATATTAAACTAGGTAAAACAAAGATCTTTTTAATTAATGTAAAGGTGGAGACGATCTTATGGCCAGTACGAAGCTCATATACAATTGTAATACAGCTATCCAACTGAAAACATGATTGTTGAAATCTCAATTGCATTGTATAACTGAGGACATCCCACGACGTTTCAAGCTAAGACAAGCTAAGCTTTTGTAGGCAGCGGCTTGGCTCTGCCCCTGGCATTGCTGAATTCCATGGGCGACGGTAACCACTCACCATCAGGTGGGCCGTATGCCCGTCTGCCTACAAAGGCAATAAAAAAAAAATTAAAAAAAAAAGACACGATTGATTCTCGGTTCAAATAAGCTGGATAATGATACCAGCCCGTACAATGGTAATGTATGCATTCTACATTCAATACGTCATTTAACTGCCGTCTGATGTAGTGGTAAGTGACATGGTCACTACACAATGGGGTCACGGGTTCGAATCCCGCCAAAGGAAGATATTTGTATGATAAATTTTAATATAAATGTCTTTTCCAGGGTTATGGATGTATATTAAATAAATGTATGTGTATAATAAAAATCTTACATTTATATCCGTTATCTGGTACCTGTAACACAAGTTCTTTACGAACTTATCACGGGACCAGTCAACGTGGCGTAATTGTTAGTAAATATTTATTTATTATATTAAAAAAAAATACATAAAAGAAAAATCTTACCATCGGTTGTATTGATATGTGGACGTGAGGCGGATGCATCTGCAGATAGTGATGCATATGATGGTGCACATGCTGCCTGTCTCTATAACAAAAATTATAATAATCAAATTAATAGTAAACGTCCTAACTACGCTAACGAATTAACAGTCTCTGATAATGAGTAACTCACATCATCATTTGTGTTGGCGGAAGTGGCATTTCTCGTGACTCCAACTCATCCGGAAACTAAAAGATTAAAAAAAAAATTATTATACTCTATGCACGCAGGTTCAGAACATCAAACGGTATTTGAATTACACATAACTTGTATCAGATTTATTTTATTAAATCATTAGGTATTATCACATGAAACCATGAAACTTGACGGTTTAGTGTAGTGATGGTCCGATACAATAAAAATAAAAAAAACTTTGTGGAACTACTATGTACTATATTTTGCATTTATCTGACCGCGTCGAAATTACGTCCAAACAATTTCAAATAACAAAAATTTTCAAACTGGAAAAACCAAATCGCATATAATCTATACATTAATACGCGAAGCAAAAACTTTGTACCCTTTTTTACGAAAATTGCGCGGACGGAGGAGTATGAAATTTCCCACACTTAAAGAGAATATAGAGGAGTTCAAAATGTTAATGTTTTTTTTTAATTATGCACAAAGAATACATTAAATCAATAAAAAAAACCATTACACACACTACCATGTATTTGACATACACACGCATGCATACTATTTATCATCAAATTTTTATTGCTTATAATCTGTGGTCAAATTGAGTATAAATTAAATATTGTTTCTCTTTATTAATATTTACCTAAAGTGTAGTAGAAATCGGTGATTAAAGAAATATAATAGTCTATGACAATATAACCATACCTAATAATGTTCAAAATTATAATTTCAATTAATTATAGTCGAATTTCGATTACTGCGTAGTAATTATTATAATTCAACTAACGGCTAGGACAGTAGTGGGAGCTAAAGCCACGTGTGGGATCGGCGTGAATCCCGAACCGAAGCCGACGCCCATGTCGCCCATCATACTACGACGCTGCAGCTCCTGGTAACACAATCAGATATTATATTATTTAGTTTATAGTCCAAGTCGTTTAGAAGTCGTCGTGGCCTAAAGGATAAGACGTCCGGTGCATACGTGTTGAGCGATGCACCGGTGTTCAAATCCCGCAGGCGGGTACCAATTTTTCTAATGAAATACGTACTCAACAAATGTTTACGATTGACTTCCACGGTGAAGGAATAACATCGTGTAATTGAAATCAAACCCGCAAAATTATAATTTGCGTAATTACTGGTGGTAGGACCTCTTGTGAGTCCGCGCGGGTAGGTACCACCGCCCCGCCTATTTCTGCCGTGAAGCAGTAATGCATTTCGGTCTGAAGGGTAGGACAGCCGTTGTAACTATACTGAGATCTTAGAACTTATATCTCAAGGTGGGTGACGCATTTACGTTGTAGATGTCTATGGGCTCCAGTAACCACTTAACACCAGGTCGGCTGTGAGCTCGTTCGCCCATCTAAGCAATAAAAAAAAAAAAAAAAAAAAAAAAAGAATCCAGGCCCCCCAGATGTCACGTATTTTCTGACGAACGAAATGTGGCCGATTGCGTAGTGTTAGTATGTACTAAGAACGCATGCCTACCTGCTAGCTTGCTTAGACGGCCAATTTTCAGGTATCAGGTACTCAAGGTACATAAAATCATGACCCACTTCACGTATTTTTTGAAAGCTGATTTTTACGTATATTTTAGGCAATATCCTTAAAAATAAGTCGCCAATACACCCAGACACTTTCCGTCCGCCGAAAGTGTCCGCCGTTGCAGACACTTTAAAGGGCCAATCATCCCCTATATTCAATTTAATACCTCTATGGGTAAGAGCGTGAGGACATTATCCACGCGCATGAGACTGAGTGAGACGTGTATTAGGATATATTGACTTCTCTTTCTCTCTATCTCTCTCTTACAGTTGACTCATATCAATTAATTATTAATATTAAAAGAAAATCAGTTAATTTTCAGCTAATTTTAGGAAAACACATCTCGTTTTCACCATTATACATATGTGTATATATGTTTGGCAACTTTGAACACTAGGGCTCTTGATTCCTTTGCCTGTTAAATTGCTCATTCAAGCAATATAATGTATTTTTTTTCTGAAAGGTTATGAACGGTTTTATACTTACTAGCAGGACTTTTTGGCGGAAACGCGAGGAGTGAAGTTGTGTGATTTGTTTTATTTTGTCTATTTAGTGTTTCTTCAGGTTTCAATGTGTAATAACGGTGGTTTATTAATTGTTTAATATCTGTGAAAGTGCACAAATGTGGGACAATGAAACAAAGCCGCTGGACATAACTTCTCTGGATCCTCCAAAAAGTCCAATACAAAAATCTCAGGAAATGATCACCATTTTACTGAGATTTTTTCATCCCATATCATCTCATCTCATTTCATTTAATTTCATCCCAGTTGATCAATGTCTCAAATTAATCATCTTCATTTCATTTCATTCCATATTATCATTTTTCATAAAAATAACAATATAAATTAAAATAAGACATAACTAAAGGTCTTAGTAACCAGATCATAAATTCCCTTTAAAAAAAAACACTTACTAGCATGTGATGTTGGCGTTGCCACAGACGCTCGTGAACCAAATACGGAGGAGCCACCGACAGTCCGTCGCGACGCCTGTCGCCCACTGAAAGGATATACACAATATGCTCGTACATTTTGCAGCTTTGTGAAATTGTGATGTTATTGCACACAGACACAAGAAGAAAATAAAATAAACATATCCTTAGGGCAATTTGGAGACATATTATAATATAAAACCCAAATGATGTAGCGGTAGGCAGCGGCTTGGTTCTGCCCCTGGCATTGCTGACGTCCATGAGCGACGGTAACTACTTACCATCAGGTGGGCCGTATACTCGTCTGCCTGCTCGGACAAAAAAAAAAAAAAAAAAATATCTTTTACAAGGCCATATATAAATTGCTAATTTGTCCATGAAACTTGGTCACAAGATTACAAAAAATTCTTCTTTATTATTCAAAACTCGTTTATTTCTAATTTAGTACCTTTACTTGTCATTTCTTTCTTTATTTCAGTTATATTAGGGAATCTATAATTGACTGTGTGTATTCATCATTAGTGTAGGATTCGTAAGAACGGAACGTATGAAAAGAGCGTGGAACGGAGCGTTAAGATGTGAGTAAGAGAAAACGGAAGGAAAGGGAGAAGAGAATGACAGGCAGAATGACAGAGAAAAGAAAGATGGCGAAGACGGTTAGAAAAATGAGCAAAGCGTAATAAAAGTGTTCATTAATCTTTAATTATTATTTTGGAACAGTGGTTTTTTATGCGCTGCGATCCCTATTCTACGTTAGGTTTGTACATTTTATTTAAAGATGGCAACTGTTGGTTATCTTTAAATAAATAAGAACTTTTTGGCGGGAACGCGAGGAGTGAAGTTGTGTGATTTGTTTTATTTTGCCTATTTAGTGTTTCTTCAGGTTTAAATGTGTAATAACAGTGGTTTATTAACTATTTAATATCTGTGAAAGTGCAAAAATGTGGGAAAATTAAACAAAGTCGCTGGACGTAACTTCTCGGGATCCTCCAAAAAGTCCAATGAAAAAAATTCAGTAAATGACCACCATTTTACTGAAATTATATTTCATCCCATATCATCTCAGTTGATTAATGTCTCAAATTAATCATCTTCATTTCATCATTTTTCATAAAAATAAGAATATAAATTAAAATAAGACATGACTTAAAGGTCTTAGTTACCAGGTCATAAAATCCCTTAAAAATAAATAAATGAGTAGCTAATACTGACAGTGTGCCGGTGGAGCGCGCAGGGAGGGCGGCACGTCGGGCGCATGCGGCACGTCCGCGGGGTGCGGCACGTGGTAGTGCGCGCCGTGTGGCAGCGACACGCAGCAACACCCGCCGCAGCCAGGCCCGGGTCTGCCGCCAAACGTATAACGCGTCAGAGCTCACTCAACTCTACAATGCGCACCTTTAGAATTATAAAGACCCACTTACGTATACCCAGTCGAGGGGGGGGGTAACGGACCGGGTCCTCCACCTCCCCCAATTCCTCTCAGAAGACTACGCTTTGAAAAAAGCCCGCGAGGCGCTCGTTCCGCAAAACCAACTAGGTACCGACTAAACCCCATCGAGCTCCACCATACCGGCTACACCAAACCTACGGTACCGCAGTGCGCGACGAAAATTACAGAGAACCAATCCAAAAAAAATTTTTTTGTGCCAAAAAGACCATAAGGAGGAAGGGTACGGAGTGAAAGAGACGGATGGATAAATATGTCCCTTCATTAGCTAGTTTTGTTCATTTGATTAACAAGAATCGCTGAAAAGGTTCGTGCTAGGTCCATTTTTTAATTAAAGGTAAAATCCAAAATTTTCCAAATAGGTTTCTATAATTCTAAAGGTACGAGCTGTTTTCGTTTCTCATGACGCGCTTAAAAGCCGACGCTCTCGTTAATTTTGTACATTTAAACGCTTTATACATTTGATTATTAATTAGTACGCACTTAGGTGATGAAAACGTTTCAAGTAAGTAAAATCATGACATAAAACAGAAAAGGCAAACAAAACATTTCGTTTTTCACTTGCCTCATTCTTGTCATGATGTTGATAATTTAATACTATAACGAACAAAAAATTATCAAAGACACGATGAAGATATTCTAGCCACATTACAAATTAAACGATATTTTTTTCTGAGTATTATTTGTGGTACTTTTATCAAACATACCTATTGCGCAATAGATGTGCCGGTGGTGGCGCATCATGCACGTGGTGTTGAAAGGGTGCGAAGGCTCGGGCGGTGTGTGCGGGTCGCACGGGGGCGGCCGTGTGCGCGGGGGGAAGCTGCGGGGGCGCGGGCGGAGAGGTGCCGACCTCACGGGCAGCGCCCTCTGGCGATCCCGTCAGATCTATTACCAGCCGCTGAAAATATACTACTCTTACCAATCTGCTACTATCTATATACATATATCTATATACATATATTACATATAAATAAAATTGGAGTGTCTGTTTGTAATATTGAAATAGCCGCTTTTTACTACATGCATATGATTATATATACGGTACATACACCAAAATAACATTTTTTACAATTTTTGTCTGTCTGTCTATCTGTTTGTTCCGGCTAATCTCTGGAACGGCTGGATCGATTTTGACGGGACTTTCACTGACAGGTAGCTGATGATATAAGGAGTAACTTAGGCTACTTTTTTTAGACTAACTTCGCCCCGCGGCGTCACTTGCGGCACGACAATAACAGCGGGTAATATCGCGAGACTCGGCTATTAATAAAATTTAATGTTTCCGAAGCTAAGCGAAGGCAGGTCGCTAGTACAATATAAATTGAATTTTGGGATCATTGGTTTTAGCTGGAATGTAATCCTTGTTATAGATAAATATAAATTACGTTTGTTTAATTTGGTGGTACTTTTGGCGATATATTACTTTAAGCATGTTTTTTAATAACAACGTTAATCTTACTCAACTGTTTCGTTTTCGAAAAAAATCTTACTAAAGATGAGGTCGGTTTCTCTTTTAAACTTTACATAAAACATTTTCTGTGAACTTAAGCTCTCTGAACTTCTATCGTAGTCCGAGCACTAGACCCACTAGTGTATCTAAAGCGCCTCTTAATCACTACACTGTAAGAAAGTGTTTGACGACTTAAGTCTACATAACCAATTAAGATCAGCAAGTCTTTTGTCCTTCATTTTATGTGTGAAACTATGAACTTGAAAACTTAAATATTAGATCATTCCCTTTTTAGTGACAAGAATATTTTTTAAGAATTAAACCACCACCATATTATATTAATTAACAATGAGTTAATTTTTTTAAATCAATTTCTTTAATCCATAAAAATCTTTAAAATTATGATTATATTACCTGAAGTGCACACCGATTCACCATCGAAAATGATAAGTAAGCAATTTTGAAGTTTATGTAATTCCAAGGTGAGGATTTCCAAAACACAGAACACAATTCGACAGAGTCTCAGTTGTGTAATTAGGGAGCCCGTTATTAATTTTTATGTAAGCTGATTATTTCAAAATAAACACTGAATAGTAACACACCACATCTGGCCCCAACAGTTGTACGTCGTCATCTGAACTAGAGTCTGAGACCCAGTCTAATTGGAGATCAGGGGCCGCCAGTAACATGTTTGCAGATGAGGTATCCAAGTCCTAAAACATATTAAATCTTTTATTTTTTTAATGTTATATTGAAATTATGATAATTTTAAAAATAATGAGGGTATTACATATTTACATCATCAATATTCGAAAAATAATTGAGGGTATGAGTATAAAAACTATCAGCTTTTGTGATATTGTTCATAGCTAATTAAGGCAGGCATGTACTGTATTGAAACATGTTGGGCATAATTAATTTATAAATTGCAGTTTTAAATGAAGGATTTATCATATTATTTCAGAAATTGTCAGTCTTCCCATGCTTACTAACCAGCAGCAGACAATAATTTTTATTGACCGCTAAAGTAAGGATTTTGAAGTTCAATTTGCACAGTTTGTACAAAGAGCACTATTTATACAATTGGGACTTTAACCTCTTATCTCAAAATTCATTTACATTGTGTTTCAGTCAACATTAGGTCATCTTACATTTTCATTTTCATTTTTCTTTGACCCAAACAATAACACTATCCCTAAAGTAACACGGTAATGAGATAGTTTGGTGAATGTGTTGCTAATAGAAGCTGTAAGATTTTCTGACTGTACATCCCTGAATTTTGAAGTTGAGTAGAAAGAATATTAACCGTCTAAAGATTAGTCCAGTTTAGTATATATTTGTAAATTCTAAACCACATTCCTTAAGAGTTGGACTGTCATCCAAAAGTAACAGCAATTACCACTGTCTTTGACAGTATGCATATGTCTGCAAAAACTAACTTCCTAGTTTATTTATAATATTGAGAATTACAAAAAAATCTAAGCTCTTTTACCTCAGCTGCATTGGGTCCAACTAAGTTTATATTTGTTTGAACAGATTTTGCACTAGTGCTGGGCTGTGGAGATGTATTCCCAGCTACTGTTTCATTGTCAGCATCACAACTCATCCTAGAGGTGTTACCACTCTCAGTCTTTACTGTAACATCTAAACTTTGTTGTTGATTTGAATTGTGTGGCTCAGTTTTGATCTGAGTAGTTTGTTTTATCTCTGGTGCTTCTAGTTTGACTTCGCGTGGTAATGTTGAAGAACTCATTGAACTTGACTCCTGTTTTACTGAAGGTGAATTCTCTGGTTCAACTTTAACTTGAGATGCTTGTGATGTTCCAGGGTTTGGGTTGCTTTCAGTATGGGCATATCCAGTTACCTGATGATAATGTTGAGGACGATGGTGAAGACGTTGATAAGATCCACCTTGGTGGCCACTATGTGATGAAATGTTTCTTTGACAGTCCCTTAAATGTTGTTGCAAATTGTAAAGATGATTCAGTCTACTTGTTTCTGTAGAACTCGGAAAACAGCCTTTAATTTCAACATTCTGACTTGGGTTATTTACTTGTGCATTCAATTGTTGCTGATTTCCATCTAGATTATTTGACGACATGCCTGTGTTGCCATTTCTGTCTACAACCGAATCAGATGACTGAGCTGCANTTTGACAGTCCCTTAAATGTTGTTGCAAATTGTAAAGATGATTCAGTCTACTTGTTTCTGTAGAACTCGGAAAACAGCCTTTAATTTCAACATTCTGACTTGGGTTATTTACTTGTGCATTCAATTGTTGCTGATTTCCATCTAGATTATTTGACGACATGCCTGTGTTGCCATTTCTGTCTACAACCGAATCAGATGACTGAGCTGCATCTAGTGGTTCTTCTTTAACATCGACCCATGCAGGATCAACTGTGTGAGCTGTACTTGTTGATGCTTCAGCTCTAGCATGAGTTTGATGATTTGTGTTGTTAGGGCCTTGTTTTCTCTTAGGGGCAGATGCATTGTCATCCTCATCAGAACTGAGTTCTATTGGGTTTGAGGCAGGTTCACTCTCTCTAGATTGCCTTCTCCTTGGAGATATATTTAGTTTTCTACTGGGCCTTTCTAAACTACTTGGGCAAAGATCACGGCGACTGTTTTCAGGTGTTATGTTTTGATTATATGTCATGTTAATACCCACTGAGCTATCGTGTACCGGTCCACGTCCATTTGGTGGTAATCCATATGGAAGTGGATGAGACATATAATTTCTATTGTCACTAAGCACAACAACATTATTGTGATATGGTGAACTAAAGTATTCCCGGTAGTGAACATAGTTTGGATAGAAGCAGCTTCTTTGAAGCATAGGTGGCTTCGGCTGATACCTGATGTTTACATCTGGCATGTGTCTGTTGCCAGGATTAGAGTCCAAGTTGTTTAGACATTCATAATAAGCGTTTTCAATTGAGCTGGAACTATCAGGTAAAGGTTGATATTCTTCAGGCACTGGAGTATGTGCTGATGAAGGTTCTGAGAGTTGTTGTAAGTTAACATCAAATGTTGGATTTGAGATTGTTGAGTTCACATAGTTAGATGATACTGGTTTGGGCACCTGTTCGTTAAGTATATTTGATGCAATATCAGATGTGGGTAGCACCTCCACTTCATCATCACTCTCAGCAAACAAAGCATCACACTCCATTTCTTCTAAAATACAAAACAAAGTTGACAGGTTCATAATAATAATCCAGGTTAAAATACCTAAGATTAAGGCTGGTACAGAGCCGTGTCTTTGAAAATAAAAAATGGTTTCGAGATTATGAAGCAGTTAATATTAAGATGAAATTAATAACAACTAATATAGTACGAATTACTTGTGATGTAGGTATCTGCATAATATGTACGTAATTGAATACTGCGTAATAGTTTGTAGTTAAAATTGACTCTTATTTTAATTATTCTAATTGTCATTGTAAAACTTAAAAACACCGCAAAACGTAAACAGAAATACCATTTCTCTGTTGATTGTCAGCACTAGATGTGAAGGCAGTATCCAGAATAGCACCCAGAGACGACGGTCCGGGAACGTCCCAAGAAGACGTAGACTGTTCGCCTTCGAAACCCTTCTCAGTCATTCTTTTTAATAATGTTATCCCATACTGCACTTTAATAATTCAGGAAACTCGGACTGTTTGCGTCAGAAAAGGTTGATTGACCATTTCATTGGTTATGGGAGAATACTTAAACATACATAGCTATTTTTAACATGAATTTTCAAGAAAAACAAATACGAAATAAGTTTGTTCAATTTTGTTATTGTGAACAAAAATTTACATGGCTGAATTGGCACTTGGCAGGTGACTGCTTTTTTTCTCTGGCAGTTGAAACAAGATAGAGTCTTTTGAGCTTATGAACATTTTTCTTTTTCCTTAAAGCATAATTATTGCATTATTTTCAATTTCGTACAAATTTTGCAGCTCTAGCTTTAAAATCAATGAAACTAAAATTCTGACTTTTCCAAAAGTGCTTAGGACAGAACAAAGAATAGAATAATAAATGTTAACATATTTTATTATTTAAAGTGAGGGAACGGAGGAGGGAACTTTTTAGCGGGGACGCGACTTGTTTTATTATTGTTAAATGAATGATTCATAAAATTTAAAAGGTGCCATTTTAACCTTTAGTGTCTGTGAAAGTCCTTAAGCATGGAAAATGAAACAAAATCGCAAATAGCTTCTGAAATTTTTTCAAACAGTCCGTTGAAATCTTAATAAAATCCAGTCATTTTAGCGGAAGGTTACATTTAACACTATCCAACATATATTCGGTGTGATCTCATCTTATTTAATTTAATTTTATAATTAATTTTTCAAACGAGGGAGTTTTCTTTTGCGGAGGGTACTTAGCGGTAGGTAGCGGCTTGGCTGTGCACCTAGTATTGGTGATGGCCATGAGTGATGGTAATTAATCAACAGTAGACTCGTCTGCCCACAAACGCTATAAAAAAATTAGGTTCAGCTTTTTGTTATGAAACATTGCGTTCTATTATAGTCCAAGATCCCAGGGCCACCTGACGTCACGTATTTTCTGACGAACGAAATGTAGCCGATTGCGTAGTGTTAGTATCATATTAAGTGTATAATCTATGGTTAGTATGTACTAAGAACGTATGCCTGCCTGCTAGACGGCCAATTTTCAGGTATCAGGTAATTATATTATACTTAGTTATATATAATTTTTTTTACCCGGAAGGATAAAATTCAAGAATAATGGTAGTCAAAAGAGCATTTTTTTACAAATTAATTTTTAATTATTTACCTGATTATTTAATTTTTAACTGTATTTCTTTTAATATTAATAATTAATTGATATGAGTCAACTATCAGAGAGAGATAGAGAGACAGAGATGTCAATATATCCTAATGCATGTCTCACTAAGTCTCATGCGCGTGGATAATGCCCTCGCGCTCTTTCCTACAGAGGTATTAAATTGAATTTAGGGGATGATTGGCCCCTTGGATCGGTCTGTCTTTTAGTAAGAGGTTTTAAAATAGTTGTCTGGTGGACATATATAAAAATGAAGCATCAGAATTTACGTGAAGTTAGGTCATTATTTTGGGAGCTTTAAAGCGTTTGCAAAGCAATTCGGCCGACGGAAAGTGGCTGGGAGTATTGGCGACCTATTTTTAAAGATATTGCCTAAAGTATACGTAAAGATCAGCTTTCAGATATTACGTGAAGTTAGTAATGATTTTATGTACCATGATTACCTGATACCTGAAAATTGGCCGTCTAAGCAAGCTATCAGGTAAGCATGGGTTCTTAGTACATACTAACACTACGCAATCGGCCACATTTCGTTCGTCAGAAAATATATGACGTCTGGTGGCCCTGGGATCTTACTCTATTAGTTCAATTAACTATTTACGGAACAAATTAAAATAAAGAGAGGCGATAGAATAATTATATAAAATCTCTGTTAAATGGGTACGCTAAAACCGAAGTTGTTTATCGGTCTATTTTGTTAATTTAGTATTTCTGCAGATTTAATCAAACGTATAATAATATAGACTTTTTAACCGTATAGGATCTGTGTGAAGGGTATGGAAATGCTCAGATGATGGAAACAAACCTTTTATTAATATTAGTTATTTAAGACATTACTGTTTTTATTGATTTAAAATTTCTTGAGACCATAGTTTTCTTAAGCTACTCTTCTATCCACTGACTTTAAAATATTACTAGTGTTGTGCTACAGCTTACACTTCTTAATAGGGATGTACCTACTAACACTGAAAGTACACAATCGTGGAATAATGAAATAATCGCTAGACGTATCATCTTCGGGGGTTCAAAAAACTCAGAGTATAAAAAATAAATAAGTGGGAACAAAGCACGCACGCTCATCGGGCCCCAATTTAAGATACCCTATGCTATGGGTACCAGAAACTAACAAACATACATATATACGTTTAAATATACAGATACACATAAAGATAATAAACACCCAGGCAAAGAGCAAACAAACCTGTTCATCACACAATGTTTGTCCGATGTGGGAATTGAACCTACGACCTTCGGCGCACTAGTCAGGGGCGCTAACCACTGCATCATTAAGTCAGTCAAGTCAGTTAATGAAGTCATAGTAAATTCCCACTATTTGAATGGAAATTATTCCATTCAATCTCATCTCCCTTCGTACCATTCCATTTAATTTTCATCCTGATTGATTACAATTTAAAAAAAAAACCCATTCCGCTCAATATCAATTTGCAATAGAATTTGTACGTACAAATTAATTAAAATTTTAACATTTTTATAAACCCAACACTGACAGCAATGGTATTTACTGGTGGTAGGACCTCTTGTGAGTCCGCACGGGTAGGTACCACCGCCCCGCCTATTTCTGCCGTGAAGCCATTGCCATACTAAATAATAGAAGGAGAATAATATTTGGTAGGTAGGTATGGATACGGTACGGATGGTGGAAGTGTGGAAGTAAGTAGGTAGGTAGTACAGTCACAGTCGCTATGAACAAGTAATAGTGTTCTGTGGCTATGAAAATGCAACCAATAACCAATTAGGGTGCGTCACCCACCACTTGCTAGCTAGCGATATTTTTGTTGGGTTTTGAGTTATAATTGATACTTTTTCAACTTGTCCCCATTTAAGATGGTTCTTCTTATCTTACGAAGGGTACCTACATAGGTAGTACGGTACGGTACATAACTGCAATATACCTACCTACTTGAAATGTGAATCAGCTGTCAAGCGTCATTTTGATAATATTTGATTATTATTTTGATCTAAATGAACACTATGAAAGCCTGTTTAAATTTTAAAGGAAACGTTTGTTTACTTTGTGTGTAGTTTCAAGATTATGGCCGTGATAAGGCTTGTAATTTGTAATAATTAATCTATGGATTTTTATCACTTTTAAATTATCGTTATAAATTACTTAAATCATTCTTAAGTTGTGACCTAGATGAATGCCACACAGTTGTATTTTGTGTCTGGTGATGAAATGTTTATTGCGTCAGTTTTTCGTAATTAGTTCATTCGTTTACTTCTAAGTAAAAAAAAGAATCGCATGAAAATATTTTTTCAATTGAGGAAAATGTCATCAGTTCTGCCTTTTTTCCTTGAAGGAGAGGTAGTCAAGGGTTTTGGAAGAGGTTCTAAGGAACTAGGATGCCCAACAGGTAATTCAATTTTGAAGTAGACATGACGTTAATTTTTGTCTCAAAAACCAGTATTCACCAATGGTCATAAAATACCTACCTTGTTTTAAAATATGTGAAAATAATAATGTCAAAATATGTTAATATAAAAAAAAAAGCGGGAATAAAAATTATCATGTGCAAAAAATTTATAGTTAAAAAAAACTTAGATAGCAACAGTAAAGCTAAGCTAAAATAATTTTTTTTCAGACTTAAGATTTTATAGTTAAATGGAAAAAATCTAACCTATCAAATGCGATTTGATTGAGTTTCACCATTTATTTATGTAAGGTCCATTAGTAATTGGTATACCAAATGAAATGAATATAACTGACAGGTTTTACAACAATTGTAATTCATTGGAGGTCAAGTGGTACCTAATGTAAATAGGCAAAAGTAGCTTATTTGCACTTTAAATATGTGTTCAGAAAAAGTTTTAAAAATAAGGAATTTGTTGTCCATCATAAAATTATATCTCTGTCTTAAATACAGAACAATTTTAAGTCAAATAGGGCTAAAAGCTATAATAAGATAAAAAATAATAAAAAGGTGCATTTGAGAAATATACATAGTTTTGTGTACAAAATAACTAACATTTGTTTTGGTTTAATTAAAATAATTCCCAAGTTAGCATATGATTAACACCACATTTGTGATTAAATCAAGCCTCCTCTAGTTACTGCTAGGTACTACTTTTGGTAATGTAATTGTATCCTCATCTATATAAGTAAGGAATATTAGGTACCTACAAGCAACTATGCAGATGAGTAAAACCATCCTGCCTATGTTTAGTTTGAAGCTTGATAGTGTCTATAGTCTCGAAAAAAGGTCTCCTGTTAGCTCAGGTGAGCCATGAGCTCTTCAGACTCTGCTAAAACAGCTATGTAGGTATTACAATCCCACAGAGAAGCAATTAATGATTACATTTTTGTTCTACAATACTGGTGATTCCAGCACCACACACAGCAGTAAGAAATTAACGAATTAATTAACGTTAAGAATGCATAATTAATTAACTGTTTAAACAGGTGTAAAATTTAAATGCACTTCATTTTTATTAAAATTGAAGCAAAGTTTGGATTCGCTTAATTCAATATACTTTTTTTGTATTTTTTCGTGCCGGAGGCCGATCCTCGTACGAAGTCCCCGCGCCTACGTGGCGCGCGGTGTATGTGGGACTCGTCCGCGACCGCGAGTCCGCGGGCCCAAGGATGTTTTCAGGGCCCTACCCACTAAACGACTCCCCTGCACTCTTCGCCCAAGTGTCCGATCCCCACCGAGGTCAGAACCCGGATGAAATAAGGAGGTTGCCGCGGTCAACACTACAACCAGACGGCGCAGCTCACCCCAAGGACGCCCGGCGGACGGAGCCTTCGAGGCGAATCGAAGGCTCTGAAACATCGGCCGTCTCGGTACGGCAGCCCGTCAGGCCGCCCAGACGGTGCCGCTGGTGTTCTGGGATACCCCACTGGACCAGAAACAGCCTGCCAGGTCTGGACGGTCTCGGCCCTCTCAGGTCGCCCCGTGATCTTCACCAGGGGGAAGCCGCCACATACAGAATACAATACATAACAATTCTGAGGTGTTTTTATTAGGAAAAATAAAAGTTCTCTTTGGCAAAATTATCCTTACTAAATTCAAATCTGTGCTACTACGCACGGCGGACGGACTATGAACAAACAGCTAGAGGTTTGGTTTAAGCTCTGGTCACTACGCAGAAATCCATCGCCGCCGAGCAGGGGGTCGGGACCTAGGTTCCATTCGTGACTCGGCCCCTAAGAGCTTCGGGCTCCACCCGCTTTATGCGCGGAGGGACCCAGGCGGGGCGTGCTTTGCGCGCTCGCCCGTAATAGGAAGCTGGGTGATGGTAGACCGCGTTTCTCCGAAGGTGCAGCGCGACGCCATTAAGGCGGGCTCCCGGCCCGTCGACCGAGGGAACCGGTGGTCGGGTCGGCGGCCGCCGGTCCGGGGTCTGGGACGGCGGAATGGATGTAATATGCTCTGCGTCGACCCTGTCCCGCCATCTCAGTAACCCGAACTGAGCTGCGGCCCGGTCCGGAGTTGGACGCCGGCTGTAAGCGGCAGGAGTTTTTAGTGAGGTTCCATATACCGGGGATTCGGTGATTTTTCCTGTGGAAAAAAGTGTCCAGTTCGTAGTATCCATATTTTATTAGTGCCCACTGTTTGTTGTGGCATCGAACATGGAAACAAGATTATAATAAAAATATTATGATAAACTCAAACGTTAATACAAACTCCGTGACTTGGCAACTACACGTTTTGTGTTCCAAATGAGATTAACATTGCAAAATACATAGCCCTGCTTTTTTTATCTTGACTTAATTTCATGTTTAATAGAATAATTTAATGCTTACAATAATGAAAAACAAGTTTCTAGAATAGGTAGGTACTTCACACAAAAAAGAGTAAATTTCGCGGAGATTTGTGTGAAAGAAATCGCAAGAATAATTGCTACATTCATTGATGGGGCAGTTGAACGCCAGCAACCAACACTTCTTTATGTTAAAACCAAGCTTCCGGTCATAGCTGCTGCCGAGCAATTGGACATCAACACAATCTTAACAACTTACGCAATGGCAAAATAATTTTTTTAAAGATAAAGTTGTCCTGTCTGTCAACTTTCGCGTTATTAACAAGTATTTTGGAAGTAGTCACGATTTTTTCTAAATGTAAAAAAAATGAATTTACTTATTAGCAATTACGAATGAACACTACTTAATTAAAAATAGTGTTCAGACCGTTACAATGTCTTTTTTAACGTATGACGGTATGATACCATATCAGTATTGTGTTTTATTTGGTTTAATTGTACCTACCTATACCAGTTGTTGCGAGGTCATTCGCATGGCGCGAGGCGCCATACATAGCATAAATGAGAATTTGTAATCTAAATGTATTTTGGTACACAAGTTTGGTAAGCAAGTAGTTCTTAAAATACAGCCAATTAAAATGGATAATTAATAAATATCAGATTGATACAGAGCCGCCTTGTGCAAAAAGGTGATAATAACATTAGCAGTGCATTTGCAAATATTGTTGGCAAATCGCAAAAGAGCTGCGTAGAGCTTTATTTACGGTAATCACAAAACATGTTGTCGTCGTCGTGGCCTATACGATAAGACGTCCGGTGCATTCGTATCTAGCGATGCACCGGTGTTAGAATCCAGCAGGTGGGTACCAATTTTTCTAATGAAATACGTACTTAACAAATGTTCACAATCGACTTCCACGGTGAAGGAATAACATCGTGTACCTAATAAAAATCAAACCCGTAAAATTATAATTTGTGTAACCACCAGCAGTGGTAGGACTTCTTGTGATTCTGCACGGGTAGGTACCACCACCCTGCCTATTTCTGCCGTGAAGCAGTAATGCGTTTCGGTTTGAAGGATAAGGCAGCCGTTGTAACTATAATGAGACCTTAGAACTTACCTCAAGGTGGGTGGCGCATTTACGTTATAGATGTCTATGGGCTCCAGAACCACTTAACACCAGGTGGGCTGTGAGCCCGTCCACACATCTAAGCAATAAAAAATAAATAAAAACTTATTATATAGATTAGATAAAATTATAGATAGATAGAAGTTACATGTTAAGAGGATTATCAAATGGTTGAAGTATCACAACTTGTGCCGTGCACCGCATTCCATCAGCGCTGACCAGAGCATTCGTTTCAGACCAATACACGATTTGAGTGGACTTACAATTTTTATTACAATTACAAATATACTTTAAGCGCACTAATGTTCAATAGCATACAAGCCCAGGAATCATAAGGAATCAATAACATACAAGCCCTCTTCTTTCACACGCAACAGTGTATTTGGCTTCAATGATCGTATATTCATGATAGCTCAAGCCTCCGTATAGCTCACAAAGCCAAGTTTTCAAGATCTGCTGAATTAGGTACCCCCATAATAGCGTTATGAAGTAAGTTCTACAATACTGGCACATATTTTGGGGCAGAGGCATGGTACCGTCTTTGATTGAGTACGTGTCTTCGCCAATTTGAAGTAACAAAAAAAAAGTATTAATAACTATTACTGTCTATTTTCGCCCTCATATTGATCATCAATTCTGGTCGTAGTCCAGAGCTTTTTAAGCAGACGTTAATTTCCTCTTGTGTCTCTTTGGCCTAACATTTTTCCTTATATCTTGCAATGTTCTATCCACAGCCTCTATTCGTACTGCTTTACAGTATGCTATCGTGCATTTATACCACAAAATAGATATCATTCACACAAAACCCGTAGAGAATAAATTAATACTATCTTATTGAATAGTATACGACATTTGATATTAAAAATACATAAATTAAAAATAGATTATCGCTGGTGGTCATGTCGGCGACACAAGCCACCATTGGTTAGGGGTTGAGTGAGAACCTTCTCAAGTTACGCGTCTTATCAAGAATAATTGCTTGTACAAGGCCCTTAACCCAGATGGATAACAAAGTTTTTATTTATTAGATATTAATTTTAAATACAGAACCGATATATCGAGTTCAACAGTTCGCGTATAGACGTAACGTCTTGTCTCAAACTGGAGGAGCAGAAAAGGATACGGTTTCTAGAATAGCCAAAGCGCTACCTTCACACTTTGACCCATATGGCGACCCAAGGAGTCACTCGATTGATCTTTCGTTAAATTGAAGTCAGTCTTGCTGCATGGGTGCGAAATATGGAGGTTAACCAAAAATTCTATGCAGCCGCGGCAATTACTTAGTCTTTTCCGATCTGAGAAGATCACCAACTAACGCCTGTGAGAGGAGTGTTGAGAAATTGACATTTGACAAGCAGATCATGCATCTCAAATGGATAAGCCATACTCTAAGAAGAGATCCCATACACATCCCGAAGTGGACCCCCCCAGGACAAACTGAAAGCATCCCATCCCAAGCAGACCTGGCGACGCAGTGTTAGCGGAGATCAAGATAACCGGGTGAACCTGACCTGAAGTAAAGCGTGTAGCTGGGTTAATAAATAATCGATAAAGCCTCACCTGGGGGCCTTAGGACCTCAAACAATTTAAAATATACTAGAAAATCAATGTTCTGCCGCCTTCTAATCTGTTTTCGTATTTAGGAATTAAACCATTCCCATCCTAATATCCCATGTATATTTTGTTAGCAGTAAAAATATGATCCTTAAGGGGTCACCAGTACCCAATCTAACGATTCCACAATTCACAAATTATGTTTTTTGCACAAGCACAAGTTCCAATTTTTTATGTGGAATTTTATTTTAATATTCTAATGAGTTAAGTTCCAACTAAGTCGAGTAGTTGTATACAGCTAAAATATGAATAAAGAATTGCTGCATTCTATATAAGTGGACACTACAACTGTTTTAATCTGTTTCAGCTAATTATCCTTTGGAAGTTGTAAAATCTTTACCAAAAGGTTTGGAGCCAGGTGTTTATTATGGATGGGCTCAAGTTGACACAGGACCTGTATATGAGATGGTAGCAAATATAGGATGGTGTCCTTTTTACCAAAATAAAGAGATGTCTGTTGTGAGTTGACTAACTTAATATTTAAATAACGTCACTATAAAACTGAATTAATTCGTCTATTTTGTTTTTAAATTACTAATATGACATATTTTGTTGATAAAAGTACTACTGGATCGAATAAGAGTCCCAATATAATGTCAATTTTTTTATCTTTCAGGAAACCCATATAATGCACAATTTCCAGGGTGATTTCTATGGTTCTAATTTAAAAATTGCTCTAATTGGGTATCTGAGGGGAGAGAAGAACTTCAATTGTCTGGATGCTCTCATAGAGCAAATTCGAGAAGATATAAAAAATTCTGAACAAAATTTAAAGCAACCCTCAGCACAAAGTCTTCGTAATCATAGCTTTTTCAATAAAAGCATGTAATTGATCAATGATCAATAACTATAACTGGATGAGATACATAAGATATCCCATTTCCAAATCAATTTGAAGTTATAAAAATATAAACAAATATCAAATTATTTACTAAAAGGAAATAGCTATTGTTGGTTCAACTTTAAGAGAATAGATCCCCAAATCACTAGTAAGGAAATTAGCAAACAATTCACATCAAGAACTTTTAGTGTTGCACGTGCATAGAAATTTTAATATTAAAGTTTTGTCAACTGGGCTACATTGTATGTTTTCTACTATAATTTCAACTCTGTGCCAATACAGTGGTATGAGTTAAAACCTAGTTTACTAAATCTTTAAAAAATGTGCTGGTTGTTTTAAAATTTCCCCACCTAAACTCAAAATCCAACATTGTACAGCTATGCATTTCAAAGATCAATTTAAAATTATTGGCAATCAAAATTTTAAAAACGTTTTGCACTTTTAAAATACAAGCAGCATAACAGCTATATATTCAATGCTATATAATTATAGCAATACCAATAACATTTAAAAAAAATCGCTCACCAGAATGTATCCACATTTCTTTTCAAGAGGGGTTTACATACAATTAGGACAATTGAATGCATGCAAAATACATGTTTCGGTTAGTTATAGTAAATAAGAAAATGTTTTTGTTTCTAAAAAATCGAATTTAGAAAACCATTGTTCCATATAATGTGATATTGTTGACTAATAATATATATATATATATATATATATTAAAGATTGTGCAATATACTTTTATAAATAAATAAATTAAAGAACTTACTATTGTTATTTGGTTGTTTTTTTTGTAATGAAAGACAAGATTCCCTTTGAAAAAGCCTTTATTTGTAATGCTCAGATGGATCCATTGTAGTGAACTTGAAAAATATCACTCCATTATACAATTGGAAAAAAAATCTTAAAATTAAATAGGGCTCTGTCCAGGACTTAAATGTTAATGTTGTTTTCTTCTAAAAGAACATCCTGAAAACAAAATTAAATGAAATAATTTAATTTTTGCATTGTTTAGCAATCTAATTGTTTTTTTTGCTAACAGTTCATTTCATAGTGTATGGAGTAATCAACACTTCAAGCAGACTGCTAAACGTATCATTTGCAATGTTATTAAAAGTAATGTAGTATCCTCAAATAATCAAAATAGGGTAATCATTGAATCAAATATTGACTGATACTAATATGAGCTTAAACAAGATTGTGCAAGATTGTGCAATTCATTGTTATGGGTCACTCAGGTTTCAAACTTTACAGCATCTTACCTTCAGTTAATCTAGCACGGCCACCAGTGGGTTGACAAAGGATCGTTGAGCATCCAGCGCAGACCACCACTCTCTGTGCGTGACTAAAAACTGTTGTAATCTTGTAACAGCCAGGGCACTTAACATCCATGAAATAAGAGTTAGGATGTGGCACTAGCCGCTTAAGCTTATGTTTCCTCCTCTCCGACGCAGGGGAAGGATGCAACAAATCAATTGCGAGCTAGAAATGTAAACACGCAAATAGGTTATTTCACCATGAATCGAAATTAATATTTTTCTTCACCTAAATTAATTTTTCATTTCTTAATTATTATACTTTCAAGTTCAAATTTCGATATTATACTACTCCACTGATGTATTTTACGATTTGCAGTATATTTATGTGAATTAATCAATTGCTTCTGACATTTTATGCCATGTGTACTTTTCAGTGTCTAACCGTATTTATTTGAACTTGCACTCAATACCGTTATCTAATTTATACTATTGTATTAATATTAGCACACGCATATCTTTAAAGAACCAATGAAGTCACTTTACGCTATTTTAACAAATGTATTTTGTAAAATACACACCGGCATGGTTACAGCTTTAATGCACAACCGGAAAAGGAAAGGCGTCCAGAGTACCAACGACAAGTATCAACTATCAATCACTAAGCATAGACTATCACTTGGAGCATAGAGTAAATTGTCCAACGCCATCAATGCAGCTAGGATTTGTAGCGGATACAAGGTCCGCTAGTAAATAGAACGATTTCAACAGTTTAGAGAGAGCTGGAAAATAAGTGAAGGGAGAAGAGATATAATGAAAAACATAAAATCACTTTCATAAAACCATATTCAAATAGTAATATGAAATACTATATACAGAAGCCTATCCCCAAACTTCAATAAATGATACATTATATGTACATATATTCTTTGGTGGAAGCTCGTGCAATAATCTAAATTGTTTAAGTTCGTCAATTTGATATTTCTTCAGGTTTAAACGTATGATAAAAGCGCATTACTAATCGTTTAGTATCAGTAAAAATGCCCGACTATGCAACAATCAAACAAGGCTTTTAAAAAGAGTTCATTGAATCCTACATTTAAATTCCTACCATTGAATTTCATTAGAGAATCAGTTTTATTTTACTTGTTATAATAAAACAATGTTTTCAAGACAGCATAAAATATAATAATGATAGGTGGTAAAAATGACAATGTGTTTGAAGTATATTTCAAATAATGGAATATGGAAAAGAAGGTTACAACACTTGTCGTACCGTAAACTCCTTATTTTAAAAAGTTTTAGCTGTATGAGCTATTTTCCTTAACGAATCCATTACACAAAAAAAAAGTTGTGAAATGTGAGTAGAATTTATTCTATTATTAATATTTTGCTTCGATAGGTAAATGAAACAAAGCCGCTGAACGTAGCTTCTCGGGATCCTCCAAAAGGTCCACAGAAAAAGTCTCAGTAAATGACCACCATTTTACTGAGATTATATTTCATGCCATATAATCTCATCTCATTTCATATGATTTCATTTCATTTCGTTTCATTTCATGCCATGTTTCATATTAATCAACTTTATTTCATAAAATAATTTTTCATATAATTTTTTTTATAAAATCTAATATATAAAATTCTCGTGTCACAGTTTTCGTTGCCATACTCCTCCGAAACGGCTTGACCGATTTTAATGAAATTTTTTATGCTTATCCAGTATCTATGAGAATCGGCCAACATCTATTTTTCATCCCCCTAAATGTTAGGGGTAGTCCACCCCTAAATTTATTTATTTATTTTTTAGACAAAATTTTTAATTTCTATTTTTTTATGATACAACATACAAAAATACATACAATCCTCAATTTTCACCCTTCTACGATCAACCCTTATTTTATATTTGCTAATTAAAAACTTAAATTTTTTTTGCGAGAATTTTGTTTTTATTTTGTCATGACGCAGAATAAAAAAATTCATATTACTCTGAAATTTTCACCCCTCTACGATCAATCCCTATTTTTTATTTGTTAATTATAAACTTTAATTTTTTTGGCAAGATTTTCATTTTTATTTTTATTTTGTCATGAATTAAAATAAAAGATCTGATGTTACTCTCAATTTTTCATCCCTCTATGATCAACCCCTATTTTTTATTTGTTAATTATAAACTTTAATATTTTTGGCAAGATTTTCATTTTTATTTTTATTTTGTCATGAATTAAAATAAAAAATCTGATGTTACTCTCAATTTTTCATCCCTCTATGATCAACCCCTATTTTTTATTTGTTAATTATAAACTTTAATTTTTTTGGCAAGGTTTTTATTTTGTTTTGTCATGACTTAAAATAAAAAAAAACATATTACTCTCAATTTTCACTCTTATACGATCAACCCCTATTTTTCCATCCGATTAATATTTTTTTTATTCTATGCACAGATCCGCAATAAGGTTGCAATCAAATATTATAATTGTAGTACGATAAATTCTTATTCAGAGTTTATAATTTCAAGTTCCTTTAATTATGTTTTTTTTTTAAATTGAATTTGATCTCCCGCCCTCGCCTGTCGACTACTGATCAACTATCAATCGATCAGCTATCCCCGCCAGGTGTCACCACTCATCCAGCAAACATCACGTTGTAGGAATGAGGACGAAGCCAGTCTCCTGTCTTACTTACTCACTATACATCATAGATTATACACTTAATATATTTGAGAGCTATACAATACTATACATTTTTCAGCCATGTTTTTTTGGTTTTATTTGTGTATCAATAGTATGTTCAGTAGGTCTGAGAATGGGCTACTATCTATTTTTCATACCCCTAAGTGAAAAGGGTTGTCCACCCCAAACATTTATTTTTTATTTTAATTTTTTGGATTTTTTTGTTTGTTTATAATGAACTATGTGGTTAAATGAGGTTTTTTTTTCTACAGTAGAATTTCCCTAGAAATCTTATTTAAGGCAACACAACGTTTGCCGGGTCAGCTAGTATTAGGCTATAATAATATGGTATGACATATTTGCCTTGCCAGTTGCCAGTTAGAAAAATAAATCTACTACTACTTTTGACTTTTGCTTCGATCAACATTAATTGTTGTTTTGAAGATAGTTTGCTAAAATCCTACGATCACTTACCTACTCAGTGTTTATTCTTTGTTCATAACAATAAGAATAAAAACGTTGTTTAAATAAGTTTCTTCAATAGAATACTATTTTTTAATTTTATAAATGGCAGATGAGGAGTACGAAGCCGATGATGGTGGTGCAGATTATGACGACATTGCAGAAGAAGATGATAACATTGAAGAAACAGAAGAACAGGAAGAAGATGGCTATAATGTGCAATGTCTGGCTTTGGGACAGGCTGGCGGTGGAGTTGACANAAAAACGTTGTTTAAATAAGTTTCTTCAATAGAATACTATTTTTTAATTTTATAAATGGCAGATGAGGAGTACGAAGCCGATGATGGTGGTGCAGATTATGACGACATTGCAGAAGAAGATGATAACATTGAAGAAACAGAAGAACAGGAAGAAGATGGCTATAATGTGCAATGTCTGGCTTTGGGACAGGCTGGCGGTGGAGTTGACAAATCTAAACGTATAACTACTCGGTACATGACCAAATATGAGCGCGCGAGAGTTTTAGGTGAGGTTATATTTGAATAAGGATAATTTTTTGTGTTATTCGTTCTTATATTAAGTACTTACCCGCAATCAAACCGTGTGTTATATTAGACTGGTTCATTCAGCACCACGTCAATATGATTATGACTCAAATTAAGGTTTTTGGTCCATTTTGAATAACGAAAAGATTGTGGAGGCTTTGACTTAGTTACTAAAAGGTACTTGGCGGGGTGTGAACCAGAGAAAAAATAATTTAAGAGCTAAGGATTACTATTATAATTTTTCAGGAACCAGAGCTTTGCAAATAGCAATGTGTGCTCCTGTCATGGTGGAACTTGAAGGAGAAACTGATCCATTACAAATAGCCATGAAAGAGTTGAAGCATGGTAAAATTCCCATCATAATTCGAAGATATTTACCGGATCATTCATATGAAGACTGGAGCATAGATGAACTCATAATCATAGATCAATAAAATTAATTATAAAATATGTTTACATTAAGAAATCTTTCTAACTTTTATAAATTATTTTACATTTCAAATTTGAATTCAATCTCATCATCATAAAAGTAAATTAGGTATTGAAACTCAAATATTTACTGTTGATTGAGAGATTGAATTTTTTAAATAAATAAAAATAAAAAATAAAAATGTGTTTTTATAGAAGACCTAAGCTGATCAAAGTTTGAGAGTAACCTTTCTATAATTTTAATTGGCTATATTGATCTGATGAGAGAGGATTTGCTGGGTGCAAGCAGTGTAGGACCGATCGTTGTGAGAGATCATGCGAGGCTTGGGGGAAACTTATGTCCAGCAGTGGGTTGATAGATACTGATCTGCACATTTTGCAATTTATGAAGTATTGTAATATGATTAGAAAGAGGGAGTTATGGTATTTCTTCAAATAAAAATAATGATAATTAAAGAATTAAATGTAAATGTGTTTTCTCGTCGGAGCCTCGGATGTGACTATTTAAGTATTGCCCTTATTATTTGCTCAGCTGCTTACTTCGTCAAATATTCAATATATCACGTTTGATGTGGTTAAGGGCTGTTTATAATCTTATAAGTTTTTCAGGGGCTTTTTACTTATATTGTTTTGAGAGTGTCTAAATAAATATTATCATGTTTATCATGTTCTTGTTTTTTGTGTTTTGTTTGAATAGACGCCGAACGAACTAACAGTATTTTGAGGTCTGAGCATCTGGCACTGCAAATAAAAAACGCGAGATTAACCCGTCGAAGCAATTTTAATTATGTCTACGACTCGCAAAACCGAAGAGAACCAATACTAAATATACGCTAACTAATCAAAAATATTAACTACCACAAGTTGTAACATTAGTAAAAAAAACTTAGTTTTTTTTTTGGTTGCTTAGATGGGTGGACGAGCTCACAGCCCACCTGGTGTTAAGTGGTTACTGGAGCCCATAGACATCTCCAACGTAAATGCGCCACCCAACTTGAGATACAAGTTCTAAGGTCTCATTAAGGTTACAACGGCTGCCCCACCCTTCAAACCGAAACGCATTACTGCTTCACGGCAAAAATAGGCAGGGTGGTGGTACCTACCCGTGCGGACTCACAACGCGTCCTACCACCAGTAAAAGTTGGAAACACAAGTTTTTATTTTATTGTCAAAGTGGGTAAACGAGCTCACGGTCCACCTCATGCTCAGTGGTTACCGTAGCCCATAGACATCAAGAGCATAAAATTAAATGCATCCACTCACCTTGAGTTCTAAGTATTCCATAGCATTATAAATGGCGGCTCCACCCTTCGAAACGAACGCATTACGACAGAAATAGGTTGGTATATACCCATGCGGGCTCACTAGTCGTCCTATCACCAGTAACATTTTGTATATAGGTAACTGTTATATCTCTTGAAATTTATTAAATTAATAAAAAAATATACTTAGATATTTATTCTCCCTTGCACATAAATGTGCTACATAAGTACCTATGCATATTTATAAAGTTTATTCTGAGATAAGTAAAAATGGCATCCAATTTACAAAAACTAAAGTGAAGTACCTACATATCTTGTCGTAGAGTTGCAGATTCATTTAGGAACTAATTGAAACAAAAAAGTCGTGATTAAGCCCTTGATGTTTGTAAACATGTACCTATGTGAGAATTCGAAAAAGCTATGAAAATACTATCTTGTTGTTTTAAGTTCGTCAACCTTTTCCGCCCGATATACAGATGAAACGTCTTTAGAAAAATCTGTTACAGCAACTACTAACTAAAAATCAAAAGAAAATACAAATTTAAAATAGTTTACATACATGTTCTTAAGGGTTTAGACTAATAATTAAGAAGCAAGAACATTTTAATTCAACAGCTCGTGTTACAACTTCAAAAATGCATGCACACGAACATCATTTTAGACAGTAGGTATACGGCCTGGCCTACCTGGTGGGGAGTGGTCACCGTTGCTTATACGTTTGTAATGCTAGAAGGATCTGCAACGCCAAGGCGCTGTCCAACGAATCTAAAAATTTAAAGCAGCTATTTAATATTGGCAACCGGCGTCTAAATTGATTTGAAGATATTGAAAGTAATATCAATTATTTATACTTAGATGTCGTTCGTGCTTTTAAAATCATCGCTCACAAAGTTCTTAACAGTAAATTATGCGAGACTATTAAGCCTTTTTTTTCTCCTACCTATGCTGATAGAGGCTATTTCAGCTTCACCTTAACACGTGTAGGCGAGCTCACGGGGCTCAAACCGGAGTGTTGCTAACACTGACCCTAGCAAGAACAGTGCTTCGCAGAATCTACCACCGGATTGGAAACGCGACCCACTGAGAAGATCCGCCGAACTGTTAAGCCGGACTTTATAAAATTGTTTTTGAGAAACAGTTCTTTAACATATAATTTTGTAGTTATAAAGAATACAATAATGTTTTTGTAGAAAATTTTAATGAACTTTTGATTTTGAAGACATAGAAGAACTGTGTAAGTATTTAATAAAATTATTTATGACCGTATTTATTAACGGTACCTCATCTCGGTACTTTAGATTGTGGTGTGCTAAACGAGTAGCAATAAAATTGTTTGTGGAATGTTAAATGAATTTGTGAGGTATTAAGGAAGCGATAACCGTATGCCGATAAAATACGCATTTGAAACAAGTTCTTTACTGCGTTTAGTTAACGAACGAAAACTTATTTGAATTGTAATTAATGTATATTTGTAGCTTAGTGCGTCAGTGAAACTGTTTGATTAGTTTCAGGCGTCGGGAAACAATTAGTTAGACGGTAGAGAAATGACTGTGATGGAGCGCGTCGCGTGTGCCGTTGTCGCCTTCGTTCGTGGGCCGAGCTTGGCACGCGTACCACGCTGAATATTGCTGAGAGCTCTGGCGAGGGGAGCACCTCACACGCGCGCCAGTACCCCTCCGACCAGCGATGCTGTGCTGTCTCCGGAAATAGAGTACGTCCGATTTCTTTGCGAATATCGTAGTTGGCCAACCGCATTGCACCGGCGTGAAGCCGATAAACTGCGGTTCTGGTTTGATGATAGAGGCTATTTGGTTCAATTGATCGAAAGTTACTAATCCTTTACAAGAATTTACTATACCGCATTTTAACGGCAGCTATTTCAACCCGACCTTCATTCTGCGGAATCAGAGTCGGGCTGAACTAGTGCATTTAGTGTTTTCTCTGGTTTAGTGTAGATGTGTACAACGTCTGTGGATCGACAGATCAGGTGCGCGAGTGTCAGTGCAAATGACTAAGAGCCCGCCGTGACGGGCTGAACTTTACAAAATGTGGACCAAGAGATTAACGCTATGGAGGCTTACGTTGTGCGTGCTGGTGTCATTATCGGCGCTGGCCGCCCTGTCGCAAGGTGAGTCCTTGTGTCGCGCCGTTCTACGAGTGGGAGACGCACATCTTCATTCGCGCTCTGCGTCACTATATCGATGCTATTTTCGGAGTTACATGCGCTGAAATTATGTAAAAAGCTCACGTATGTGCGCTATTTTTGGCGATAGCCTTAGTAAAATTTTTTGTATGTCAAAATGATCTTATTGACCTAAATGCGTCGGAAATCACAATAGCAAATGCTATAAATTGGTAACGAATAACAATATTTCAGTGCCATGGCAAAATGCCGTCAAGCGTTGTACATCACAAAGTCAGATACGCAAATAGAAATACTGGGATTTGTCGCTGAGCGTCGCCATCTTGTGAAAAACGATAGGATCGTTTAATGCCGCCATAAATTTTCAAGAAAGTAGTTTTAAACGTTCTCGTACGATTCTTTTCTTTAAAAACTTTATGTTAAAATTTCTTGATTCCATAAAAATTCCATAAAATGTTCTCATCTTATTTTGTAGTATTACTTACTGGCTGGGTCAGCCATCATTTGGCTTTTCCAGTTCGTAGGTACCTATAGCTTATCATTTTGTATTATCCTATAGATATATTAGTCCAGATGTCTATGATTGGATTGATCTAGGTGTATTTTTGTGCATTTTCATCTTGTTCTTGAAATTATAACGAAAACAATACATATACATTAATTGAAATATATATGGATACGTTAAACAGCTTTATACTTCATGTAGGTACCTATAACCAAACAAATTGAGGAAACTGTATGTTGATTGAATTTTTATTCATTGATTAAATACAGACAAAAACGGTTTACCGTACAAAAGCGATGTAAGAATTTTCAATGAACCTCCGTTATAATTAGTTAGTATTAACATTATTAGTATTAACAGTTGCAAAATCATATCATCATCAAAAATATAATACTAATATCAAAAAGTTTAATTTTATCTAAATCTATTTTTTTTTCTTATATTTATATTACATGTAAACTTAATCAATGTGAAGCATAAACATCATTAATTTCATGCAAAGACTTGCATGCACCAGCCCACGAATACTGACTTTGTGCGGCGAGGTCAAACTTTCGGCCGTCAGATATAAATAATAGCTGATAGTAAAACTGATGAACGAAAAGTAGCGCCGAAGAAACGCAAGATTTTAAAATGAGTAATACCTATCCTATTATTCCTGTTTGACTTTGAATACCTACTTTTTTTTAAGTGACCTACTCACGTACCATTATAAGATACTAGCCGTACTCGCCCGCTTCGCTGGGCATTTAAAATTAACATTATTATTTATTGTCATTATTACTAGGGAGTTCAACACTCATATAAATATTAGCCAATCCATTATGTACATGTATTTACTACATGAATACCAAGTTTCAAGTCAATCGGATGCATGGTTCAGTTGCTATAACGGAACATCCGTAAATTTTTATAATACTTATTATTCTGTTAATATAAAATATACTTGCACATTTTCCAGTAAAGACAAATTCGATCAGAATATTCCCGGCAAGACTCTAGCCTAATTTTTTATTGAGCGAAATTATATAAATCTATAGGTACTCGTAATAGCAATAAAGTAGTCGTTTTCTGTTTAGAGCCATATGCTATCCGCCTAAACTTTAGGTAACCTAAACTTTAGGTGGATAGGACATGGTCTATTTCACTATTTGATTAACTGTCATGTAGAAATTTACAGTCGCGTGATGTGGAATAGTTGTAAAAGCCGTTGTATACCACGTGTTGAATACGACTGCCCATTTCGAGACATTAGACGACTGGTGGTAGGGCGTCTTGTGAGCTCGCACGGGCAGATAGGCCTGCCTATTTCTGCCGCGATGCATGCGTTTCGGTTTATGTTTATTCTTTCAAGTCAAGTCATAAAGTGAATGTCGGCATTGACGTTATTGAAGTCTATATTGAAGTCTCAATTGCTTCAATAAGTTCTTGTGACAGGGACTTTGGGTTTCTATTTCCCTCTCGGTGCCGTATCGCCGCTGGCGAGCTTGAAGACTTCGGCTGTATCTGTATTTGTATGACACGGGTGCCGGAATTCACGTTGTGTAAGGAATGGGCGCCGGTCGCAGATGATATCGTCCGTAGCAGTCTACACATCAACAGCAATAACTCCCTCTACCCAGATTTAAGCAGAAATCATGGTTGGTTTCCATCTAAAGCCTAGGTTAATTTATAATCAAATTATAAATGTAAATGTAAAGTTAAAATGTCAAATTAAAACACTGACTACCTATTTCTATTGTTAATAATAGAAGTGTTCAGAAAAAAGTAGAATCAACATTGTAAGTTTTTAAGTTTTAACCTTACGCTGTTATATTTTTAGTGTAATGATCTGTTCTGAGACTCAGGAGTAGTGGATACGACACATGAATGATAAATGTCGAAAAAAAGGAGAACTGTGTGCTTAGTGCGAATTTTTTAACGTTCTCGATAGCGTAAAAGTTCACTAAAATTTGTATGGGGTTGGAACGTTTGCCTACGTTTGCCGCTAGGGGCGCTGTTCTCCATACAAATTTTAGTTAACTTATACGTTATCGAGAACGTTAACAAGCTCGCACTAAGCACACTGTTCAATCTTGTGCTAAATTAATAGTTTCGGTTGACTCAAAAGGTTGAAGATAAAATTAAAATTACTTTGTCAATGTCAACAAGACATGCATTGATTATTTATTTTTTTGTAAAAATCGAGGATTACAATGTCAATTGAAAAAAAATCCTACTTTAGATAGATCAATTTAATGAATAATTTTAATTAGAATGGAATCTCGATATTGATTTTCAATTAAGAGTCAATATTGTATTTAATTTTAATGTAAGCATTTTGTAGCTAATTTTTAAATCACATAAAGCTGTCCAATTTCTTTTCGATAAAATAATTATTTAGTAAAAATATTAATTTAGTATAAATGCACCAACTGTTTCTTTATTTAATATACGGGAAATGTGTGAGTTCTGTATGACGTGTTTGTACAACGTGCCGAGCGGAAGACTTGAGCTCAACACTATGTGTATACAATCTTTGTTTTATAAACAAAAATAGATCTTCTGAACCTAATGATCAGGCAAACCTTAGAAACCATCTTAGTACCTGACATTTCGTCAGGTTCGTATTTCATATTTTCTTCTATGGACATGATCTCTATTGGACTTAAAAGCATAACTACTGCGCCGCAGAAATAAGGAGGATAGTAGTAGCTATTTGTGTGGGCTTACCATTTGTCGTATCACCTTTAAGAGCCCATTAATGATTCCAGTACACTGGTATGGAAGTAGGGTTTCCTCTCGAAGGTACCAAATAAAATATTTGATAAAAAAAAAGTGTTCCAGAAAACAAAGTATCACTTTATTTAATCTCACGGACATATAGTACAAGTACAAGTAAAGATAACAATGAACAATAATAATAATGTTGAAATGGTAGATAAATCCAAGAAAAATGATTCGAAAACTCAAGATTTTAATTATAGGGAAATCTACAACTACATTACAATACATTTAATTTTGTCTTAATATCATACAAGTTCATCAAAATGTAGGGCTATATAGTAAACGAAGAGATGTGCATTCGATATATACTAGAAATAAAAATAAAGTTCAACCATAATTCAATTAAGCAGTTAATTATTGTAAACTTATTATAAATTAATCACTTGTTCCTTGGCCAGTGCATATTATTACAACAAGGGTATTTTGGATCGAAACTGTAAGTCTTTTAATATTAAAAGTATCGTAACGAAGTCTCATCAAATTAAACAGTACAGTCTAGACTGTATATCTTATTTATACGTCATGCTATCTATGAAATNAACCATAATTCAATTAAGCAGTTAATTATTGTAAACTTATTATAAATTAATCACTTGTTCCTTGGCCAGTGCATATTATTACAACAAGGGTATTTTGGATCGAAACTGTAAGTCTTTTAATATTAAAAGTATCGTAACGAAGTCTCATCAAATTAAACAGTACAGTCTAGACTGTATATCTTATTTATACGTCATGCTATCTATGAAATGCGTGCCTAATCATCACTTCACAATAAAACTTGATATGCTTTGTGGCACAAATGCTCTTTGACAACTTTAAAGAATAATATGTGAACAGAAAAATATAGTATTTAATACTAGAACGTTTTGTGTGATATATTGGAACGAAGTTCCTTACGGCAGGCTTGGAGGGGATAGGGATTTTGCTGCGCGACCGAACTAAAAAAAATGTGATAGTAAAACCGTAAGAAAAAATCAAGGGATTCTCCTCACGTGTACTTCTATTTTGTAGAACGAACAAACGAAAAAGAATATCATTTTGAAATCTGCACTGCCCCATGTAGCAAAAAGCCATGAAATAAAAACAATTAAATATGCCCCGTCGTCGCTAGTACTGGTTTTTTAAATGCAAATATTGCCCTATTAAGTTTGTTCTTCACAGGAACACGTAAGCCTGAATTTCACCGTTACACGTAGGTAATACCAAGAAAAACAACCGCCCTCAACAAGCTCGTCGTCTTGAAGTCGTCGTGGCCTAAAGGATAAGACGTCCGGTATATTCGTAGCTAGCGATGCACCGATGTTCGAATCCCGCAGGCGGGCACCAATTTTTCTAATGAAATACGTACTTTAACAAATGTTCACGATTGACTTCCACGGTGAAGGAATAACATCGTGTAATAAAAATCAAACCCGCAAAATTATAATTTGCGTAATTACTGGTGGTAAGACCTCTTGTGAGTCCGGACGGGTAGGTACCACCGCCTTGCCTATTTCTGCCGTGAAGCAGTAATGCGTTTCGGTTTGAAGGGTGGGGCAGCCGTTGTAACTATACTGAGACCTTAGAACTCTTATCTCAAGGTGGGTGGCGCATTTACGTTGTAGATGTCTATGGGCTCCAGTAACCACTTAATATCAGGTGGGCTGTGAGCTCGTCTACCCATATAAGCAACAAAATAAAAAAGCTCCAAGCTCTATATTTTACGAGCTTTTATCAGCGAGTTTAACATTTGCAGTAGAGTGAATAGTCAATATTGTTTTTTTACTATTTTACAATATACAGCCACGAGCAAAAGTATTAGCTACCCCTATTTTTACTATCGTAAAACTGGCAGTCCAATAGGGTGCTTTTGCTCGTGGCTGTATTTTAAACAATAAATCGGTCTATAATGGCGAGGCGGCATCATATTCTTTGAAAGTTTTATCAACACTTATATTACGAGTATTAAGAGGTATGATTTGTTAAGCCTTGACTGATTCGTTTGCTTTTAAAGATACTGCCACAGCTCTTTACATGCGCCTGATACAAAAAAAAAAAAATACAAGCCATTCATTGGGGGTCCAGTCTTTTTTTTTTTAAACGTAATTTTAGATCAGAATTATTTTAAGTTTTTATTATCAAGAAATTCAGAAACAGTCTCCAGTACCACCTTTAGGTTTTTTTTACGATTGATCTAGTTTGAAAAAAAGCGCTGTCGTTTCATTGTTTGCGATTTATAATATTTCTGTTTACTTATTCCAGCTGACGGCGAAATACCTTCAGAATCACAGTGCCGTCCTTACATCGAAAAAGCCCTTAAAGAGCTTGAATCTGGAGATTCGGAAAAAGGTATTGTGTTACAGTAAACAATGTTTTTTGACAAGACACCTAGACGTGATATTGATTTGAGGTAATATGCATATTGAGGTCAATGTATAAAATTCGTCCGTCTTCCAACGCCAAAGCATGAATACTATGCGGTAGTAAAATTTATGTACATATGTCGCGGTTGTTTTTTTCCATCCATCTGCACTGCATGTATCCGTAGTTTTCTGAATCTGTTGATCATGATTCCTTTGCCATTCGATAGATGTTCATAATTTATTAACGATCTCTTAATACAGTCTTTAAGTCTTATCAAGGTCTGCTGATAGGAATTACTTGTTCTGATTTGATGAGTAGGATAACAGGTTGCACGCAGTTGAGATTTTGCCTCGTTTCAAAGTAAATGACGCCATTTACTTTGTATTATCTGTGGGCTTCGATAATATCAAGTGTTTTCATCGGTTTTTGCGAATTATATGTAAACATAATTAAAACTATTATTACGGTTCAATCTCGAGTCTCTCGACGGTTCGTTCCTGAAATTGATTGGGAGGAATTAACTTTCGGAGCATACGTTTTTGTTATAAGTTATCAAAAACTTATACAGATGAAATTCATAGTAGATAAAAAAACGGGAATCTCGATTATTACTTCAGAGATCTTTGAGCACGCGAATAATAAGAGTGATTAGCGTTGCAGAGTTACTGGGTAAATTTGTTTTAATTTAAATTTTTTTCAAGGAATCATAGTTGCCTACGTAGTAAAGTTTTTACGACCTCGCTGAAAACCAGGAATAGCATCGAGATTGACACAAGTTTGTTGGTGTGGATGTTGCGTCTATTTTAATAGCCCAGATACCGGGCTGCGTCATCGATATATTGCGACGTTAAAGAATAGCCATCACTTGGAACTCTAATAAACTAGTTCGACGTGAATGAATCATTATCGAAATTCCTCATTTGTTTCGTGTTTGGATGAATATTGACTGACACTCGCAGCTGTCGACATTACACTCGTGACCTTGTAACGGTATTTTATCGTCAACAAAGTCATTAAAACCATGTCATAATCGTACTTCAAAAGGACTGTGAAAAAGTTTTGAATTTTAATTAAAAGAAAACAATTATTTATCTCTAAGAAGGTATCCATGCCGGCACGCGAGTTAGTGTTTTTAAAACCGTTGCTTCCGTATATTGTTAACTATGTAATACAATGTCCTAAGACTGCCAGGCGTGAGCAATCGCGACCACACATCACATTACTTATGACGTATGCCCCGTCGATCTTTTATAAATCTGTTTATATTTTACTAGCGACCCGCCCTCGCTTCGCTTCGGAAACATTAAAACACACATGAAACCAAAAAAATAAATAAAAAAAAGTAGCTTATGTTCATCAGGGACAATGTCGGCTTCTAATGGAAAAAGAATTTTTCAAATCGGTCCAGTAGTTTCGGAGCCTATTCGAAACAAACAAACAAACAAACAAATCTTTCCTCTTTATAATATTAGTATAGAAAACCAAGAAATCGAGAAGTTAAAAAAACTCGCACTAAGCACACGAATCGGAATCACAACCCGCTGAGAAGATCTATCGAGAAAGTCAGTGGGTTGTGAGTGTCGAAAACAGTTACGCGACCTCTGCTTCAAACTGATGCTTTCAATTAGGTATCTAAAACTGAAGCTGACGTAAAGTGTATAGAAAAATTTCTCTCATTATGTAGCCTGTTAGCATTTGTGGCATGAACTTTAAACTACTCGTATATAATCAGTATTAGCTAATTCTTAAACACTAAACTGCTCAATATCGTTTAAAAGACGCGCGAGTTTATTTAAACAAACTGACAACAAACAAACGAAAGCACAATAACACTTTTTGTAATCTAGATAATGTAATATCGGTAGTTACTTAAGCATTAAATTAGAAAACAATCAAATCATATTTTTTGTAATACCGACAGTACATTTAAAATTATTAAACAAGTATGAATTTAATTCAGAATAGGAATGCTACATTTAAAAGCCGGAGAGTTTATATATGGACCGTTTATTTTGAAAGTGGTGTAAGTCCATTTTTGAGAAAAATGAGCTATCACGTAATTCATGCTTAATTTAATGTAATTTTTTTATATATAACTAGTCCGTGTTTAATTTCTCAAAAAAATCCCATGTTATGTACAACTTAAAATCGGTCGGTAAATGAAATTGCATAATCATTGATTATGAAAGTGGTGTAAGTCCAATTGACAGAGGTAGGTGGCGTAGTCAGACCTCATATGATTTGCCTGTATTTTTAAATCAACAAATATAGTAACCTTTACTTTTCTCGAAACAAAAGAAAATGGACTTACACCACTTTCAAAATAAACGGTCCATATTACTAAAGTTTCAAAAAGTATTTCCATTTATCTACATAATACAGCACCATGATTGGAATAAAAACTAAGGTAGAGCTATATTGCATTTCAGGCCATATCTATACTATCTATACTAATATTATAAAGAGGAAAGATTTGTTTGTTTGTTTGTTTCGAATAGGCTCCGAAACTACTGGACCGATTTGAAAAATTCTTTTTCCATTAGAAGCCGACATTGTCCCTGATGAACATAGACTGCTTTTTTTTTTTTTTTTGGTTTCATGTGTGTTTTAATGTTTCCGAAGCGAAGCGAGGGCGGGTCGCTAGTGATTGATAAACACGATAATGCATAAGCGATAGTTCATATATTACGGATATTTATGTATGTATGTGTATAAATTGCGAAACAATGAAGGCCATTAAAACCGCCATCAAAAAATGAATCAGGCTCCCAGATGCTCTTAGCTAAGGATTTGATTGAACTTCCCATAATATGGCCGAACTTTAACAATATTAATTAAAAAAGTTTATTGTTTTTTCGAAACAGAACAAAACCTTTAGCGGATTCGAAGTCAAGCATCAAATAAACGATTTTATGAGGCTTATTTTTTGGACGTATTTTTTTTATTGTTATTATTTTGGCTGATGTCGATTATACTAAAAGTATGTTATTTTTGAATGCAAAAAAGCTTTCATAGGAGTATGTCACTGGTTAATGGTGATTATGTTTTTAATATGCAGCTTTCTCTATATTAAAAACACTTACGGCAGAACATCGTTATTCTTTATGTAAAACTTACTATGTTTTTTCGAATACTTTAGAGATATCGTGGTCTTCTAATGCGTGTTTTCAAACGATAAAGGAATAACATCGTGAAATCAAATTCACAGGATTATAACTGTATAATATACTTGAATAATTTTTCGTAAGGAACATCGCAAGCCCGGGAGCTACATAATTTATAGAGTATAAAATACAACCTTAGGTCTGTTCACAACGCAGGAACCTATAGTATATTATAGTACCATGAACATGGATTTTTTTTTTCTTTATGGTAGCTACTCATATGGAGTAACAATTATTCCTTAGGTATTATTTTTAAGTGATTGACACCTCTATCGAGAGTAGGTTGACATACTCTCGACTGATCTTAATAATACCTTGTCAGTTTTTTGTGGTTTTTTGTAATAATCTTAGGCTTAGTACCGTGATTTATAATATATTGTCAATGCATTACAGATTCCACAGAAAAAAACGACAGTAGTGAATTAAGTATAAACGACGACACGAATGAAATAAGCTCTTCAGAAAATGATGGGGAAACGCTAGAGGCCGGGGAAAGCAACGAAGACGATACACCTTCTGTTGAGATTGCAGACGAACCCTATGTATCTCAATTATCTGTGGAAGATTTAGATGACAAGCCGGACGAATCTAGTGAGGACGTTGCGTCTGGACCTCAAGACGAAGGTAGTGTCGAGCAGTCAGAAAATAACGAACAAACTGAAGACGGAGACAGCAAAGAAGATGGAGAAGCATCTGCTGAAGAGACAGCTGAGCAAGGTATATATATATCCATAACGTTAATATTAATTTAAGCAGTTTTTTTTATCATTAACAAACAATAATCAAATTTCAGACAGCGGTGATGAAAAAGAAAGCGAGGATGGCGATGAAACAGAAGATTCTAGAGAAGATAGTAAGGAAACAACAGCCAATGACGAAAATGATGATTCGAGTAAAGAAGATGGTGAAAACGATCAATCTGACGATATAAATGAATCTGCGGATGAGGAATCTTCTGTTGAGGCTAAGGATGACAAGTCGAGTGAAGATGATGACGGATCTCATGAAAAGGCTGATGATGAAAACAAAGAAGACCAGGGCGAATCACTTGAAGAAAGAGAAGACGGGGCCGATGAACAATCAGACGAAAAAGATGATCACTCAGAAGACGGAAATGGTGAGACTAATGATTCGGAAGAAGCACAAGACGATGGTTCTGAAGATAAAAAATCTGCAGAGAATGAGACTTCTGGTGAAGATAAGGATGAATCTATCGAAGAAAAAGTTGAAGCTGAAAATAAATCAGACGAGGAAGATAAGGAAGATGTATCAAAGGAGAACGATGAAAAACAAGAACAAGACAGTAAAGAAGACAACATCGATGAAGGAAAATCTGAAGAAGCAAAATCCGATTCTGATGATGATGAGAAAGATGAGAAGACGTCCGACGAGGAGGAAGGAGCTCCTGAAGAAGATCTATTGTTGGTTTGTATTTTTATAAGTTTAAACGGCCAAACGAGCTAAACGCCATATCATCTTGTTTGCGTTAAAAAAAATTGAAGCCCATTGACACCACTATGAGAATTACTTCTCTTTTACAGTGAGACGTTCACTTGAATTCTATATTGCATTGGTATAACGTCTTTCTAGCTCCTTAGACCAGAGCACGTAATTACTTTGTAATTGAAAAAAAACCGGCCGGTGGTCACAACTTGCGCGGGCTTACAATTTACTTATTTCCTATTACTGAAAATATCAATCATAGTTAAGGTTCGGAAAGCTTGAAAAATATATTGTAGCTGTTATAATCACAACCGAATTCATATGAAATTAGTTCCCTCTGACCCACTCAAGTCAGAATATTTTTTTTTTTTTTTATTGCTTAGATGAGTGGACGAGCTCACAGCCCACCTGGTGTTAAGTGGTTACTGGAGCCCATAGACATCTACAACGTAAATGCGCCACCCACCTATAAAATATCAGAAAATATCAGAGTAATATAAAAGCTAAAATATCAGAGTATATTTTAATGCGTGAAAACGATACATTGCAGACTGGTGAAATTCCTGAAAATCTGAGATCTCGTGAGCATATCAACCAGATTCTGAGACTAGACGAGGAAGCTAGTGAAGCTGAAATAACCGTTGAGAGATCGGCAGATATAGTACTCAGGGACTTGAAAAGACTCTATGAGAATTCTATCAAACCATTAGAAGGTCTTTACAAATACAGAGACTTAAGTAATCGTCATTTTGGTGACCCTGAAATATTCTCTAAGCCTTTAGTACTCTTCATGGGACCTTGGAGTGGTGGAAAATCAAGTATAGTGAATTATTTAACTGGCTTGGAGTTTACAGAGTGGTCCTTGAGAACAGGTCAGTTGCTAAATCATTAAAGTATGTTTTTTCAGTTTTGGAATAAACTTCCTTTTTTTTATTGTTTTGATGGTGGATGAGCTCACAGCCCACCTGGGGTTAAATGGTTACTGGAGCCCATAGACATCCACAACGTAAATGCGCCACCCACCTTGAGATACGGTCTCAAGTATAGTTACAACGGCTGCCCCACCCTTCAAACCGAAACGCATTACTGCTTCACGGCAGAAATAGGCAGGGTGGTGGTACCCACCTGCGCGGACTCACAAGAGGTCCTACCACCAGTAATCGTAAAAGTTCCTTCACCAATGCTTCTTGATCGCCATAATATGTAGTGTATATTCTCTCAGCCTGTGACTAGTAAAGTTGGTGAATAGTTTCTGTGAATTTTGAAATTATAATAAATACGACTTCAATTTCATGTCTTAAAACTCTCAAGATTGGCGGTGGTTGAGACAGTGCGATCTCTATTGGCTCTAGCAAGAGCAAAACGCGTGGCGGTCTGTGCTAATTCAGTTACCAGGTGAATAGACTATAAACAGAAAAAATTCTGTTCTAAAAATATTTGTTTGAAGTCGATCTTCAGTCATTTTTTTTAATTAGGTGCTGAACCATCGCCTGCCTATTTCAATATCCTAATGCATGGAAAAGATCCTCAAGTTTTGGACGGTACGCAACTGGCCGCCGATTGGACGTTCTCTGGCTTGCAGAAGTTTGGTCAAGGATTGGAGGAGCGACTCAGGGGCTTGAAACACCCCAGCAAAATATTAGAAAAGGTAAAATAGTAAGAATGATATTATTATTATTATTATCTACATATTATTCTGATAAAACAATTGAGATGGATGTACATTTGTTTCTTTATTTCAGGTGAACATTGTGGAAATTCCTGGTATTTTGGAAGTTAGAAAACAAGTTTCACGAGTTTTTCCATTCAACGATGCCTGCCAATGGTTCATTGATCGAGCGGACATTATCTTCCTTGTTTATGATCCTTCTAAATTAGACGTAGGTCCGGAGACTGAAGCTATTCTCGATCAACTCAAGGGTAGAGAGTCCCAGGTAAAATGAAAATGAAAAAAAGCTATGCTTTTTTAATACGCTTTTATTAGCTTTAGACGTATATAAGTTAGTATGTAACGGAATCTTTGAACATGATTTTGACCCTTCAAAACGTCAGATTATCTCGAAATTTGGCATACTTAATAAGGACCGATGCCAATTCAAGATTTTAATTTTTTTAATTCAAATATAAAATAGTTTAAAAAAAAACAAAAAAAAATACGCTTTTATAGAAAATCCAACTAAAAAATAGAAATTTAATTTTAATAAATTTGAATTAAAAATAGTGTAAGAAAAAATTATTTTATTGTAAAAAAGCGTGGGTTGCTTTTCAGGATATTATCAAAATAACCCTTCTACCACCCATATCTGTTCATAAAATAATATCTGTTTATAAATAATTTTAAAATCATTGTTTCTTACACTATTTTTAATTCAAATTTATTAAAATTTATTTTATAATTTTTGCTAATCGATGATCAAAGCTCTCGAGAATACTTACGTATTTAATTAACGTGTTACTATTGTATCTTTGTAGACCCGTATCGTGTTGAACAAAGCGGACTCCGTCAAACCCGAAGAGCTGATGCGAGTGCAAAGCGCGTTGATCTGGAACATATCTCCACTGATGAGTTCCCCGCAGCCCCCGGTCATGTACACGGTGTCGCTGTGGTCGATGCCGTACGAGGGCGGAGCGCCCGTGCGACTGCTGCAGGCCCAGGAGCGCGAGCTGCTGCGTGACCTGCGACACGCCATCGACAAACGCATCGAAAACAAAATCGCTAGTGCTAGGAGATTTGCCGTAAGTTAAATTTATAACTGAATTAATAGTACATTGTGATAAACACGCGGGATGAGATGTCCTACTTTTTTCCCGCGGTGCACATACTATTTTTTCTCCTACCAGGCCGAAAGTTCGTGGAGTACTCATAAAACTCATAAAAATATATGGAATACTCATAAAAAAACAATTTAACTGTTTTTTAATTTTTAAGTAAACTACTACCAATTAAATAAGAACTGTCTGATGAACTCATCTTTGTTTTATACTTCCCTATTAAATATTATTAATTATGCAGGATAATGATATTATTATTAAATATCATCCCTATCATCCTGCCTGCCCTTCTCCCAGTCACCTGAGGTCGGCGCAACATGTTTTCTCCTTCCACACTCTTCTATCATATACCATTTCTTCGCTCACTCCCTTCTTACCCATATCGTCTTTCACGCAATCCATCCATTTCTTCTTAGGTCTACCTCTTTCTCTATATCCTTCCATATTCATAGTTAACATTCTCTTACCAACCTCATTTTCATTTCGTCTCATCACATGTCCATACCATCCCAAACTATAGGTATTATTATATCTAAGCTATATTTTTATTTCAACAGGTTCGAGTGAGGAACCATGCGAAGATGGTTGATTGTTACCTTACTACCTACTATAACCATAAAACAATTTTTGGCAACAAGAAGCTCATAGCTGACGCCATTACTGAAAATCCGCAAAATTACCACATCTACGAGGGGCTTAGCACACTTACCAATATTTCAAGGTATGTATATATTTAAACTTTTTTTTTATTGCTTATATGGGTGGACGAGCTCACAGCCCACCTGGTGTTAAGTGATTACTGGAGCCCATAGACATCTACTAACGTAAATGCGCCACCCACCTTGAGATATAAGTTCTAAGGTCTCAAGTATAGTTACAACGTCTGCCCCACCCTTCAAACCGAAACGCATTACTGCTTCACGGCAGAAATAGGCCAGGAATAACGCAAATTCTGAAAAGCGCGATTCACTTAATAAAAACGTTACAGGTATGACTTGCCGGATCCGGAAACATACAGAGATTTCTTCCGGCTGAATCCGTTGTACGAATTCCAACAATTGTCGGCAACATGCACCTACTTCCGCGGGTGTCCGATCACAAGGCTCGACGTCGCTATCGCCTATGACCTGCCGGAGCTTGTGGGCAAATACAAGAAGATGGTCGAGAGTGCTACGCCCCAAGGCATGCCCAAGAGTTGATGCTTCAGCGAACGAACGAACCCCGCGCCACTTACCTAACTCCTGCTTATTAATTTTAGTAAAATTGGGTTTGTAATATTTTGGGCACATTCTGCATTTCATTGTCTAATCGGGCATCGAAACAAAAAAAAAAAAACTTCGCATTTTGTTTTACGTCTCTAATATCTTAATTTTTATTTGCTTACACGAATCTCGCTTTTTTTCCGTTTCGAGTGAATGACGTGTTTGTATGGTAAATTATTTTCATTGTGTTTCTTTGAACGTTATTTATGGTTATAGTAAAAATAATTTGCAAGACAATTTTCGATATTTTATAACAAGAATTTTATACGNAAAAAAAAAAAAACTTCGCATTTTGTTTTACGTCTCTAATATCTTAATTTTTATTTGCTTACACGAATCTCGCTTTTTTTCCGTTTCGAGTGAATGACGTGTTTGTATGGTAAATTATTTTCATTGTGTTTCTTTGAACGTTATTTATGGTTATAGTAAAAATAATTTGCAAGACAATTTTCGATATTTTATAACAAGAATTTTATACGGTTCTCAAGAAAGTAACTAAACTAGTCATTACATTAACGTTTGTTAGTTAAAATTGTATTATTATATAAAAGTAGATGTTCCTATTTAGGACTAATCAATATACGTAAGTGGTCTCTTGCCTTGATTAATTTATTTTTTGTTAGTAATTTAAATAAGACAATGTGACTATTTAAGTAAAATAAAACTTATTATTTAGTAGGAAGTATTTTATTTTAATTACATTTTCTCATTAATATAAAATATTTCTTATATCAATAAAAAAAAAACAATTGTAGGTACATAAATAACAACATAAATAAAATTTGGAATTATATCATATTTGAGAAGCAACACAAATAGGAATGGTAAATTTCTTTTCCACTATTATTTTACTTAAATAAGTAGGTATACCTGCACTGCACCACTTGGCAATATTTTTTATTCGAAGGAATACATTATATTTTTATGCTGTAAAACGGCTGACTCTTTCACAACAAACCCCTTTTTTTGGTATCGATGGGGAATTACAATTGACGGATACCTGGCTGACAGGGGTAAGACTGGATTATGTCGGACTCCTAAGTCCTCGGCCTCTTCCATTTGATCCTAGGAGACTACGCCTTTAGAAAAGTGCGCAAGGCGGCGTCTTGGCTTCGCCGCGCATGTCGTGCCGTGCAAAATGCCTACCGATTAAGTCCCGACGAGCTCTTCCGTTCAGACTAAGACGGGACTTACAGTTCCGCAGTGCACGCCGCAAGTTCCTCTACGATGGGTCCCACCTTGGACGGGTAGGATCTTCACCAGTCATTACTGACCAATACGTCACCACCACCACGTGAGGGGTGTACTAGAACCAGCACTGGCCTTTCGCCGGAGGCCTTTCGCCCACACCGCCAACCCCGTCTCTTCCTCCGATGAGGAGTCGACGTCGGATTTCTCTCCCCCGCTCCTCAGTTTCTCTCGGACATGGCGAGGTCGCAATACATGACTATCGTCTCCCAACACTCCTTCCTATCTACAATTAGTGTCACTACCGTCGACAATGTCCGCTCCGAGCACCGCGACGAGTGACTTCTGCGGTTACTCCAACCTCGGGCACGCTTCAAGGGCGTGTTGAGCGCCATCGCCCCGGTGCCCGCACTGGTGGCAGCCCTGATGTGGCTCCCTTCAGCAGACTCTCTACAGGTACCTCACGAAGAAGCCATGTCCCGATAGGACCTGCGTGAGACGCAAGGAGCGCACGTCATGTCGCTGAGCAGATTATTTCTTCAGTACAGGCATCAGGGCCTCAAGCTTGCGCGTAACATACAATGGCGTATGTTATTTTTGCAGTCTGATGATCGAATCAAACAAACAATAGCAATTAAACCTTAAGCTGGCAAATGTCAAGATTTTTGGCGGGAACGCGAGAAGTGAAGTAGCGTGAAATGCTTCATTTTGTTAAAGTCTTTGTAATTAACCATCACTTTACTGTGATTTTATTTCATCCCATTTCATCTTATTTCATTTCATTTAACTTCATCTCGACTGATTAATGTATCAAATTAATCAATTTTCTTTTATTTCGCTCTATATATCATTTTTTATGAAAGAGAATAAAATACACACTTTAAGTACCAATAAAGGATTAGGCAGTATGGCGTGATATATACGCCTTTCTACTTGGAAAAATGGAGCAACTACTACTGTCGCTGTTTGACACCACAGTATGACATTTCCCATATATTTGTCAATAGAAGAAAATTTACAGAAATAGAAGTCTGTGAATTTCTTAGACGAATTTTGATTAGGGAATTATATAACAGAAAGTTACAAGTTTGTTGATTATAAAGTATAATAAAACTTATTTAAGTTATGCACACGGATTTGTCACCCCATTTACACACCGATGAGTGTAATATTTTTATCAAAAAATTAGTAGATTGCCACTTAAATGTAAGTTTACTAATTGGATATTAAAAACGATTTAGTCCACAACTTATTGTAATGTAATGTAGAAACTGCTTCATATTTTGTTTTTATAACCTAAAATTGAAACTTTCATTGTAACATTGTAACATTCAAGATAGTACTATCATAAAATAAACATAAAAGTTTCGTTTCAGCATCCATTTCGTAAATTTATAGGTTATTGCAATGATTATGATCGCGACATGAGGAAATGTTTGAAAGCTGAAAGACTTCAGAGACAAAAAGCTAATCTAGATGAATCTAGACAACGCCACGCCAATATTCGAGCACGAATTTTAGCCCAGAGCGCAGCAGCCAACTGATATATATTTAAATTAGAAAACTTAGTTTTGTGATTATGAAAACAATGGATTTCAACATTTTAGATTCAATACCAGACTTAGACAATTTGAAGACCTTCACAGAGAGATACTTTTCAAAACGATACTTAATCAATGTAGATGGCATAAAAAATAATGATATGATGATAATGTTTCATTCAAACAGAATTGCATTGTTATCTTTAGCACCAAGCCATTCCTTCTTCAGTAAAAACGAAAATTACAAAATAAACTTCAATGTTGGTAAAATTGATCGATTGAACAATTCTGTCAAAGGAAAAAGTAAAAAGGGCGGACAACTATTATCTCCAAAATCTGTGATTTGCAAGATAGAATTCAGTGATGAAAGCGTATTTGAAGTGCCCTGTTGCATGAAAGGTACTTTGGTTGAAGTTAATGAAGAACTTGTACAGAATCCATTGTTGCTGAAAAACATGCCAGATTCTGATGGATTTATTGCCATTATGCTAGCAAGTATAGCAATTTCAGAAGCGACAAAAAGTGAGTTGTTAACTCATGAAGAGTACATAAAATGTATTGATTGTTCTGTTAATAAAGAATAGTATTAACTTTTTAAAGTTGAGTCTTATTTATTTGATATTGTATTAAAACCAAATTAACTACATAAACTCTATCAAATCTTATTTCAACAGGATTATTTCTAAAAGTGATTAAGTTCATTGGATCTTTGTTAACATAACTAAAAGTACTTTTGTGACTGATCATGTCATATATGATCACTATTGTAAAGTATTCAAAACATCCATACAAAAAGCATCTCATTCACAATGGAAACTGTTTTATTATCTATTAGAAAAATTATGTGATACCAGAAAAAAGAATTGGCGCTTTTCCTTGATCATGAGGACAAAGCAGCCCATAACAACTAGTGATAATGAAAGTATAAAAACATGATTAAACTGTAAAAGGAGTTATAATTACTGCTGCAACTCTTGAAACCAAAGGTGGTGCTATGTTAATAATTCATTAATTTCACATTTAATCGTGCACTTTATTGCAACTGTAAGTGGATGACAGCCTACGTGATGCTAAGTAGGCTACGAATAAATAGACTTATTATTTATTCGTAGTAAGTAGGTCATGGACATTAACAATGCTAGGGGCACAGACAAGTTGTCACCAACTCCAAATAATCTTATTTATTTTTAGAAACTTAATATTTAATAGTGAATATCTTATAAGTTTAGTTTTTTTCTTTTCCCAATCGAAAATATTCACAAGTAATTTCACAAAACAAATTTTGTGAAACACTTAACAACAAAATATTATTAAGGCCCTATGTGTTGTACACCCTAAATTAAGATAAAATTATTTTACGCTGAAACCGCTTCATTACTTTACGATATCGAAAAATAAGTAGAATGGAAAAGAGCTTCAAGCTTAACATAACCCATAGACACAGCCCACTGAGTTTCTAGCCGGATCTTCTCAGTTGGTCGCGTTTCCGATCTGATGGTAGATTCTGCGAAACACGGCTCTTGCTAGGGTTCGTCTTAGCAACGTCGTCAGGTTTGAGCCCCGTGAGCTCACCTACTTGTTAAGGTTTCGCTGAAATCTCAAATATATTAAAGTGTATAATCTATGGCTGAAATAGTCGCTCAAGGCTATCAGCTTAGGTAGGAAAAAAAAAGCTACAAGCAACCATTTATTTTTAATAAATTCAAAACGACTTCGATTTTTGTATCATATGCAGTGTATTGATTGGTTTCATTTTTGGTTTGATTGTACTCCTGGTACCTATACCTACTAAAAACAAAAAGAAACTTTAAAATAGATTTATTTTGTTGAGATTTTCAAGTTTAATTTTAATTTTATTGAACTTTGGAAAACTGAAATATTGAACTTATTTTTAGTACGACAGAGGATAGTAAATAATAAATATATTTACTTTTTATTTTTGTTTACCCTAATAATGGAGTTATTGTTAATGCACTATGACATCGTAGTGTTATCAGTATTCCATTTTTATTTGACCTCTGGCTCTAGTACAATTTAATAAACATTGATAACGTCTTAAACGTATGATAGTAAAGCAAGTTTAATCTCTTTAAATATTGTTAGCAGTCATCATGTGTTCAATACTTTTGTTTGCTTCCAAACTCACTAGAGGCAGAGTTAGGTTACCAGTTTTTTGTAATTACCGACAGTATAGTGATGAGAAAAGCCCGATTAAAACTCCGTTATATGAGTTACATAAGAAGTACGGTGGAAAATTAGTGAATTTTGCTGGTTTCCTACTTCCTGTGCAATACGTTGATACAAGTGTTTCTGCTTCCCATCTTTTCACCAGACAGAATGCATCGATATTTGACGTATCTCACATGTTACAAACAAATGTCAGCGGTAAAGATTGCTTGCCGTGGTTCGAGTCAATTTGCCCCGTGGATCTTAAAGGGCTACCGAACGGATCGAGTTCACTGACTGTTTTCCTGAACGATAACGGTGGGATAATTGATGATTTAATAGTGACAAAAGTAACTGAACAACAGCTCTATATTGTATCTAACGCTGGTCGTTTAGAAGCAGACAAGCAGCACATGCTAGAAACTTCGGAATTGTTCAAGAAAAGAGGTAATGACGTGAATGTCAGCTTCTGGGATGTGAACGACAGAGCACTTCTAGCATTACAGGGGCCGAAAGCAGCCAAAGTATTGCAAACATTGACTGATTTTTCTTTAGATGATCTAGTATTTATGACATCACGTGAGGGTCGTGTCGCCAATGTTGGTTGCAGAGTGACGCGCTGCGGATATACAGGCGAAGATGGTGTAGAACTCTCTATTCCGGCAGATAAAGCAATCGCTGTTGCAGAAGCATTGATGGAATCGAGTGATGTGAAATTAGCAGGACTCGGGGCCCGTGATTCATTGCGTTTAGAGGCAGGCCTTTGTCTTTACGGTAACGATATAGACGAAACGGTAACTCCTGTTGAAGCTAATTTGACCTGGCTAATAGCGAAACGTAGGCGACAGGAATCCAACTTTCCCGGAGCTAACGTTATAATGAAACAGATTAAAGAAGGAGTATTAAAACGAAGAGTTGGTATTAGATTAGAGTCTGGACCTCCTGCTAGAAAAGATGCAATTTTAAAGGACCCAATCAATAATAAAGAAATAGGTAAAGTTACAAGTGGATGCCCAACGCCCTCACTTGGCGGTAACATAGCAATGGGATATGTTTCCGAAGCATTCAAAAAAGTAGGTACTAATCTTTTGGTGAACATTCGTGGTAAAGACGTTCCGTGTTCTGTGGCTAAAATGCCTTTTGTGCCGTCTAAATACTACATTAAAAAATAAAACCATAAAATTGCAATTCAACATTTATTGTATGCCTTCACGAAGGTAACAGGTAAAATAACTTTACTAAATCTAGATAAACTTAATAATGGAATTGTTGAAAACTATCTTCTAAACCAATGGAATAAAAAAAAACCCTATTAAATAATTTTAACAATTCGTATTACCACGCATTGGTTACTAAAATGTACACATTACTAAACATTGGAAAATAAATATGTTTGAAAATAATTATGAAACTGAATTTAAAGGAATGCTTTATTTTTTGAACTTATTGTCGTTTAATACTGTTCTACTTCTGTCTTCTAATAACTATCACAGGATGTTTCGTGCTTCACAATTACATGTTTATAAATCTAATAACATTTGGAATGATTTCTAAAAAAATGTGCTCATTTTGTGATAAAAAAATACTGCACAATAAACTTGTGCTATAATATCCTGTACTTTTCATATATACAGCCAAGGTAAAACACATGTATTCATTAAATTTTGGGGCAAAAATTCCAGCCTTTAATAACACTAATTTAAAACTATATTACATCACTTAAGTACACTAACAAGACAGTTTGAGCCTTTAAGTACATCACAAATATATATTATCGTATTTTGAGCCGACTGCAAAATTCAAGTAATGCAGTAAAACGATAGATAGTGTCATTCTGATTCCGTGTGGTAACGATGACTTCCTTATGACTTCGTATGGTGTAATGAAAATAAGATCTGAACTACAGGTGGCTTCTAACTGTAAAATTTCACTACGATTTTCAAGGAAACTATACTCTAACACATCAACTAATTCTTATAAATGCGGCTTAAAAATAATACATGTTTGATTCGGTTTCCAGTTTTAATAGTAGGGGAGCCCAAGCGAGAATTTCGGGATTAGCTTTATTTAAGGTTCACTTAAAACACCCTAAGAAAATTTGACGCGCTCGAAAAAATCTTTTTTTTTTTCATTTTCTTCACTTACCTACGACCACCCCCATCGTGCAAACGATCAGATTACCATACATACATTATTAAAAATATGTAGGACATTTATGCTAACAATACCTGACGCGCTCGATTATGTCCATGCAACAGTTTTTTTTTTACAAATTTGAAAATCTATAGCCGCTTCCCCCACCGATGAAAAGGTATACATTATATGACATTTTTTTCTTATTACCATCTAAGCTTTGCAACCGAATAGGTCTCTATGACGCTCGATAAATCCCCATTTAGCATCGTGGGCTCCCCTACCATAAGATTTTTACTTTGTTAACAACCATTATGGCGGGAGGTCAGTACCGTTCTTATTTTATTAGCATTGTATTGTTTTAAGATTAATTTCTGCAAGAACCTTTTTCGAATATGAGTATCGTACGTGATTAGGTCAAGTGAAATGATTGATCGAGCGATAATGACATTAGTAAAGCTTAGCTTTACAAATGACGTTCTTAAGGTTTGTTCACACCGAACAACAATATTATTTCCCGATATTCTCGCATGCTCGAGAAATTGTTGTTTTGTAAATCTGCCTTCAACGTACAGAGTATGACGACTGGTGTCGGACCCGTATCGGCATCGTGGCAATGTCACTTACTACTCGTTGTTGCTTCATCGTCCATATGAAAATGGGCCAGCCGTGAAATCTCTTGATTTATGTTGTTTATTCTATCAGAATACTGAAAACGATACATCTTTTTTATTATATCGAATTGAAATCATCAATATTGTATTAGGTTCAAACTAGCCCTGCATATTTCTGCCGTGAAGCAGTAATGCGTTTCGGTTTGAAGGGCGTGGCCGCCGTTTTAACTATACTGAGACTTTAGAACTCATATTTCAAGGTGGGTGGCGGCATTTACATTGTAGATGTGTATGGACTCGGGTAACCACTTAACATCAGGTGGGTCTTGAGCTCACCTACCTATGTAATAAAAAAATAAAAGTCGACGGTTGAAAGGTTATTTCGTGTATGCGGCATTTGTGAAACTTTAAAATTTCGAAGAAATATTATGACAATAATACTTCAGCTATTTGAATGATGTTAACATAATTAAAAATTAGTTTAAAAACATCCAACTGTTGATGCTAATACCAAATAAAACGTATCTTTAATTACAAATATATATATATATATATATTGCTTAAACTAAATAGCCATTCACAACTCGATATTGTGCTAAAAAACTAGATTTTTTCATCAATAAATAATATAACACAATATGCTGTTTATTTCGTATCGGCGTGGCGAAACATCGACTACTTATCGACAACATATAAGCGGGAAAAAATATATCATACGAGTGACGTAATTAGTGTGCTCTTGCAATAAGCTGATGTTTGTTAAAAGCCGACAGACCGGTTGTCGCATCGCACCTGTAGTTATTTCATCACACAGCCCATTGTTCGATCTTTGAGACGATATCCTACTGTATGCGCGCGAGTTCATGTCCATCGGCCGTCTGGTGTAGTGGTAAGTGACATGGTCACTGCACAAGGGGGTCGCGGGTTCGAATCCCGACAAGGGAAGATATTTGTACGATGAATATAAAAATATCTTTTCAAGGGTTATGGATGTATATTAAAATTTAATATATGTATGTGTATAATAAAAATATTACATTTATTTCCGTTATCTGGTACCTGTAACACAAATTCTTTACGAACTTACCACGGGACCAGTTAACGTGGCGTGATTGTTAGTAAATATTTATTTATTGGAACGAAGTTCCTTATCGCGCGTTGTGAAAGGGGGCTAGACGGAAAAAAATCTTACGAAAAGTTGTCACGACACTTTTTAGATCCGTCATTCTGACCAATCAACGTGTAGGCGCTTATCGCGTGACATTGCTCGTATCCGATTGGTCCGCGTAATGAGTACAGTTTCTCGAGATAGCGTTTCAACAATAGTAATTTAGTTCATAGTATTGTTTTTTTCTTCTTCATAATGCCGTAATTTATTATTATAACTTAAAAAAAAAAATTACAATTCCTTCACTAATTAATCGAAAGGAACTTCGTTCCATCCGGGTGTCCCTTGACACCTCTGAAGTTTTTTTATACATATTTATTTTATCGGGGCTAGAGGCGACACGCGGGGGACAGCTCGCCCCACCTTCGTCCGTCTGCCCGCATTTGTCTGACGTCGAGTGTTGTCCGTGACGATTGTGACGCGCGCTTATCGATATCGAAAATTTACGCTAACGCTATTGTGTTATTTAACCATGACTACTCCGCTTCCAACAAGCTACTGAAAAAAGATACATACTGATTCCGACTCTGATCTGTCGGTTGTCTTTTCATTCGATAGTGATTGAATTGGAATTTAAAAAATATTTTTCTCTATTAGAAATAAACAAGTAATTACTTATCNCAAAACGGCAGACGTGGTCAAATGGATTTAAAATCCGTCAAAATCGGTACCTGTCCTACCTGAGCGCTCGGCGCGTCGACCACTTTGAGCTTAATGAGTCCCCACCTCATGCATGGTAGGTATAGGGGTCTCAATGTACGAAAATTCAGGTCTGGTCAAATACATACAGGTAGATCCCACGGGCTCTCGGGCTATAAGTGACATGGTCACTGCACAAGGGGGTCGCGGGTTCGAATCCCGACAAGGGAGGATATTTGTACGATGAATATAAAAATATCTTTTCCAGGGTTATGGATGTATATTAAAATTTTATATATGTATGTGTATAATAAAAATATTACATTTATTTCCGTTATCTGGTACCTGTAACACAAGTTTTTATGAACTTACCACGGGACCAGTTAACGTGGCGTGATTGTTAGTAAATATTTATTTATTTTTATTTATTTATTTTATCGGGGCCAGAGGCGACGCGCGGAGGACAGCTCGCCCCACCTCCGTCCGTCTGCCCGCATTTGTCTGACGTCGAGTGTTGTCCGTGACGGTTGTGACGCGCGCGTATCGATATCGAAAATTTACGCTAACGCTATTGTGTTATTTAACCATGACTACTCCGCTTCCAACAAGCTACTGAAAAAAGATACATACTGATTCCGACTCTGATCTGTCGGTTGTCTTTTCATTCGATAGTGATTGAATTGGAATTTAAAAAATATTTTTCTCTATTAGAAATAAACAAGTAATTACTTATCACATTTATTTTATTCCATAAATTGCAAAATCAACTTATTTTACATTAAACCAAATTGACAGCTGTTGACTAAATCGGTAGTTATTATCGACATTACCATTATTAATTAGGTCACAGCACTACCGCATTCCTCAGGATGGACATGAACTCGCGCGCCTACAGTACTGGTGGTAGGGCGTATTGTAGCCCCGTACGGGTAGGTACCTACCGCCTACCTGCCTATTTCTGCCGCAACGCAGTAATTGATTATACTAATTCAATGTCTCAAGTCGAACCGTGGCAATCACGATATGATGTCCATGGGCTTTTATAACCGATTGATGTCGACATGACGCACGTCTCTTTATTTGAGCGAAATAAAAAAATGTAGGTAGGTTGAATTTTTGAAAATTTTTATGCGCTGTACATTGCTGTTCGAAAATTTTAGTGTAAAGTAATATACATACATCCGACTCTATGGATTGTTGGGAGTCCTGCTGCATCTCTGTGTTCTTCTCCTCCTGTATCCTACACTTTATCTGGCAGTTGATTTGATTTTGTAGTTTAAAGAATATCTTCCGGTACTCCTCTTGTATTCTATTCATTTCGTTAGTTATGTGCATATCTTTCTTTTGCACATAATCCTGCAAATTAATATAAATTATATTGAGTCTCGAGCATTGCGCCTTAAAGATACATGAGTATGTACCATCTTTCTAATTCAAGCGTCATGGATCCAAAGGTAGCGGTTCCTTCAAGTGAACTTGATATTTCGACCTCAAGTCTCAAAGTAAGCGGCAGTTCACGTCTGCAGCGTCTGCAGTGACCTACGTACCCTTGTATAATCAATCTATATATATATAAATTAATTGCTGTTCGTTAGTCTCGCTAAGATTTCTCTACGTGATCGAATCCGAAATGAGGAGATCCGTAGAAGAACGAAGGTTGCTGACATAGCCCGTAGAATTAGTGAACTGAAGTGGCAATGGGCCGGCCACATAGCACGAAGAGAGGACGGTCGATGGGGCAGAAAGATCCTGGAGTGGCGACCACGTACTGGCAAGCGCAGTGTGGGACGGCCACCTACTAGATGGACCGACGACCTAGTAAAAAGTGNACATGAACTCGCGCGCCTACAGTACTGGTGGTAGGGCGTATTGTAGCCCCGTACGGGTAGGTACCTACCGCCTACCTGCCTATTTCTGCCGCAACGCAGTAATTGATTATACTAATTCAATGTCTCAAGTCGAACCGTGGCAATCACGATATGATGTCCATGGGCTTTTATAACCGATTGATGTCGACATGACGCACGTCTCTTTATTTGAGCGAAATAAAAAAATGTAGGTAGGTTGAATTTTTGAAAATTTTTATGCGCTGTACATTGCTGTTCGAAAATTTTAGTGTAAAGTAATATACATACATCCGACTCTATGGATTGTTGGGAGTCCTGCTGCATCTCTGTGTTCTTCTCCTCCTGTATCCTACACTTTATCTGGCAGTTGATTTGATTTTGTAGTTTAAAGAATATCTTCCGGTACTCCTCTTGTATTCTATTCATTTCGTTAGTTATGTGCATATCTTTCTTTTGCACATAATCCTGCAAATTAATATAAATTATATTGAGTCTCGAGCATTGCGCCTTAAAGATACATGAGTATGTACCATCTTTCTAATTCAAGCGTCATGGATCCAAAGGTAGCGGTTCCTTCAAGTGAACTTGATATTTCGACCTCAAGTCTCAAAGTAAGCGGCAGTTCACGTCTGCAGCGTCTGCAGTGACCTACGTACCCTTGTATAATCAATCTATATATATATAAATTAATTGCTGTTCGTTAGTCTCGCTAAGATTTCTCTACGTGATCGAATCCGAAATGAGGAGATCCGTAGAAGAACGAAGGTTGCTGACATAGCCCGTAGAATTAGTGAACTGAAGTGGCAATGGGCCGGCCACATAGCACGAAGAGAGGACGGTCGATGGGGCAGAAAGATCCTGGAGTGGCGACCACGTACTGGCAAGCGCAGTGTGGGACGGCCACCTACTAGATGGACCGACGNGGACGGTCGATGGGGCAGAAAGATCCTGGAGTGGCGACCACGTACTGGCAAGCGCAGTGTGGGACGGCCACCTACTAGATGGACCGACGACCTAGTAAAAAGTGCTGGGTCTCGTTGGATGCAGGTGGCAATGGACCGGTCGCACTGGAAATCTATTGGAGAGGCCTATGTTCAGCAGTGGACGGCGATAGGCTGAAATAATGATGATGATGAGTCTCGCTAACGACAGCATCATTGAGTCAGTCAAGTCAGTGAAGTCTTAGTAAATTCTGACTATTTGAATGGGAAATTATTCCATTTAATCTCATCTCCTTTCGTACCATTTCATTTCATCCCGATTGATTACAATTTAAAAAAAAACATCATTCCGCTTAATATCATTTTTCATAAAATAGAATTTGTATGTACATATTTAAAAATGAACATTTTTAACACTGACCGCAATGGTGTCGTTGGAAGTTGGTAGCCAATGCCAACTGCATATCTACATCTATATATATAAAAATGAATTGCTGTTCGTTAGTCTCGCTAAAACTCGAGAACGGCTGGACCGATTTGGCTAATTTTGGTCTTGAATTATTTGTAGAAGTCCAGAGAAGGTTTAAAAGATAAATATGAAATTCTCGGAATTAAAAAAATAAAACAATTTTGTTTTTCCTTTGATGTGCCACGTCGGATGGATTTCTTTTGTTTGTTTTAAGTATATTTTATACAAAAGTTTACGTCATTTATTTATCGATTGAGGCACTACGAAGTCTGCCGGGTCAGCTAGTAGCCATATCTATATTAGTTCGTTACCTTATAAGTCAATATGGTCTTTTTAGCGTTCTTGTATTTCTCTTGAACCGCCGAATGTTCCGAGTGTAATGCCTCATATTTATGTTCGATGTGCGTCAATTTCAGCTGTAACTCCGTGAGCTTAGTTCTCATCGCTTGACACTCGTCCGTGCAGCTCCTCTGCTTGATGTTTTCACGATCGCTCTTGAGCACGTCCTCGAGAGAGCCCAGCTTGGAGAGTTTCTCTTTGTACCTGTCCGATTTCCTCTTGCACTCAACGAGGGCGTCCTTAACGTCCTGACATTCGTTCTGTAGCTCGTTGTGTTCCTTTATGAGCACGGATATTTCGTTTTCTTTCGCCTCGAGAATCTGAGTGACCTTCGTTCGCTCGGTGAGTATGAACTCTTTCAATTTTTCGACTTCCTGCGCTTTCCTCTCGAGCAGGTCTTTGAGTTTGGCGATCGTTTCGAGCTGTTCGTTTTCGATTTCTTTGATACGACGAGCGCAGTTCATCTCTACGGTTTTCATTTCCAATGTGAATTTCTCTGCGATCTGTTCCCTTATAGCTTTCTCTTTCATCATGAGGGCGGTCTGTAAAATGAATGAGTAAATTTAAAAAGATTTTTAAGATTTAATCACGATTTGTTTAAAATGTCGTAAATAAACGAATTACACTTTATCACAAAGTGAATGGGGTCAATCACCGTGAGTCGTGCGGTCTAATTCTCAAATATATAGTAGAACGGCTATCCCACAAACCGGAACGCATTGATGTTTCGCGACAGAAGTTAACAGGGTGGGAGTATTTCTCCGTGCGGGCTCACAAACCACAAGATGGCCTGTCAGTAATTAAGCAATTAGCAATTTTTGCCGGTTTAATTTTTATTAGACTACATTTTATTTTTAAGCCAAAGGCGTACCTTACCTAATTATTTAAAACGATTTATTACAGAACTAACAGCATTTTAGATCATGTCAAATACTTAGACATGTCTCATGCACGCCACACATGCAGTTACACAGTTTCAAGTCGTCGTGGCCTAAAGAATAAGACGTCCGGTGCATTCGTATCTAGCGATGCACCGGTGTTCGAATCCCGCAGGCGGGAACCAATTTTTCTAATGAAATACGTACTTAACAAAATATGTTCACGATTGACTTCTACGGTGAACGAATAACATCTTGTAATAAAAATTAAGCCCACCAAATTATAATTTGCGTAATTACTGGTAGCAGGACCTCTTGTGAGTCCGCACGGGTAGGTACCACCACCCCGCCTATTCCTGCCATGAAGCAGTAATGCGTTTCGGTTTGAAGGGTGGGGCAGCCATTGTAACTATACTGAGATCTTAGAACTCATATCTTAAGGTGGGTGGCGGCATTTAAGTTGTATATGTCTATGGGCTCCGGTAACCACTTAACACCAGGTTGGCTGTATGCTCGTCCACCCATCGAGGCAAAAAAATAATAATTTACACTTATTAAAGTGATACTTTTATTACATCGTCTCCAGCTTTTTCGTCTGTATGTTGCATGTCGCGTGACGGTCGACCGCGAAGTAAGGATAAAGTGAAAGGCGCTCGTCAAAGCAGCCAAGGCCAATATGGCGGCGCCTATAGTTCGATTTATTTCAATTTTGAGTGCTTGAATTTATTATTTAACTTATTTCGTATAAATATTATTAAATTAAGATTAATAATTTTTATACCCCTAATGGAATATTATTCCAATTTTTTTTTAATTAAATGTTTTTAATTTAGTTAAATGTCTATAATGTGAAAAAAAGTTTCACATTTACCGTGGTTTCATAAAATCTTACAATACTTTTTTTTAGGTCTAAGGCGTACCATACCTGACCCTTTACAACTATTTAAGACAGAACTGACAGCAGTTTGGATCATGTCAGATACTTAGACATGTCTAACTGTTACATATGCAATTAGGCAGTTTACCTTAGCGGCCAGAGTGTCGTCGTCGTGTAGGCGGGGGTCGAGGGGCGCGGGGTCGGCGGGCGGCGGGGCGGGTCCGTCCGTGTTGGTGCCCACGCTGCGCTGTTCCTGCAGCTTGTTGAAGCGATCCGTGATGTACTGGAGGAAGAACTCTCCTTTGCTCTTCAGTTCCTTCATTAAGGCCACGTTGCTCTCATGGGAGGCTGTTTCGAGTTAAAAAAAGACGCTTTAAGCATTCGTTTGGAGATATCGGTCACTATATAAATGTAGGATTGGTAAGAACGGAACGTATGAAAAGAGTGTGGAACGGAGCGTTGAGATGTGAATGAGAGAAAACGGAAAGAAAGGGAGAAGAGAATGACAAACAGAATGACAGAAAAAAGGAAGATGGCGAAGATGGTTGAAAAACGAGCAAGACGCAATAAAAGTGTTAATTATTAATTATTATTAGAACAGAAGATTTTGGAACAGTGGAAGTTTTATCTTATGCACTGCGATTCTACATAAATATGTCGGAGAAGCCAAAATTATTAGCACCATCGTCAGACATCATATGGGCGAATAGGGTGATCGAGTTAAGAGAAATATTGCGCACACCGATCACGTTTGTTGTCTTAGAACAATATACAAATCTTCTCTTGACGTTAGCAAACGAAAAGGAATGACAGTTCTTAGGACGGAGGCACCGCTCTTCAAGAAGGCCGGTTGGTAAGTGTGTAATGGTGTCTACGCGCCTCCATCTGCTAGGCTCCGTCGTAGCACGAAGTTAGCCGAGTTCCGACGATACCGCATTCGTGCTTACGAAACCGCACCTAGTGTTAAGTGGTTACCGGAGCCCATAGACGTCTACGACGGAAATGCGCCACCCACCTTGAGATATAAGTTCTAAAGTCTCGAGTATAGTTACAACGGCTGCCCCACCCTTCAAATCGTGCTGCGTTTCGTTTAGCTAACAAACTAATATGACCGTCTCCGACAAATATATATCCGAATAATATACGGCACCGCTGAAAGTGGGTACCTATTTATTATATATCATCATAGTATATTATATTAGGAACAGTGAAGTCACGTTTTTTGTCCGCGATGAACTTCTCAACTAATGAAGCGATTTTAATGAAATTTCGTACAATGAGTGTAGTCTAGTCTGATTTGCGAGATAGTATTAGCGCTTATGGCGATACCAGCAGGAATGAGTGTACAGTATGAGTTGTCTGGTCCCATTTGCGAGATAGTATTGTCGGTTATGACTATAGCAGCAAGAATGAATGTAGTAGTATGAATTATGAGCCACGTGCCAGCGCGGCTGCTACCGACTCACCCAACTGTATAGTACATTTGCTGAGCTGTTCGTCTAGAAGCCGGATACGTTTCAAATGTTTCTCACAATGCGAGCACGGCTCCATTTCTTTTCTCATGGCTGTTTTTTCATCTGTGAAACAAATTTTAATGGTTTTTATTTTGGATAACGGCAGCGAACGGTTTCATAGTGAACAACTTCGATCAAGACTTTTAATTTGGAGCTACTTTTATGGTTTAATGTTTAATGACCATGAAACCTTAAAAAAAAGGAAACATTGGGAATAATGAGGTATCACTAAATTATTCCCAACGTTTTGTTTTTTTCAGGTTTTACGGTCATTGAACATTAAACAATAAAAGTAGCTCCAAATTAAAAGTCTTGACCGAAGTGATACCTCAAGCTATTGCTGTCCAACGGAGTTAAAAGTCTAGTGGCTTATCTCTCTGGAGACCTGGACTTCTGGACGTAGAAACCGCCATCAGTGAAGAAATGTAATATTTTAAAATAGCGTGTTTTTTAATTGTTTTGTCTAATCCTTTTTTTAAATGTTATTTTATTAATTGTTCCATATAAATGTGAGTGACCAACAACAACTATCGTAAGCATTCTAGGGGATTTTGTTAAAGACAAAAGTTGATGATATATTAGCTTCCCAAGTCGTATAGACGAGTGTTGGCGTGTAACATTTCAACTTTAGGGTTGCATATTTAAATTAAAGGTTTGAAGATGATTTGTTCAGTTTTTGTGTTATGGAAATATTTTTGATCCCTAATTTATTGGTTTCATTAAATGATGATTTCCATAGGCTCTTTTGAAAGATGCGCGAGTATTTTTTTGAGAATCGTAACGCTCCGCGTGACGTTTCCGTTTGCTATTGGTCGCTGCGTGCGCGCCGCGTTCGGTAATCGCTGCAGTAGAGCGAGATAGCACTAGTCTCTATTTGTGTTCACTTAACGTCTTAACGTAGTGCAATAAAGTCTATGTTTCAACGGTGTTAACACTAGTGTTCAATCGACTTAAGCTTGCTCCCTACGTCATTAAACTAGTGTTCAATCGACTATTTTGCTCTCTACACGTCATTTTGGATCCTCCCGATCCATTAACAGTGCTTTTAGGTACCCCAAGCACGGGCCGTCGTTTTCAGCGAGTAAATTAACCCACAGATACAGCCCACTGAGTTTCTCGCCGAATCGTCTCAGTGGGTCGCGTTTCCGATCCGGTGGTTGATTCTGCGAAGCACTGCTCTTACTAGGGCTAGCGTTAGCAACGGCGTCAAGTTTGAGCCCCGTGAGATCATCTACTAGTTAAAGCTACGCTGAAATGGTCTCTCGAGACCATCAGGTTAGGTAGGAAAAAAAATAAAAAATTAAATCGTTCTCTACAGAACTGTGTACTGCGCAGACTAATTTTACTAATTAAATCCGTACGTACACATTTTGAAAATAAAACGAGTTACTCGGCAGCAGACAAGCTATTGTAAAGAGTCAAAGATATATTTTTTTTTTTAATTGTTATTTAACTCTGGATTATTTCGGACGTACCTTCGAGATATTTATTTAATTTCTCGGAAAACTCCTTTTGTTTGTCGGTAAACTCCCGCTGCAGCTCCGATATCCTCCTGTTGGCGCCCTCCAGTTCCGCCTTCGTGGCGTGGAACTCCGCGTTTAGCTTCTCTATGGTTTGTCCCTGGCGCGCGGCCAGCTCGCGACTGTCCCTCTCTTGTGCCCTGAAATATTCTCGTTCCTTTTGCATCGTCGACTGTTGTTCTTTCAGTTCCCTCGTTATCGAGTCGCGTTTGCTGCAAACCTGTACAAAATAATAATAAGAAGAAAAAAAAAAACAATCCTAACTGATCTCTGTGAAACAGGATTATTATTAAAGCAGTTTGCTTATAATTAATCGTTTGGCATCGAGCGGCGATCAGTCACGGGAATACATATAGAACACGTAGATACGCCGTGTGTCTTTGAAGCAAAGGGTTCCAGTATTGTCAGTCAGTCAGTCATTTATGATTTACATTCTATTGTATGATCTTTAATCGATAATTATTCCTGCTATTACTGTTGTACCAGGCTGCGTAGTTATATACATAAATATCTAAAAAAATTTTCAACACATACGCAAATTAATAAATTATAATGTTTACTAACACGATATTTATCTATGGCAGTAATCGTTTTTTTTTTTTTTGTAATATTTATATCATAGATTACTGAATTTTATACCATAGACTACGCGGCCTTTAACACAATAATTTTGATACCTGCAAATACAAGGTTTTCAACTCTCCGTTCTCTCGAAGCGTGTCCTTGAGCTGGGAGCTGTACTTCTCCAGTTCACGCAGCAGGTCCGCGTTGGCTTCCTGCACGATGGTCGCCCGACTGCCCTTTTCGCTTCTCAACTTGTCGTATTCCATTTCTAATTCGGCGTATTTTAGTCCCGCCTTTACATTATAATACAACATTCAATAGTTTTTTTTGTGTGCAAATTAATCTATATATTAATACGTGAAGCAAAAACTTTATATCCCTTTTTACGAAAATTGCGCGGACGGAGGAGTATGAAATTTTCCACACTTATAGAGAATATAGAGAAGAAGTGCACAACGCTAATATTTTTTTAAAATAATGCTTAAAAGATACATTAAATCAATAAGGAAAACATTACACACACTACATACCATGTATTTGACGCACACACGCATACATACTATTTATTGTCAAACTTTTGTTCTTGACGTATATTTTTTATTGTGTAGCCTTGGCGAAATTTGTGATTATAGGAGTATAAAATACAATCATAATAGTGTACAAACTTACAATTCCGATTAATTATAGTCGAATTTCGACTACTGCGGGACCTCTAGTTAATTTAAATGGCCATTCATAGCGAATTACAATAGCAGTTGACGCTAATTTTGAAGGTACGCTTCGGGTACGTGGTGCAATCTAACTCTCAGACATCCCACTCTGAGTTTGATGTTTGAGTGCGACATATACGAAAAGGTCAAAAAGTAAAAATCTCAAAAAGTGCACATAGCAGATTTTGGTTTGACAACGACGATATATTTTATATATAGAGATAAAACACGTACGTTTTTAATTTCCGCCCTTGCTTCCTCCAGTTCGCTTTGCAGCCTCTCGTTTTCATTTTTATAGCCTTCCAGCAACTCACTGTCGGAGTTACTGCCCAATAATTCGATTTTATTCTGAAGCACCGCCAATCGCGAATTAAGTTGCATCTCTATACCCTTTTGCTCGTCGAGTTTCGCACGCAGCTCCGATTCTAACTTACGATTTTGGTCAATTTTTTTGTCCCTGGAAATTGCGTATTTTTTTAATTTTTTTTTATTGCCCTTCTAGGCAGACGAGCATACGGCCCACCTGGTGAGTAGTTACCGTCACCCATGGACTTCAGCAATGCAAGGGGCAGAGCCAAGCCACTGCCTACCGCTTAATACTCTCCACAAGCCTCTTTTAAACACATGTCACAGCGCTCGGGAAACACCGTGGAGGGAAGCTCATTCCATAACCGGATGGTACGTTTCAAAAAATAGCTCTGAAAACGCACTGTGTTACTAAGGTAATAATTGTATGAACAGATTCAAAATAGTTTTCGTTTACCGATTAGTCAGAATAGGTACATTAGGGCAGGGCATATTGGGTCAGAATGAAATCGATTTGTTCATATTTCGTTCGGTATAGTATACGACTAAACTACTTTTACGGTTTAATCTCATGTGTTTATTATATTATCGTAATATTATTTCAAACGATTCGTATACTTTACGGTTTTCGTGATTGCGCACCACTGACTACGAACTCGAAGTATGGTAGTGGTTATAATTACTAATTATGTATGTTAATAGCAATTTTAATCATTGACTAGTTAGAAATTAAGTTTTTTTTTTATTGTACCGAACGTGTGGGTAGGCTAAGGTCTACAGAGGTCAGGTACGATGTGAATACCGTCGCATTGGATTATCGCGAATGGACGACGAGCAAGTGTCGGGACTCGAGGGAGACTGGGGCGCGTGCCGATATTCGAAATTTAAAAACATATCGACTAAATATTATAATTTTTTTAAGATTGCCTGGAAGAAGGCCTGGTAACAAGACTTTTAAGCAAAGTCTTATATTTTTTCTTATATCCTGTTACAATATAAACAAAAAGATATGAAGTGAAATGAAATGAGGTTGACTAATACTAATATGAAACTTTAATCGATTGGGTTGAAATTAAAGGAAACGAGATGAGATAAGATGAAATTAAGACTTATTAAAATGCTGGTTATTTATTGAGACTTTTTCAGTGGACTATTTTTAAAAACCCAAGAAGCTACGCTCAGCGGATTTGTTTCATTTTCTCACATTTGTACACTCACAGGTGCTAAATGGTTAATAAGTCACCGTTATGACATTTAAATCTGAAGCAACAGGAAATTAACAAAACTAAAGCAAAAATGAAACAATTCACACAGCTTTACTCCTCGCGTTCTCGCCAAAATGTCTGTACTGACTAATTGTAAATAATTGGACATTACTTTCTCCGGTCCATTAAACGCTTACCGTTTTACGATTTCGTCTTGCATCGACGATAGTTTCTGCATCTGCATTTTATATCTGCTCAGAATCTCTTTGAGCGTTGCCAATTTTCCTGGTGACGGAGGTTCCCCTGAGGAATAATTTTTAATTGTATTTTTTGTTTCTATACCGAAGATCTTAGATATCACGACGCTATTGCCGCTACGTCCTTTGAGCCAGTTTAAGTGTCATAATATGTATTTTTTAAAGATAATTTCCAATTCATACGACCTTCTACTACGAGCCTAGTGACTAGACAGTCGCGTAACAACGAGTACAGCGGCTTGACTGGACACGCCGTTTAAGATCAACTTCTGTTGTCCATTGTACGAACGGAAACGCGCTGGTCCAAGCGCACAGTAACCGCTACTATACTGACTGGCATGTGATTCATATTAAAGTTACCTGTATATACATTTTTTTTTATTGCTTAGGTTGGTGGACGAGCTCACAGCTCACCTGGTGGTAAGTGGTTACTGGAGCCCATAGACTTCTACAACGTAAATGCGCCACCCACCTTGAGATATAAGTTCTGAGGTCTCAGTATAGTTACAACGGCTGCCCCGCCCTTCAAACCGAAACGCATTACTGCTTCACGGCAGAAATAGGCAGGGCGGTGGTACCTGCCCGTGCGTACTCACAAGAGGTCCTACCACTAGTTTATATATATTAAGGCTCTGTATATGTATTTTTGTATTAAAGCGTCGATGTCTAATCTAATTACATAATGGTGCCAGCGGGTTGTGCTCTGTTGTGACTACCGCTAACTGTATGATAAACATCGATTTATTGAAAGTATTTGCACGCCATCTGTCGTACGTTTGTGGTACTACACCCGAAACCTTCTCTGGAGTGACAACATGTGCATCAAGTCTCGTCACAATTGGGTGAATTATTTAAGAACGCATACAGGACAATCATATACACAAATAACGATTTGTATTTATAAAAATTTGAAATTAGACTTTTGTTTTGTTTACAATTATTTCTGTTTATTTAGTAGAAAGTTAATTAGGTTTTTTTATTGCCCCTATTTTTGTTAATAAACATAAACTAAAAGAACTAAATACAATATCAGACCTCCGGATAAAGTACATCTTAGGCACTCTAAAATCTTCATTTACGACAACAACCTCAAGTTAGAATGTCTTCCAGAAAGAGCTGGCCTGGCATGCGAAATAAATTTGTTAACATTATCAAATAACGTTACCGACCTAAATAAGTATTTTCCGGTAAAGATTCCACCAAAATCTGATGGAGCGTGGAACGCCAATTTTCGTATTCTTTCTGGTTCGCGGTGAGGTTGTTTCTGCAGATCACTAGTTCTTGCGCCGTCAACTGCAATTTGGACTGAAAATGAAAGAAACAAATTATTTTCTCATGTAAAACATTCATAGGGAATCGAATATCTTCGCTGGAGAAGTGCTTTTTTTTTATTGCTTAGGTGGGTGGACGAGCTCACAGCCCACCTGGTGTTAAGTGGTTATTGGAGCCCATGGACATCTACAACGTAAATGCGTCACCCACTTTGAGATATAAGTTCTAAGATCTCAGTATAGTTACAACGGCTGCCCCACCCTTCAAACCGAAACGAATGACTGCTTCAGAAATAGGCAGGGCGGTGGTACCTACCCGTGCGGACTCACAAGACGCCCTACCATCAGTAATTGGGCTATTTGGCGGCGGACTCTAGTTGGAGGGTGGTCGCCAGCCAGTCGGACTAGTCCTACCACCGATTGTGTTTTCGGCTGCCGTTTAGCACCACCCAGGAGTCACTTGTAGGGAATCGCGGGTTAAACCTACGGAAGCGGGAAGCAATCAACCCCCAACTCACCCCTAGTTCTTTAATTTGTTCTTTTGCAGTGTTCCTTTCGGTCGTTAGCTGCAGGACCTTTTCCTTCAGCCTGGCCGTGTCCCCGTTGAGGAGCCTGGACTGAGCCACTTCTAGTTCGCTCGCTAATCGATTTATAGTGCTGCCTTTTTCTATTAACATTTCCTCTTTCTCTCGCACATTTTCCATGCAACGTTTTTCTAGTATTTTTATTTCGTTCTCCTGTTCAGAGATGCAAAACAATTTATTTATTTAAATAGTTTTAATTGATTAATTTAGACATGCAATAGACGTTTCATACCTTCTCTTCGAGTCTATGTTTTGCTTTTGTGAGGTCATTTTGCAATCTCTCCACCTCTTCTCGGTGCCTGATGACATAAGTTTAATTAATAGTCTTATGTGAGCTTTATATATTTACAGATAAAAAATTAAGTATTAAGTTACTTTGTTAAGTTAATCACAAATTTGATTGTAAGTACGTCATTTACCTCTCTTGCTGTTCTCTGAATAACGTATCGGTATCATGTGTGTGCGTAACCTGAAATTAATAGTCTGTTTTGATTGATTGTAATAAAAGTTGATTACAAAAATAATCTGTTCGAAGTTAGAAAACATCAGCCAGCTTATTTCTATCACAATTCATTCATGTTCCAAGACGGACTGGTTTGTACCATACAATAGAGATGTTTCAGCTTCTCTTTTTATTTATTGTTTAGTCAAGTGGAGCTCAGAGCCCACTTGCTGTGTAGTGGTTACCGGAATCCACTCACATCGACGCTAATGCCGCCATCCATCTTCAGACACAAGTTCTAAGTCTCATTTCTATAATACAACAGCTAGATTAGGCATATTAACCTGCAAATTGTGACATCTCTGCTGTAGTTCTTGTAAGCTCATGTTAGCAGATCGCAGCTCCAATTTCAACTGCTCTTTGGCTTGATCGCTTTCCATGAGCTTTTTTGTTAATGCGGTAATCTGCTGTTCGAGTTCAATAATATTATGCTTGCTTGATGCTGAAATTTTAATAGAAATTTTAGTACTTTACTATCTGACAGTAATTGAATATATTTATACTACACAGAATTTTTAAGGTGTTTGATTTAGTAATAATAGTTCATATAAATATCCTAAGATAGACCACCAAACAAAGTGAATCATCAAATGTAATGGTTCCATCAATTTTGAAATCAACACCTAATGTGCCATTGGGCATGAACTAGATAGATATAATAAAAAAAAGGAAAAAATATGTCTTGTATGGTGATGCAAGCTGCGTGAGATACAGAAAATAAAAGTTGAAACTCAGAATAAAACATACTAAACTGTTTCTGAATTAAATATTCGAACCAATTCCAGAAATGTATTATTAACATTGTAAGCAGGAAGATCACCTTAGAAAGCGATAATTGTAAAAAAGATATCCAAGTAGCTACATGAAGGAGTATACTACACATATTATTAGCGCACTCTTAGTCTGTAATTAGAGTTTAATAATAAATAGTATTTTCTAAAGAATGAGCATAGCACAAGAGTATAACTTTCATAAAAAGTATTACATCAAAAATGACTATTATATACCATGCAAATGTTGAGCTTCTTGCAAAGATAGTTCTGCTTTGTCCTTATCATTAATAGCAGCAGATAATCGGGCTCGGAGACTGTCTATTTCTGCATCTGATTTCTTTATTTCCATTGCCAGCTCCTGACACTCTTTCACACGCATCTATGCAAAATGGTTTTTAATGTTTAATGAAAATCTTATCTTTTTAGCATGTTGTAAGAGTTTATTGTGTTATACATTTTCTTAATGAAGCCCATGGAAATATTTAACTCACCTCATATATTACTTTTAATTCTTTGTATTTCTGATATTCTTGTTCATCAAAATTGTTCATGCCATTCAGATGACCTAAACATAATAACAAAAGTGATTGCTTACTTTGTTATTTGTTTAATTTAAATATTCAGTGTGTATTATGCATATTGGTGCTTAGTATAGAATTGTTGCCATAGTCCATAGATATTACAATATAAATGTTATCTTGAAGCATAACATCAAGATCTCAATGATAATTTAATAAATTTACACTAAGTTAAAAGTGAGGTGGTTCAGCCATGTATGTAATGGAAATAAAAAAAAAATAATAATAAACCCTTACCTCTCAAGTCCTGTTGACAATAATTAATTTGCAAATCACCCCCTCCAAAAGGGCTAAACTGTTTGTGGATTTGATCCTCCTGATTTTTTACAGTATGAGATCTATGATTTTTAGACCTCTCACAATATTTTTTCGGCGTTTCCCCAAGGTTGTGTGCTTCTTTCAAATGTTTTAATGAATCTCCATAAACTGGAGGTAATCCTGTGCATGTTTGTGGAACTGGAAATTTATGATTTTATGTAGTAGCACTCAAAAATGTATTTCATTTCTTTAATCATGAGTACTGGTGGTTAGGTATGTTATGATTTTGCAAATATTAGTACCAGTTCTGTTTCCACTACATAACATATTGAAATGTAGTTACAAAGTATGTTATTCAAATTTGAACCATAATCCATTCAATTATTTTAGTATAAACAACTCAGTGAAATCTCATAATTCAAACTAAAGATTGTGTATTCATGTATTTCTATGATTGAGCCATAGTCGTTTATTATTTATCTTAAGGGTGCTATGTAATAGTATGATGCTATTTTAATGTAGTTTGGAGTTCAAACTGGTGATTGTATTCAATAACAGAATTCATAAGTTTCAGTGACAACTTAGCACCTGACATGGCCCTAAAAAACTACACTATCAAATTTTTGTTATATTAAAAGTTTGTATCATTACCATCATGGTTATGTGGATCCAGAGTAAAGTTTCCACTACTGTTGACCGAGCTAGCCTCATCCTCATCAGACAGATCATCAAAACCATTAGCCAACTCTTGTTGTAGCTGAAAGGGGTGTTAAAGAGGATTCAGTTTTTAAAATTTTTATTAAAAGTTTAATAGTTGTCTGTGATTAAATGTATTGTTATTTACTTCTGATATTTTTCTTTGATAAATCTTTTTTTCTTCAATCGATATTTCATAATTAAAGCTAAAAAATAATTTTGAGGGAAACGTAAAGTAAACAAAAAATTGTTGGCATACTTCTTTGTGTCTCCTCTTTTGATCTTCAATTTCTTCTTGTTCTTCCAGTCTGTCTTGTGCACTATTGTTTATATGAATACTCATTGCACCTTGAAATAAACTCATACCCTGTCCATCCATTATCGAAGTTGTTGATGAAATTAAAGCGTTTTGTAATTGTGAAAACGAATTAACAAACAAAAAATAACAAGTTTGGTGAAGTGGCTTCGTGTTTTGAATTTCAATAATGTCAATGAAACATTTTGGTAATTGCAGTTCTATTTTTCCAACTGGATATGCAAAGGTATTATACCAGACTGCCTAATCTTTTAATATTTTTTTTAATGAAAAATGATAATACGGAGTGAAGTGAAATGATGTTGATTCATTTGAAACATTATTCAGTTAGCATGAAATTAAATGAAATGAAACATGAAGAAATAATGTAGGATGGAATTTAATCTCAGTAAAATTGTGGCTATTTACTGATTTATGTGTATTATCTATGATTAAGACTTTTTCAGTGGATTTTTTGGAAGATCCCGGAACATAGATTATACACTTGTCCCGGAAGATACATCCAGCGGCTTTGTTTCGTTTTCCCACATTTGTGCATTTTTACAGATACTTAACAGTTAATAAGCCACCGTTATTAGATATTTAAACCTGAAGAAACATTAAATAGACAAAATAAAACAATTCACATAACTTCGCTCCTCGCATTCTCAAACATTTGTTTGTTTAATCCGCGGTAAAGCGAACAAACAAAGTGAACAAGTCCATACAGCTTAACTTTTAAGACAGAGCTCGAGAAGCCGTATTCAGCCTCTTACACATTTTCCTAGATACTAACCACTCAATGATGAGAGATAGTAACTAACACGTTTAATCGGTATATTTCTCTAAATACCACCAGCTTTGTTTGTAATGTAGGTTACAACACATTACTCCCCAGCAAAACAATTTATAAGGTATGGTAGGTATAGGATACCATTGCCTTTTCAATTGGAAAAATTCAGTTACCACTACTGTCAAATGTTTAGTTTTCACACTGAAGTAGGAAAAATTTTCAGTTTTCAAATTTTCTTTTAGATTTCAATGCTAGTGTGCTATGTTCAGTGCATAGTAGGTACTTACTTAAAACGTAGTAAAATAATTATTGTTCTCTTTGATTAAGTCCATTCAGTTCCATTTACACAAGTGTATTGGTATCTTTCTTATTTCATCAAGATATTTGAAAATATGACGACTTTTAAGCCGGTAACGCACGTTCTCTTTGATATGGATGGGTTAATTTTAAGTAAGTTTGAGCATCTGAGGGAAAATTATTATAGAACTTAGAATTAGAATATGTATCATATAACTAAAATGCAGTTGCATTCATATTATTTTTATAGAGCGTAACCATTTAATAATCATCGGTTTTGTTTGCTAAATAAAGAGAAATAAACGTTTTGATAAGGTATATTTTATAGATACGGAAGAATTATACACGGTTGCTTACCAAAATGTATTGAATGATTACGGTAAAACATATACATTTGAATTGAAAACAAAGTTAATGGGATTCCAGTCCCACGAGAGTGCAAAGACTATAATTTCGGAACTAAATTTGCCATTAACTCCAGAAGAATTCAATGAGGCAACTAAGAAACAGTTTGAATTAATCTTTCCTGACACTCAAGTTATGCCGGGTAAGTTTTTAATGCATTTTTTAGTATTGTTGCTGTGGTCAATGCATATGTTTAGAAGTTAGATTTCATTAATATTCCGCCATGTAATATTGTTATGTAAGACAATTAATCCAATTTGTTTCAGCTGATTTTAATAGGGCTATTCCGTGTCCGTTTTTTAAATGAAACTCCTTGTTTTAGTGCATTAAATGATCATCCACAACCCGGCCCCACAATGAGTTGTTACTGGAGCCTATGGAAAACACATTTATTTATTTATTGGCTAATTGGATGAGTTCACGGCCCACCTAATGTTTATGGCTTGGGTCACCTATTGTAAGAGGTTATAATTGAGAGACAAAGGGACTCTCCTCATTTAAATAAGAGAGATTTACTGACACTGCGAACTTAAAATAGGCTCTACTCAAATACATTGATTTGTAGAGAACTGATCTTTACTGTATATCATAATGTTGTAGGTTTGATTATATGACATGACATTATTCCTTCAGTATTATTATAATTTTATAATAAACACACTAGCAGCTTGCACTGAGCACATGCTTCAAAACTTAGAGATTTGAAGTGGAAAATGTTTGCAAACACTGGTTAGGTATGTATTTATGTAGAAAAAAAAAAAATTCTTAAAATTTGAACTCTGGTATACTAGTATTTTTTAACTATGTATTACAATTTTGGTTAGCGTGGTATGAACATGTGATCCGTAGAGAGGAGATACATGTGACTTGGAGATGTATGGAAATAGTAGGGCAAGTTAGAGGGTGAAGAGGTCAGCCAAAGAAGACACGCATGGAGTGTGTGAATAACGACGAGAGAGAGAGAGGAGTGAGTGTTGAGATGACGGCTGATAGAAGAGAATGGAATAGAAAAATTCACTGTGTTGACACCTAGTGGGACCAAGAGAGCCTATTATTATCTTGGTGGGCTTAGTTGATCATGAGTTACGCCATCATCCAGTATCAGCCTCAGGACTCAGGTCTTATCAAGTTAATACTCCTGTTAGAATAGAGGTATTATTTTTTAATAAAATAATAAGTAGTTGCGCATGTATTACATATTCATAAAATCTTTACAAATTGAATTTTGTAAATGTAAATTAAAGCTGAATAATATTATTATATAACCTTGAAAATAAAATATATAATAAATACATTATGTACAACAAAACATCAAGTAGCTTTTTTTTAATGTGTCATAACATTTCACATAGTGAGAAATTTATATTAGGATGCTAGTGCCATCATTTTAATAACACAAAAGTATGAATTAAACTTTGGTTTGGGTAAAATTTGGTGCTTGTCATCATGCCCTCTTCCACAAAATATAATTTTAAGCTGTTAGGTATACCATTTTCATACATCTGCTGTTGAAATATAATGTCAGTTTTAGTATATTACTTAACTCCTATGTGGAGGGTGCATACCAACACTATGTGGGTTGTGTCATCCCATGTATCCTTCACTGTCGCACCATGCACCAAGAGAGATCTAAGCTTAGACAGGCAAAGTATGCTTCTAGTTTTAATTTTTCTAGATAATAGTTACATGTATTTTTCAGGTGCTAAAAGATTAATTGAACATTTGCATAAACATAATGTGCCTATTGCATTAGCTACTAGTTCAAGCATTGAAAGTTATGAACTGAAAGTCAATAAACATCACCAGGAATTATTTTCATTATTCCAATACAAGACATTTGGTTCTTCTGATCCTGAAGTGCAAAGAGGGAAACCGTATCCAGACATATTTCTCGTTAGTGCAAAAAGATTTCCAGACAAGCCTCAACCTCATCAGGTAATACTCAATTAAAATTATACCATATATGCGACAACAGCTGTGTTATCCTTATTAAATAGTAATAAATAGGCAATGTAGTGGTGTGCAGATGGACTTAGAGGGCTATGAATTAAAGTAGCTAAAGTACATGGATTCTCTGTTCTTGGCAGGCTGTATGTACATACAGATGTATGTAGCATACGGTTGGTCTGTTTTATGGTTTTCAATGTATTTACAAGATTAATTTTAAATTAGTTTTCAAGTATTTAATTTTTTCAAGGCGGATAGCTTAAGCTACTTTTAGTTTCTTCAGTAAGATAAAATTGGGCTTGCATGGATAAATATCACCATTCTGGTAACTTCAGCCTTGTATTGTTTCAACTCTAGGATAGTGGCTGCACAATGCGTTGGAGACTTCAACCTCAAGCCTCAAAGCTGATGGTAGCTTTTAAATTACTTGTCTTGTGACATAGTAATCTATGGCTTGTAATATTTTTCTAAAAATCTTATCTAGATATATTCTTCTTATATACTATTTACAAGGTTTTTGTCTTATACACCAGTGCCTCGTGTTTGAAGATGCCGTGAATGGAGTGAAAGCAGCTAGAGCAGCTGGAATGCAGGTTGTTATGGTGCCTGACCCAAGGACTGACAAGTGTTTAACAGCTGAAGCTACATTGGTATTGCATAGTTTAGAAGAATTCAAACCTGAACTATTTGGGTTGCCACCTTTTGACAACTAGATTTCTGAATTGCAGATAAAATAATTACATATTTTGAAATTGATACTTGTTATGCTGCTATTTGTGTTATTTAATTTATTCAATTTTTAAGAGCTGATAGAAATTTCGACAAAAATATCAGACAATACTTTTTTGCGTTCTAATTTTATATGTTACGAAACATACGAATGTGTTACGAAGCTATTATTCAGTGCATTAAATGTCGGACTTATGTTGAGCCCGCACGGTGTTAAGTGGCTAATGAAATCTATAGGAATCAAAGCTGAATCCCATGGGGGGTCATCCAAGGCCTTTCCTAATATAAAATTACAAAGTAATAATAAAAGTGTTAGACATTACACTGATAAAATTAGTGAGAATCATTTAACTTCCTAAGTATGTTAATCTCGTGAGTTGTTTGTCTTTCGATTTAACCCCCTGATGACATAGAACGAGATTCGATGCAACTCCTCTCCCTCACATATAAAGTGCAAAACATTTAGGCCTACTGAAACAAAATTACGAAGTAAAATCAAAGGAAAAAATGTATCTATACTATCTACATATAAATCATACATATACATACAGTAGTTTTTACGGATGTAAGTACTGAACCATGCATCCGATTGACTTGAAACTCGGTATCCATGTAGAAAATACATGTACTTAATGGATAGGCTAATATTTATATGAATGTTGGACTCCCTACACCAGTTGCGGGGGCGTTCATGATGAGAATCTTTGTGGGGTGAGAAATAATAATGTGAATTTTAAATGCCCAGCGAAGCGGACGGGTACAGTTAGTATTCCTATAAATTTGTCACGTCAAAGTAAATTTTCACGAAAGTAAATAAAGGGCGTCTAAATATTCCATGTGGCGTGTGTTTAAACGGTCGACGGACGCGAACACGCAATGTACACAATAATCAGCTGATGAGCAACGGCCATATTGTTCGTTTTGGCTTCGGGAACGGTTATCTTTTACCTTGTCGCTCTTTTTGCAACCCTTACCTACCTTACCCTTTGAGGTACACTGTCCACAACGCGTGGAGTAAAAAGTGAAGTAAAATAACAAGGACCTGGTACATACAATATTTTTATAAAAAGTCTTTGGACCGCAAAGGGTTATCAGTAATACTTAAAAACTGAAGTCATAGGAGTTTCGTGTGTATTATACTTAGCTGTAAGTAAAATAAATACGCCGTGAATCTTAAATTAGTTATTCAGTTCCTATTTAATTGTCTATAATATTCTTATCGCAGATCGTGCCGATCGTATACATTAAATAACAAGCACTTATCGTCATGTAGAAAAAATATCTGTTTGAAACGTTAAATAACATTTGTAGGTACTAAGTTTTTAGATGATTGAACTAGAATAATTTTATATTTATTTATAAGTAGTGCCTTCTTAATTCATTAGATTGTTGCATTTGATTAAGTGTTTGATGCACATATTTAAGAATACAGGAATATTGAAGGTGCGAGAATATTCTAGAAATTTCTACTTATTGAATTACGGTTTACTAGATACTACTCATTTAAATACAATCAATACCATACTAGTATTGTAAATGTGGATGTAACTCTGTCTATTACGATTTCCCGCCCAAAACACTGAATCGATATAAAAATAGTTTGAATGAACTCTGGGAAAGGTAAAGGTTACTTTTCATCCAACTGCGATTGGAAAATTAGTAAAAAATATAGCAGAAACTCATGATTTATAATGTACGGAGACTTTAAGACAATTAATAAAAACTACATATGAAAACGTAGAAATAATCTTTTTTGATTTTTTTTTTGGTTTTATTGTTGAGCAACATTACGATGATAAGATAGATAGACGGTAATATGACGCAGCGTTACCAGACCGTGGCGTTACCAGACCAAAATAGATCCTTAACGTGAATGTCTTAGAGGTTATAAGCATAATTATAAAATAAATTGATACAATAATTCTGTGATAAGAACTGAAATAAAATGATTTATTTGCCTGTTTCGCATGTTTTATTTGATATGGACGGATTACTATTGAGTAAGTTGTGTGTTTTTGTATAAAAAATCTGATTATGTTCTACGATATCTTACTAACATCTTGACAATTAATCAATAAATTAATAGTAAAAGTTTAAACAAATTTCCTTCAGACATTCCTTGTTGATATACGTTCGATTTAATGTAATAAAATAAAAAAAAATAAGCTCAAAAAGCATTACAAAGCTGACAGCGAAAGCTATGACTTAAGGCTTAAATAAGACTAATAACATTTAGACTTTATTGCCATTTCCAATTAAGGCGAATTTACATTACGAAATTAGTGGCATGAAATTAATTTCGTGACATTAGTTTTACCAACAGTTACACGTGTAATTTAATACTTTCGTAATGCATGCATTAATTTCATGCATGCAAATTAGTTTCGTGCCCTGCGCGATTTTTTGGTGAAATTAATGTCATGCAACTAATTTCATAGTGTAGACGCGACGTGAAAGTAAGGTATATCTGGATGATGACAATAGGAAAACTTAACTGTTCACATTAGTATCGTAATAACCTTCACTATAATTAGATGTTGATCGAGGTAAATGTCCTTGATTGAGGAAAATATGTGTTGTACCTATCGTATGTATGTAATTCTTCGATATTGCTTAATACTCTTTAATTACATGCAAATTATATGAGAACCGAGTTTAATATCATCTGGTTGCCAGATCCTAAAAGGGATCATTGTCAAATAAAAAAAAACCTAATCAAAACTTCTCACTATAATATCGAGAGGTGAAAGGCTATTTGGTTTAAGCGACATTATTGCAACTTTATAGGAGAGCCATTGAAAGTTTAAAATTTGGAGAAAATATCATCATTTCTTCAGCTGTTTCATTGGAGTAAACTTAATTGAAGTTCAATTATAAACATCGAACTGTTGATGCTAATTAATACTAAATAAAATTTGTCCCTTCAAAATTACAAAGAAAAATTACGTGTAATAAGCGAAATGTCGCTCAGACCAAATAATCTTTCACCCCTCGATATAGAAGTCGTTTAAACCATAATGTATTTTATTACATTACTAAAATAATAGCAAAGTTTGGTACTTCATTTTCGTTTTAGAAGATGAACGATGAAAAAGGAATTGAACTCTACAAAGATGCAGGCAGACTACCTATTTTTTATTTCGATCGATTATGTATTTTATAATAATTTTCAGATACTGAGGATTTATACACGGTCGGGTTTCAAAAAGTGGCCTCGCGCTACGGCAAAAAGTTCACGTTCGAATTAAAAAGTCGGATAATGGGACAGCAGACAAGAGAGTTTGCCGGGAACATAATAAAATATCTCGATTTGCCTCTTACAATCGAAGATTTTGTATCAGAGACACGTCAAATCTTCGAAGAGCTTTTCCCTCAGAGCGAAATACTGCCTGGTACGAAATTTCAACGATTTTTTTATTATTACATATCTGCAAAATTAAAAACATATTTGCTTTTAAAACTAAAAGTGGTGATGACATTATACTGTACACGCCGATCATAATATCGTCATTATTTACGTAAGATAATTAAATATATTAAATTACCACAGCTGTATCCGCAAACAGATTTTTGTTGATTTATGTATTTATACAAAAAAATGTATTATTTTGATTTAAATGTTGGACTTCATTAATGGTAGTAGGTGCTATAAGCGTGTATGGGTGGGTGTCATGGATGTGTCTTTTTTTCTTTTTTTTTATTACCCTCGTAGACAGACGAGCATACGGCCCACCTGATGGTGAGTGGTTACCGTCGCCCATGGACTTCAGCAATGCCAGGGGCAGAGCCAAGCCGCTGCCTACTAATTTAATAACAGAGCAATCATGTGTTTTTGCAGATAGATTAACTTTTTCATAATACAATCGAAGCCTCGAACTCATGTCTCTAGTTGTGCTAGTAGTTATATTATTACAATGTACCAATTCAATAAGTTACTGTTTTCATAATAGGAAAGAGAGCAGCCCTTAATTTTTTATTATCTTAAAATTACCGTCCAAATCGTATAACGATTGGGTTTTTTATTTATTTATTGCTTCGATGGGTGGACTAGCTCACAGCCCACCTGGTGTTAAGTGGTTACTGGAGCCCATAGACATCTACAAATGCTCCACCCATCTTGAGATATAAGTTCTAAGGTCTCAGTATAGTTACAACGGCTGGCCCACCCTTCAAACCGAAACGCGTTACTGCTTTACGGCAGAAATAGGCAGGGCGGTGATACCTACCCGTGCGGACTTACAAGAGGTCCTACCACCAGTGTGGTGGGTGAGCGCAAACAAGTGCTGTCTTTTAAGGTCAAAATAACAATTAATCATCAACAATAAGGTGTCATACGAAAGAGTTTTGTTGTATTAAGAGTTTAAAAAAATGCATGTTAGCTTCGACGCGCGAATGAAGTTTGTTCTTTAAGTACGATAGACTTTAAATATCTAATCTTAATTCAATTAAGGTAAAGTTTTTTTTTTATTGCCTTTGTAGGCATACGGGCATACGGCCCACCCGGTGGTGAGTGGTTACCGTCGCCCATGGACTTCAGCAATGCCAGGGGCAGAGCCAAGCCGCTGCTTACCGCTTAATACTCTCCACAAGCCTCGTTTGAAGAAGGACATGTCATATATATATATATACTGAAAGCATGTATACGCTTTTATTTATATTAATTCGATATTAACGTTAACGCGAAATAAAGGACTACATATATGTACTAATATTTTTTACATCATATTAATAAATTATTCAAGTAATTAATTAAATTACTGCCGTCAAATCTTGGTGCACACTGAGTGGGGCATGACAGTTTGGTATATAAGAACCAAGTTAAAAAGTATGTTATTTTAATTGAATGAAAATAACGCTTTTTTGTCAACACTTTTAATTTTACTTCGTCTCAATTTGTCGTACCGGGCGTTTTGAATGAAATAGATTCTTAGGGTGAAAACTTCAAAAAGTTTTGTTCAACCAATAACTATTATTTAGATCGTTTTTTGTTGTTGTCCAGTTGCCTATTAATTTAACTTTTTTTTCTTCCAGGTGTAAAGAAACTCATTTATCATCTAAATCAACACAACATTCCAATGGGTTTAGCAACGAGCAGTAGTAAGGAGTCGTACGAATTGAAAACGCTCAAGCATCAAGATTTATTTGACCTATTTTCACATAAAACTTTAGGCTCTTCAGATCCAGACGTGAAGAGAGGGAAGCCACACCCCGATATATTTATCGTAGCCGCCAATAAGTTTCTCGATAAACCGGATTTAGAAAAGGTTAGAAATATTCTTTGCTAATAAATTGCGGTTATTATAAGTTACTAATAACATTTCATAAAATAAAAAACCTTTAATCACGATTTGAATCCAAATCTGATTACCTTGGTCGTCTGCTTCTTCAGCTTGACACAAAGTTGAAGTCAAAGGGGCATTGCCATAGCAGCTTCAGGTAAGAATGAGTTGTTGGTTCACGTTATAAATAAAATAGGATAGTGATATAACCGGTTGTGCGCTTCATTACCGCCTTGCGATCAGATTAGTAGAGGAAACCCTCACGGCTAGGCGGGCTAGGTACTGCCGCCCTGCTTATTGTTGCCGCGAAGCAGTTGTCGCCATCACAATATCCAGTAGAGTTCCCATAATAATATACAAGGTATCTTTTGCCATAAAAAATCCAAGGGACGCAGTATCGAGCCATTAATTCCCAAATCCCTATAATCTAAGAAGAAAGTAGGAAAATATATGTAATAGTTGACCGGATGCTGAAGAATTTGTAATATAGCCGTACTTTCTGTTTTAAAAACGTGCAGAATATCTTGACGTCACATCTGCTGTTTAATATTAGTACATTGTGCACCAAAGGAGAAAAGTTGGACATTTCCTCCCGCCTGTAAAATTAATTTTTTAATTAATTATTTATTATTATAAAATATTATTATAATTATTATTATATATAATTAATTATTTATTATTATTAAATAATTAAATAATTAATTATAAAAACACGCTGGAGGAAATGTCCAACTTTTCTCCCGCGGTGCACATACTACATTTTCTCCTACCAGGCCGGAAGTTCGTGGAGTACCGAGCCGGGGTCCAGGGGCGAAGCCCTAGCCGGGGTAGGGTGGGGGGCGGAGCTCTCCCGTACTCATAAAAAAAACAACTTAACTGTTTTGAAATTTTTAAATAAACTACTACCAATTGAATAAGAACTGTCTGATGAACTCATCTTTGTTTAATACTTCACTATAAAATTTTATTGCCTTTTGTTTATTTCACTTTTGCACTAAACATAATATTGCAAATTACCCGAGCACAACAATGGCGGAGAATTTTAGGTGCGTGAGAGCAGACGTAGACACTAACGCGCATGCGCACTTGTACCCAGGGCGAAAAATTTACACTTTCTTCCCTGTACAGCGGGAGGAAAAGTTACACTTTCTTCCCTATACAGCGGGAGGAAAACCGAACTTTCGGCGTAGGTAGGAGATTTTTTTTAATTTAAAAATAAAATATAAAAAAAATTCAAAAACCGAATTACCTTCAATGGCAATGACGCTTTAAGTAATTCAGATACTTGTCGTAAATACGCTCCGTCAATAATTCGGTACAATTCTTCTTTTGTACTAATAACTCAATTTTATTTGCAGTGTCTCGTTTTCGAAGATTCGATTAATGGCGTGAAGGCGGCGCGCGCTGCTGGCATGCAGGTCGTGATGGTCCCGGACCCGAGACTAGATCGGAGTCACGCCACCGAAGCTACACTTATCCTCGACTCAATGGAGGAATTTAAACCAGAACTGTTCGGTTTACCGCCCTACGAATTCTGAATTGTCCAAAATAAACGCAAATTAAGCGCTCTTCACTTCAGTATACCATGTATCTCTAACAATTATGTCACGAAATTTTATAGGACGAAATAATAAATGCAAATTTATACATAATATACTAGCGGCCTGCTCCGGCTCCGCTCGGGTCTTTAACAAAAATTTCAACGATATTTGACGTTGTTTTATTTTTTTTAAATAATAGAACACTTATTGCAGCATAACTATAATAGTTAGACATATGCTGTTGCTACACTTTTTGTAAATAATACCGTGTTCCACAAAGTCGTAGTACATTATTTTATTCTATCATCAATAGTTTTCGCAGGGCACGCTATGTAAAGAATATTTTAAGTAATTTTTTTACACCTTGGGTTACATTATTGGGGTTTTAGTAAGGATCCCTAATTTTTTTCAAAAAAACACCTTTGTCACTCGAGAATAGTGTAGTTTCCAAACAGTGAAAGAATTTTTCAAATCGGTTCAGTAGTTTCGGAGCCTATTCAATAAAAACAAACAAACAAATCTTTCCTCTGTTATTAGTATAGATAGATGTATATGTTTTCTACGACAGCAATAATGTATTCAAGATGAACACGCAAAGTGGAAATAAGTTAAATTGCATTTGAAAAGTCTGGACCATCACTATACAGGGTGTGTTAAGAAGTGCTTCCGAAAATAAAGACGGATTAATGGGTAGCAAAAAAAAACATTGTGCGCTATGTGACAAAAAAAAATTGACTGACGCGTTCTGAAATTGTCCTCTTAAAAGGGTTGGGTGACAGTTGTCTGCGTGATATTGTCCGTTGACTCATAATTTATAAAATACCACATAATGTCTCAGAGTGAGTGCAGGCGGTTACATTGTGGTTCTGAACTTTGCTGAGCAAAGGGGAGCCGTGAGCTTATTTATTCAAAAAAATAAAGTTTTTTTTTTGTTAAGTTTAAATCAATGAATGTTAGGTAAGTTCTGTTTATTTTAGTTTCGGCTTGAACTTGAGAAACGAACTATTTATTAACACCCTGTATAAATCATAATAGTACTTAACTAGTAAGCTAGAATTCCGCTCTACTTTTTAATTTCTAACTACTCACATATAATGTTACCGTACTTATATGGATAGAATCTGAATTATTAGAATCCCGTCCTGCTTTGATGTGTGTATTATGTGTAGACTTGATTCGTAGCAATATAAAAATGTTATTTATGTTTCTAAGCTGCTTTTAATATTGTTTCTATATAATATTATATAATTTAAATAATTAAGATCTGAGTCTTAAACTAAATTTACTATTGTATTTATTATTATTTATTATCGTTTATAAATTATGACATAATATCACAGTATATTTTATTTAAAAAAATAAAGATATCTGACGTTAATTTTGTGTCTTTTTTCATTTAATAAAAATACTACTTCATTTAAGTTAAAAATATAGTAATCATTTATTTGAGACAAATTAAATAGACGATCACTGCAAAGACAGTCAGATCTATGGCCACGTTGTTGGAAATGGTTATAGAATGGAAATGGTGGTTCATTTAACATAGGTAATAACGACGCCCACCACCAAAGAATAATTCTTTGAGATTTCTTCTGAAGAAGGATATGTCTTATTAGATAGGGAGCTTTTTGAAGCATTTTTTTTATTGCCCAGACGGGTGGACGATCTCACAGCCCACCTGGTGTTAAGTGGTTACTGGAGCTCATAGACATCTATAACTTAAGAGCGCCACCCTCCTTGAGATATAAATTCTAAGGTCTCAAATATAGTTACAACGGCTGCCCCACCCTTCAAGCCGAAACGCATTACTGCTTCACGGCAGAAATAGGTAGGGTAGTGGTACCTACCCGCACGGACTCACAAGAAGTCCTACCACCAGTAAATAAAGGACGTATGCGAGCGTAGCGGCATCTAGTTGACATAATGGAAACTCAATAAATGAGGCTAATGCAGTGATGCGGTGTGAACATTTCGAGGCGATAGAGAAGAGCTCTTTGTGCTTAGTATGAGTTTTTTTACGTTCTCGATCACGTAAAAGTTAACTCTAAATTGTATGGAGTTAGAACAGCGCCCCTAGCGGCAAACTTGCCTGCTGTTATTTTGTGAGCGCGAGATGAATGAACGTTGCGGTCGAGTAACTTTACCGAAGTGAGTACCGCGAACGACATTTGTGCGAGTGCGAGTTACAAATGAGTGGATTTTGACATTTCGATCGAGTATTTCTTCACTTTCGAGCAAGTTAAAGTTGTCACTGAAACATATACAACAGGTGTGTGGTGTGTTGAACTAGTAAGAGTTTCAATCACTTATCGTGAATATATCATGTTCTTGTTCTCAAATATACTTGTTGTTGCAATACGTTTGGCAAAACACAAGTCTTCAGAAGCGTGATGTTCAAAAACCCGTACACAACATAGCTCGTACCAGGAGTACTCCAAATAAGAACAGATAGATTATAAGTCCCTGGCCCTTAATGTTCTGATAGCAGATCCGTCCATAGCTTCAGACTTTCTTCCTTTGACATTAAATTCAAATCAATCAAGTTGAATACTACCTTTTTAAGACACTTTTTTTACATCTGTGGCGGGTAGCCATCATACAACGCAAGATATTTGACAGATTTATGACAGATTTATTACTGGTGGTAGGACCTCTGGTGAGTCCGCGCGGGTAGGTACCACCACCCCGCCTATTTCTACCGTGAGGCAGTAATACGTTTCGGTTTGAAGGGTGGGGCAGCCGTTGTAACTATACTGAGATCTTAGAACTTATATCTCAAGGTGGGTGGTGCATTTACGTTGTAGATGTCCATGGGCTCTAGTAACCACATAACACCAGGTGGGCTGTGAGCTCGTCCACCCATCAAAGCAATAAAAAAATGCCTGAATCTCGCTTACGACATTATCAAGATAAGCTTACTTAAATACAACTTCCGAACAACAACATTCGGACCGTCGGTTTACCGAGCAATATCATTGGCTCGGTGGAAGATCTTCCCTTTATCGGATACCCGCAAACTGGTGACCCCGACGGAACAATTACAGCCTTTACACTTCATCATCAGCGCATCAAGAACTTCGGCTACCACCATTCCCGCATTCTCGCAGATAAAAACAAAGTCATCAACAGTCCTCTCACAGCAAGCTAGCATCGCAGCCTCAACATGTCTATCGCAACCAACTCACCGCAGACTTCGAGCAGCACTGGCAACACTCACGCAGCTTTCAAGCTCAGTTTCGACTCGCCGCAAACTTCAAGCAGCACTGGTGACATTCACGCAGCATTCAAGCTCAGTCTCAACTCACTGCAAACTTCGAGCAGCACTGGCCCTTGCAAACTAATTTCAGCATGGACACGCTAACTTAATGACACGACCTCCGGACTCGCAGTGGAGTGATGTGGCGGGTAGCCATCATACAATGCAAGATATTTGACAGATGCCTGAATCTCGCTTACGACATTTTTAAGATAAGCTTGCATTAAGTTCCAAATTACAACATTAGGAACCCTCAGACGCAGCCCACTGAGTTTCTTGCCGGATCTTCTCAGTGGGTCGCGTTTCCGATCCGTTGGTAGATTCTGCGAAGCACGGCTCTTCTTGCTAGGGCTCGTGTTAGCAACGTCGTCAGGTTTAAGCCCAGCGAGCTCACCTACTAGTTAAGGTTACGCTGATATAGCCACTCAAAGCTTTCAGCTTAGGTAGGAAAAAAAAACAACATTAGGACCGTCGGTCCACCGAGCAATATCACCCGCTCGGTGGAAGATCTTCCTTTCGTCGTTATACCTAGACGTACTTTTTTACGACATTAGACGTATCACTTCAATTGTTAATTTACATTATTAGCCGCAAACTCTATGTACACTAATATGTATTTATGTATTGGGCACTAATATGTTGTACATCACCACAATACATCACAAGTAACCCACGAGTTCACGGCCTGCCTTGTGTAAAATGGATACCGGAGCCCATAAGGTTCAATAATGTAAATGTCGCCGAAAACTGAGTAGGTACGTTGAGAAATGAGTTCTAAGAGCCAGTTTCCCAATACAACGACTGTGTCCCCATTCAAGAGTTACTAGTTTAGGAAGAGTGTTACTGCTTTACGGCAGAATCGTATCGCAATATCAAGAAGAACTTCTCGGCAAAGGTCTCCATCAGCCTTGTGAAGAGACAGTTCACTAGCTGTGTCAAAAGAGTCATGATAACTAACTGTTCCTATTTGAAGTACTTCTAGTAGGAACCTATGTTACATACGGGCTTTGGGTTTATATCACCGACACCTTTTTGCCTATATCTGCTTCGAAGTAATTATACTTGAAGCCAACTTCTATCCCATGTCTCAGGCGGTTCGATACAGTGGCGGTCGTATAATTAGAAATATTACCAACTGTTCTTGACATTATGTAAGATACTTCACCGCAATCGTTTTTATTTTGAAATTAAACAATAAATAGGACAACAATATGTTCAACGATTTATCATTTATTAGAAAAACAATTGTCATTGTCAGGTTACAGGCAAATGATCGTCCAAGTAGGGAATCGTTGTGTCTTCTAAGATATTTTTGTATTGCCATTGATCCATTGTAACGTTAATCTTCCGAACGGGTCTAACTCCATTTCCGGAAAAACACCCCCAAACTTTAACGTTATCTTCACCGTGCTTGACTATACTCCTTGAGTATTTATAATTAAAAGCATTATTTACAGGACGTCTAATACAGCGCTTTCCATCGGAATTTTTAAATTTTGTTTTATATGAAAATAACAGTTTTTTCCATTCTCGTACCGTCCAATTAACATATTTTTTAGCGAATAATAATCGCTTCTCTCGGTGTTACTTGGTAAGAAGTGCTACTTTTCGAGAGGTTCTGCCAAACAATTTAGCTTCCACTAATCTTCAGCGTATCAATTTTAACGAGATCTTTCTCGGGTCAGCAGGCGAAAAAACTTTATTTTTAATCTGGTTGGAGCCTTTAATTGGTTCTTTTTTAGCAACACGAACGATTAGCATACCTCTTCTTGGAGAGGTTTTTCTTGGCCGAACCTTTTTAATAACATTTTTAACAGTTTCATGTTTTTTATAATGATCTGATAATTGCATTAAAAACTTTCTTAACAGAACAATTTGATTACTCAGTTATTCTTCTGTACACCCACTAATGGTCTAT